ACCATAGTCTCTCACTTAACAAAATATATTGATGCCATGCTTCTTCAAATAAATCCCATTTTCCGTTGATAAACTGTAAATGAGCAAAGCGTTTGGTGGCAGATTAAGTAAACAACAAAAATTTGACATGTTTTTAAAAGGGGCTCATATTTCAGGCTGTGGCTGCCCAGGAAAGATCTTGGGATTGTGGAAGATGGCTCTCTGCGGGGTGTGTGTGTGTGTGTGTGAACCCACAGTAATGTAGAAATGAAAATCACAGATTATGTGCAAGGAATTATTAGGAAAGAGATAGTCTATAATGCAGCAACTACATAATGCCATATTTATTTATGATGTTGCTATGCACTTTGCAATACTGCTTAGTTCTGGTTGCCCCATTCTAAAAAGAATGTGGCAGAACTGAAAAAGAAACAGCATTGTAAAATGAAGGACTTGATGAGCCTACAAGAAAAGGCAAAAATATGTGAGGCTTTTTAGCTTACAAAATGACATTTCAGAGGTTTCATCACACATTGATTTTGTGACTGAAGTTTCTAAAAATTTAACTGCATGAAGCATGGCTAGATGAAGCAACTTTCCCTTTCTCCCCTAATAATACCACTACTAGCAGTTATCAAATTAAATATATTGGTAGTGAGCTGAGGAAGAACTGAAAGAAGTACCTATTTGCAAAGCACATAATTATTGCGAATTCACTATCAGAAAAATGATGGCACTTTTTCCAATAGCTCTTTAAAAAGAGTAAGAATCTCTTGTGAATGATTTGGGGAGGGAGTGCTTTATTTGGGGAAGGACATGCTACACAACACTACTTAAAGGATCAGAGTGCACTCCTTCTAGATCCTTTCAGTGGTAAATGAGCACTTCAATTTTTTGAGCTGGTCTCTTGCTTGTTTCATAAACTTTACTATGTTACCACGGATATCCTTCTGTAAATCCAATAACAGGGTACATTCACATTCTTTGGCCCCCACCAGCTATTAGTATCCTGAACGCTGATATTTTTATGCAAGGATAAAGTAAGTTTACCTTTCCCCTCTTTAGGCTTCACAGGTGTCCAGATTTGGATGTCCTGATTTTTATTTTGGACTATAGGATTAGACAAATACATGGAAGACAACCATTATAATATGCTAGTATAACCTGTGTATTGTAGAACCAGGATACTCCATTCCACCCGATTGATTCTTTCAAAAGGTTGAAACAATCAATATTCCATGCCCACTAACCGTGCTCAGTCCTTACTTTATTTTGGAGGGTTCCCCTTTGGGGTTTTACTCCTTTTTCTTCCTTCTTTTTAATTCTACAAACTTTGGGGGTTTCCCAGGCCTATTGACATTTTCCTCTTTTTTTTCCTGGGTACATAAGGATCCAGACTCAGAGAATGACTCAGAGAGTAGGTTTATATCTGATATAATGGTATGCCCATTATAGAATTATGGGAGTTCTATATTGATTATTGACTAGAGCAGGCATGGCCAAACTTGGCACTCCAGCTGTTTTGGGACTACAACTCCCATCATACCTAGCTAACAGGACCAGTGGTCAGGGATGATGGGAAGTAGTCCCAAAACAGCTGGAGGGCCAAGTTTGGCCATGCCTGCTCTAGAGTCTTTGCAAATTCTAGACTTCATCTAATTTGTTCCATAAACTGCTCAGAACCGCAGTACCTCAAGGACCACCTCTCTTCACCTGAGGATGTTATTTGTGTGTCTCCTCCATCAGAGGTCTGGAGGGTGGCAACACAAGAGCGGCATTTTCTGTGGTGGCTCCCCTTTGTGGAATGCACTTCTTAGGGAGGGTCGCCTGGCACCTTCATTACATATCTTTAGGCACCAGGTGAAAACGTTCTCTATAACCAGCCCTTTGGTTGATTAAACATTCCATGGCCTTTTAAATATGTTTGTGGAAGGTGGGGTTATTGGTTTATTTTTCTTTTTGTTCATTTTTCATTTTGTGCTTCCATTTCATATTTTTATGCTGTGAACCACCCTATAATCTTCAGATGGAGGGTGGTATACTAACTAACTAATTCCATTAACAATGACAATTTTCCATCTGTTTTCTATTCTCACTTTCAAGAGATGTTAAATGGCAGAGAGAGTACTAAAAAAAATTAAGGAAAAATGGGGTTCCTTGCTTTTTTCAATATGCTGGAGAGCACTGAAGAAACTTCTTTGATTTCCCCCTCTTAGAATAAGTGAAATACTTTCAAAGATGTTTTTATGAAAGATGGTCTAAAGTAGCCTTCTCCAACCTGGCGCTCTTTGCATCCTTTTGTTCTACAACTCCAATGTTCAGAAGCCCGCAATATCAGTTATCAGGATAGTTGGAATGATTGGTTGGGAAAGGCTGATCTACATAATTAGACAATGATAATTCTGGCACACACTGGTCCATGGGGTCACGAAGAGTGGGACACGACTGAACGACTAAACAACAACAATTCTGACTAAGACCCGCAAAAAGAAGTGGACTACAAATAAGTAAATTCATAATTTTGTTTGTACAAAACCAAGGTTATTACTAGATTTTAATTTAATATAAATGCTAAATAGTACAGTTTTCTATTCTACCTGAATTATAAATGATACATTTCCCATTGGTAAAACAGTAAAGTTTAGGTTTGATGACAAACTATGTATATAGTTCTACCTGGCTTCAAAATTTCTGGGAATTTTAATAATTGTGTCCTTGTCTTCTCATGTTCTATCTAAATTTTTCTTATTGACATCAAAATGTTTGCATTATTTTGCTACCACTTAGCAACTATTTCCACTCCTTCTTCTCACTCTTCTAGCATTTTTTGCCCCGCAAAGCCAAATTACATTCTTCAGTCTGCTGACTTCCAGCTTTCTACCACCACACCTGTATATCCTAAAATCTACTTTGCTCATTTGGTATATTTAAATAACATTCTTCATTTCACTTTGTACTATTATCTTTTCCTTAGCTTTAGCAAGCCACGATTCAGAAAAATAAATGTTTCAGTGAAACAGAACAAGGAAGATGTCATGGCACTTGCTGCACTAGAATTCTAGAGAACCACAGTTGCAAGGCCAGAAAAGCCACAACTACTACCTCCATAGGCTCTTAGAATGGGGGAAGGCATACAAAAGCTCTAAGGTTGCAGAGTTTTGAGCTTCTGTTGCTCTAGCCCAGATATCTTGTGAAGACCCTTGCGAGTTGATTGTTCTCTGAGAAGGCAAAGAGATCCATACTTAGTATGCCTAATTACTGAATGATGCAATAATAGATTGCAGCAGAGCCTGACTACTCTGCTGGATACAGGTTGCTTTCAGGGATAGTAGCCACCTAATCTGTGTCCATCAATGGGCTCTCTGAAGAGTAGCCACAGCACCACTGAAGACATCCGAGAACATCTGTGAAAACCAAAATAAGTACCCTGAACCTCATCAGAATCTTGAGCTTGGTAATTAAAACAGATTAAAACTGAAGAGAACACACATATAATTTTGCACCTGGAATGTCACCATAGTGCCCAAAGTTCAGTGTGCTCTAGGAAACATATCCACATATACAATCTACCCTTGTGAGGCAATTGGAAAAGGTTTGGTGTGCAGCCTTCCAGAAGAAAAGAACGTTAGAAGCCATGTGTCAAATTTAATGCCATTCTGCATCGAAGACTGATATAGCCAAAGGAGCTCTTTAGAATATTGGGGTGGGGATTAATAGCCCGAAAACACAAGAGCTACTAAGGTTGCTAACACTAAAGACCTGACAAGTTGAGAAAAAGAGTTATAGAAATACTCAACACAGATACTGATGTAGGCAAAGTGGGAGTATCTTCTGGAGCACGGTAATATCAAAATAAGAAAGTACAGCTATACAAGGTTGATTCTGGTTAGTAAATCCCTGGTCCTGAATACTACAAGGGGTACTTGACAGTGAATAAGAATAAAATCAAAATATGAGATTGAGGAGACAGTGCTGCTTGCATTTTGCATCCTAGCTAAGGCAGGACAGAATGGGGATAGGAAGCCCTCTTCTCAGGCAAGTATTAACTTTCTGATTCCTAGTTTCCATGAAGGAGACATCCAGAAAAAGCTTAGGTGTACCTATATGTTTCAGCATTTATTCCAATAGCTAGAGAATGCCCATCCAGCACTATATAAAAATAAAATTTAAAGGATAAATGTTATATTTAACAAAGTTTTGAAAAGTAAGTCATACTTGATGTCATGATTGATCGACACTGTCAGCTGATGCAAACAACTATTTCTATGTTTTTTAAAAAAGGAAAAAAAGCAGTGATCATGCTCAAGGAGTGCAACTACACAAAGAAAACTGACAAGGTTTACTGCTAATAATTGCTCCTAATAAGACTGCAGCCTTGGTGAAGGATTCCTGAAAGTTTATAACAAAAAGATCAACTGGAGATCAAGTGAATGTATCAATAATATGGCTATACATGAGACTTCACAACATCAACAGTGGAAGTAGAAACGGTGGTGTTGTTCAAGCGATCCTATCAAACGTCTTGGGGGAAGAACCATAGTTCAGTGGTAGAGCATCTAACTCACGTGCTCATGGTCCAAGATTTAAACCCCAGCATCTCCAGATAGAGATGTCTGAAACCCTGGACAATGTGGGCAATACTAAGCTAGATGGGGCAATGGTCTGACTCTGTAGAAGCCAGCTTCCTGTGTTCTTTAACAATACCAGATGAGTGGGCTATAAATAAATAATAATAATAATTTATTATTATTATTATTATTATTATTATTATTATTATTATTATACTGTTTCCTAAAGGCTACTAGCAAGATTTCATAGTATGACTGACAAAATAATGTTCAAACTATCATAGAGTATAATCTAGGGGAACAACTAAGCAGCCAAAACCCCCCTAATAAGCTTTAGAAACTCTAAGCACTCAAGGCGCTTGAACTTTAAAGTGGCACTGGAGAATTTAGCTACACAATGCCTATCAGGATGGACCTCTCCACACTGGATTGGCCAAGAAAATTTTTTTTTTTCACAAGCAAAATAGCTTTGGCCCACTCTCAATGTTTGCTGCAGTTGCACGAACAACAGGTGGAATGAACCACCAGCAAAACCAGTGCAAATACCAGTGTTTAAAGAACAAGGCTGAGCTGGTTCATAGCTTTATAACTGACATTTAAAAGCTGAAACATTATCTTTACAACACATAACCTAGAATGTGCGTACAGAATGTGCATATAATCCGAACAGCAAGTTCCTATCCATGTTTATTGAAACTTACAAATGTAAATGGATCTTACTTCTGAGTAAATATATATAGGATTCAACTGATCAAGTATTTGGACGAGATGGGAGAGATGCTTTGTTTCAACTGGCCCTAGACTTTACCATAGCTTTCCCAGCTGTAAGAAATCTTAGTATAGATGCATTTTAAGAATTACAGATACTATTTTCAAAATATGTTTCCTACGAAGTCCTATTCATGACAAATTAATCTGTGTTGTATGGTTTAAGGACTATCACCAAAGTGATCTCCAATAAACATTTCAAAGGCCTTATGAAGATGTGTTAATGAGGAGTTCCTTAAGAAATTTTAACGATAAAACCAGGCAGATTTTCCTGTGCTACTTTAGATTGTTACCAAATTCACTCTGTTCATGCCCCCCATAGGTTTTCTTCAAAAGGTCTTGAACAAGCCAATTTCTTCCCCAAACAGATGTATAATACACAAATGTATAATAGCTTATATTGTTTCCCAGCTCTACCTGAATATGCCAGGGATTGAACCTATAAACCTTTTCATGCAATGAATGTGCTGTGCAACTCAGTTATGGTCCCTATATATACTCACTTTCTTGCCTCTACACATACTCCAGTTCTAAGACTCAGATTCAAGGATCTGCCTACAAAAAACATTCCTCTCTATTTTACTATCTCAAAGAAACATATAGCTAAATTAAATTAAATCAGTACTAGTTTGTTTTTTGGTGGGTTTTGTGATTGGGTTTAATTTGAAGATTATTTTATATCTGAAATAAAAATAATGAATAGTAAGTTTTGAAATTAGTAATGGTTGGGCTTGGCAAAGGCCTAGGCATATGCTGAAGTCTACTATTTAGTTTTCCTAACAGCGCAAATAATGTTAAATATGTATAATTGTTTGTAAAAGTCTATGAAAGCCTGATTCTATGAGTGTTTACTTCAGAGTAGGTTTTGCAACACTCAATGAAGCCAATTCTCATGTATACATACACAGAATTAGAGAATCAGGTTCTGATCATAAATCTATTCACTTTGAATGAAGTCTAATGAAAAAAAAGTTCCTGTGAATTCAAAGTATGCTTAGAACTGAAAGTGTTATGATCAGTTCACTGAAGGGATTCAGATTACTGCACTAAAAACATACGTTATTAATGAATAAATAATCAAAGCTGTATCATATTATTTATCAACACTTACAATTATTCCATCAGTAAAGAAATGAAAATAATTCCATATTTATGTTAATAATGTTCCACAGTCCAATTTGGATACCAACAAACTTTAAGACAGCGCAGTACCTGAAGTTAAAGTGAACCAAACTCAGGTTTCTCTTTGGGTGTGATGTACCATAACAGAAAAAAACAGAACAATTAAAACCCATAGGCTGTCCCAGAACTAAATTAAAGTGCCCAGCTTTTAATAAGATTAAAATTGTGTTTAAAAAACCCAGTATCTATATAAATGGATCACTACTTCACATGTATCCATATAAAATACTTTCCCCCCTCTTCAACAGAAAGTTATCTTGCTTAGCACTCTGAATACTGAAGGCAAGCTGTCCTTCAGAATTACAGCTGAAGCTTTTCCACTGACTTTCCACATTTGTTTTTCACCAGACATCTGACCTGATCAAAAGTACAAGTTTTATGTTGCCATTAAGATTAGAAAAGGTACTTTTTGCCAACAAATCATGTTATCAGAGAAAGTATTCAGAAGGCCAGAATCACTTGCTGCCTTCAAATAGTAGAGAAGCATCACATATCCAGCTGCATGTTACTTTGGTCAGATTCCCTGGGCCTATTGAAATGCATAGGCCATCTGTGCACATTTCACAGTTCAAACACACATTGCAGCTTTAGTAAATATCCTCCTACTTTAAACTATTTCAGAATAAAAACACAAAGACAATAACTCCACAACAGAGCTGCCCAAGCTGTACCAAATGTGACTTGCAATAATCACCATATTTTCCAAGCTTCTATTCCACTTTTGCAAAGTACTAAATAGAATTTAAACTGGGCAAATTGCACCCTTACAGCAAAGTTTTACTCCAGATCAATGGGATTTATAAATAAGATATATAGGATTGGCTTTAATTTTTATGATCAGGTAAAATGGAAAGTTTGATTCTTAAGTCCTTAATAAAAACAAATGAGAGGTCTCAGCAGAAACAGGTGACACTGAAAATGGCATTAACAATATTTACTTCATGTAATGTTATTCAAACATGCATCATTTCATGGATCACAAACATGCTAAATAAATGTGTTAGTTATTATTATAAGCAAGTATAAAACCCTTTGCAAAGTCAGGATCTCAAAAGTGACATAACCTAAACAAATTAACTATACACAATCAGGTGCTTCTATTTCATACTGCCAATCTTAAATACAAAAAATTCAAATACTATGTAGACACTTCAGGGAAAAGCCTTTTCCAAGTCACCCTTTGAGTCAACATCTGTCTCTCTACATAGCAGAAAGTTCCCAAGACCACTACCAACAGTAAGTAGTTATATATCTATATTTAGATATAGATATCCCCACATATACTATATAAGAACAGCAGATTGGAAGACTTTTTGTATATGCCCAGAAGCAAAGCATCAACGTGGAACAAAAAAACCCAAAGCAATAAAACAAAAATCAATGACACTTGATTACGTAGGAAGGAATAAATAAACACTAGACAAGAGCATGGAATGTGGCATTTTCCTTTACCCAACGAGTGAGCAAATTATAATATACAAATATCCTCTACAGTACTGGCCAAGATCAGAACACAATGCTGATACCTTTCACTCTGCATCTCCCTCAAAAAAAAAACCCCAACCCAAGCAAACCCCCAAACCCAAATATAACCAACCAGGAAACAATCAAACCGCTTCTTATAGTCAAAAGTAAAAAGAGAGAGAGAAACAACCCCCCCTCCCACCAGCAATCCAGATCTGCTTGCCTCAGAGTGAAATTGTGGAGCAGGAGCAGGCATTGCTCGCCTTACCTCCTTCTCCCATACCCAGATAGGCTTACCTTAGCTGCCCCCCACTTTTATTTCCTTTCCTGGAGCAGTGGAGAGAGAGACACACACAAAGGGTAATAAAGGGGGAGGAGGGGAGAGCAGGGGGATGGGGGGGGGAGAGAGAGCTGGCTTCTGCTGCTGCTCCTGCTGTGTGTGTGGTGAGGTGTCTCCAGCCAGGGCCAAAAAGCAGCAGCAGCAGCAATAGTAGTAAGAGGAGGAGAGGGGGGACTGTGTTGCTAAGAGGCTTTAGCTCTCTTCTCTCTCTCTCCTCTGACGGCCGAAGCGGGGGAAGAAACTCTCCTTCTCTCCTGTCTCTCTCTGGGATCCTCTAGCTAGGCTGCGGGTGGGGGAGAAACTCAAATCTCCTCAGGCCGAGCCCTCCCCGCAAACCATTTCAAGGTGGAATTAGTGCTCTGTCCCTTTAACAATATAAATAAAAGGTTCCCCAATCTCCCCCCCCTTCCCTCTCTTCTTCATCATCAGCTGCTGCCGCTGCTGCTGAGGCTCTGGTTCTGGCTGAGAGAAAGATGGGAGGCTGTCACTGCGCATGCGCCCCAAGGGAGCTTGCTGGGTTGAAGGAGGGGGGGAGGGAAAAAAGGTTGCCTCCCACAATGCCGCGCGCCGCAAGCGAACCCGGAAAAGGATTCCGCGAAGGTGGGAGGAGAAAAGGGGAGGGGAAAAAAAAGAGAGAAAAAAGAGGGGAGACCGGAAATTGCGGGAGGGGAAATCAAGAGGGCAAAGGCGGAAGTAAGCCAATGGGCGGAGGCGAAGAGGAGTAGAGTCGGAGAGAGAGACGCAGGAAACCCGTTGACTCGGAGCCGCTGCGCTTGTAAATAGATCGGCGCCCTCACGCGGGGGTCACGTGAGAGAGGTGCGCTCTCTCGCGCGCGGAGGTTGCCGGGAGGGCACTCATCAGAGCTTGGCGGCGGGAGCTCGGAGTAACGGCGGCGGGCGGGAGCCGAGAGCGAGAGTGACGGCGTGGGGGGGGGGGAGAGGCGCGCGCTCGCTTGCTCGGGAGTTTCCTGTGAGCGTCGCAGGTAACGGTCGGTCCAGGACGTGGTTTTGAGGAGGGTGGGGGGAAGGTGAGCGCGCGGGAGCTGCGTGGAGGAGGGCGGGGCGCAGTTTAAAATGCCTCATCTTGGCTTCGGTTTTTTTGGGTGGTGGTTTTTTAAAACGGGACGTTGGTTCTGAAGCGGTTCAACGGCTCTTGCACCTGCCCTCTCGCCCTATAAGCTGGGAAGGCGTGTTGGGCTGCTCTTTTCCTCAAGGCGAAATAGTGGTGGGCTGGGGGGGGGGCTTTCGTCCCCACTTTTTTTTTTTAAGGAATAAGGATCTGTAGGTGGGTTGTGAGAACGGGACACGGCCATGGTGTCATTAAGCCCAAGGCAGGATATTAGCAGGGGCGGTGGTTAAATATGCACAGTGGGGGGGAAGAAGCGGCTGGAAGGCTGGACACCCTGGTGGGATTCTGCAGGGACCTAGGCAGGCTAGTCCCGGATAATACTATTTGCAGCCCACTTGGTTATAATCTGTTCTTGACATTGACGACATCATGCCCATGGTGTGTTTTGAGTTTAAGCACCTTTTTTTGCATTTACGTGCCAGCCCTGTCAAAGTTACAGCAGCCATATAGAATATCGAAAAGTTCATTTATTTCAGTAATTCAACTTAAATGGTGAAACTAATAGATGAGATAGACTCAGGACATGCAAAGTGAGATATGTCAAGCCTTTATTTGTTATAATTGTGATTATCATGGCATACAGCTGATGAAAACCCCAAATTAATAGTCTCAGAAAATTAGAATAGTAAATGAAATCAGCAAAACAAGGATTGCAAATAGAGCGATATTGGACCTCTGAGAAGTAGAAGCATGCATATGTACTCAGTACTTGGTTTGGGCCCCTTTTGCATCAATTACTGCCTCAATGTGGCGTGGCATGGATGCTATCAGCCTGTAGCACTGCTGAGGTGTTATGGAAGACCAGGCTGCTTCAACAGCAACCTTCAGCTCTTCTGCATTGTTTCACCTGTAGCTTCTTCTCCCTACCTCCAAATAGATAGAGAAACTGTTAAGTATTGAGGACAAATATAGGAATTAGAGGCTGGCTGAGTGTTGACATACGTAAAGTGTTTGTAGGTGGCATAAATTGCACATGTATTATTTCTGAAGTGTCTTGACTTTGCTGTATTTGACAGCACATCCTTCTTCCATTTCAGCCCTCGTACTACTTGACATGTGTTGCGTAAATTGCTCCTGCCAAACTTCCAGTTGAAAATTATAGTGTGTGAGCCCCTCAGGGTAGGAATCTGGTTTCTTGTTCTTTGTAAAGTATCATGTCTGTTTGTTTAGAGCATTTGCATGCCCACTTCAACCAAAAAGGGCTCCCAGAATGGCTTCCATAAAATGAATAAAAACAAGACAGTCACTGACTAGAGGCTCACAGTCAAAAAACAAATCACACAAGGGACAGAGATGGAAAAGAGAAAGCAAACTCAGGCACCAAGTCAAACAGTAGTTCCTACAGTGACTAGCTAGTATAGAAACAGATTGGTTGGCATCAGAGATGTCTGATGGGAGTTGGTCTTTCAGCAGAGCTGATGGGATGAGAGCCCTACTTCCCATTTCTCCTTCTGACATAGCCTGATGGAATTGCTACTGCCAGGTGACAGTTGATGGTGCTGTATAAATATAATACTGTGGTGATAAAATTATGAAGTTATAAACAAAGATCAGAAATGGAGGACTGTGGTATATATATGGCCAGCTGGTATGAGATGAATAAACTGAAGCGGATTGGGTTTAAATGGAGGTCAAAATTGGGTTGGAGACTGCCTACTGTAAAGTCTCCACCCCCCTTTTTTTCTAAAATCTGAATGCAAAAGTAGCACTGGAGTAAATTAATCTCTTTATTGTGGCTATCACTACTGCTTTTCAAATACTAGGTTTTTTCTGAGCTATAGGGGCTTGTCTCTACTTCTGCTTGTCCCACTGCTTTCTGCGTATTGATGTTTGTTCCGATTCAGCAGTAACAGTCACTTTTCCCCGGGGAAAGCAGTGGGGCAAACAGAAAACTGTACATAGTCTTAATGTCAGCAACCTGTCTTCTGCCTTGGGTTCCATTATGCAAGAAAGGTGGGATATAAATTAATAAAATAATTGGTTTAAAGCATCTGGCTGTGTTTTCTTTTCTGAAAAGTATTGATTAAAACTAGGTGCATAAGAGTAAGCTGTGGTCTTTTATTGTATTCAGTTAAATAAGTACTGAAATTTGCACACTTCCCTTCCCAAAATCAGCTTTGAGTCACTGCACATTAGAACCCCTGGAACTGGGAGATGGTCCCATATGACTTGCCCTAGCTGTGACTATGTTCAACCATGGTTTAACATTATGTGAACAAGGTATCTAATTATATTTTGCCATGTTGTCCACACCAACAAAATGTGGTTAGCAATAATTGTGGTTAGTTTTAAACAAGCCAACTTTAAACTGTGGTTTTTGCAGCTGTACTTTTAAAACCACAACTCTGAGGAAGGTGGCAAGCTATGCTGAATTAGAAGTAACTACACAGGAGGAAAGGTTTGAGCCAAAGGCTAGGCATGGCTTGTCATGTTGTGCTAAACTGTGGTTTGAACATAGCTACTGTGCCCATCCCAAGTTTATTTTTGTTCAAGGTACTGTTCAAGCATGATGATCCTAGGCCAATATATGTAAGTAGGAAGGAAATGGGGGTTTTGCACCCTGGAGTCATATGCACCTGACATAAGCCCATCTCAGTGTTGTATTGAGCCCAAAACTTGTGACGAGCTTTTATTCATGATGCACTCAATTATAGGCAAAATAGATATACAGTGGTACCTCGGGATGCGAATGGGATCCGTTCCGGAGCCCCGTTCGCATCCCAAACAGAACGTAAGACGCGACAGCACGTCTGCGCGGGTCGCGTTTCACCGCTTCCATGCATGTGCGTGACGTCATTTTGACCATCTGCGCATGTGCGAGTGGCGAAACCCAGAAGTAACACCCTCTGTTACTTTCGGGTCGCCACGGAGCACAACCCGAAAGCGCTCAACCTGAAGCGTATTTATCCCGAGGTATGACTGTAAAGGCTTAGCTTTGGATTACCCCAGATGATATGTACCCAGGAAAGAGATGCTTTAATGTTGTGCCTAGCCCAACATTTTATATTTGCTTGAAATATGTAGTGTGAATGTTGGGGTATATTAATTGGAGCCAAGTCTTGTTTCAGGGTGAAGATCTCACAGTCCCTTATGCATCGTGTCTATTTTCCAAAGAAATGAAATTAGTGTCTGAGCATTACACTTCATATCACTTTCACACAGACCATGGTTTGGGCAGATGCTGACATGCATACTCTCTCTTGCTTTCTGAATGGTGACATGCAGTCAGTCAGGTGTTGTGAAGTGAGGCACTGGGTAAGGCTGCATAGCTGCTGCCCTGTTTTATTCCCAAAGTGTCTGAGCCCTGCTATGATGGGGCCCAGAGATTCTGAGGAAATGAGGATGGCAGTAGCTTTTGTTTTGCCCTGCCCTTCTCCTCAGTGGTGGACTGAGTTCCACCAGCTGCCCCTATTGCTGCTTGCCCAGCCTGTTAAGTTACTTCTGTCAGTGTGGAAAGCAGCACTGAACAGCACTGGACCACTGCAGAGATGATTGGTGGAGCTAAACCTGGCTCTGAGAAGAAAAGCACTGGGCAAAGCATCTACACTGTTTTCATTTTTCGGGGATCACTGAGCATCTTATTCAGTGCCCCTTCCAACTTGGCACCAGCCCTGCTTGCAAGAAAATGAAGTTTAAAACTAAACACAATTTTAAGACTTCTTGCAGAGAATAATGTTCCAGTGTCATGCATATGATTTGTAGTGGCCCATAGCTTATTTGGGGTCCACAGGTATGCACATTTCAGGCTTCTGTTGAATAAGGAACCATAAAACGATGCAATGCCAGTCTTATGTGTGAGGAAGTTCTGCTGTAACACAAAATGTTTCTCTTTTAGGGCTTGAATTACAATGAGCAAACGCAAGCTAAAGGAGGATAGCTTTACAAATGGGGAATGCATATCAAAGGTTAGTATAATTGCTTGAATAGGAGAAACAAAGTTATAAATGGGGGGGAGGGTTTGCTGACAAGTATGTATGTCCTACTTTCACATGTTGATTCTTTTGCGACTCATGTGTATGTACAAATGATGCATTTGTGGAGAGATGTGGATTCAGTCAGTCTCTCACTCTTTTTAAGTGTGTATAAATCTCTCTCACACAAGCTCCTTTGATAAATTCTACCAAAACCAATTCTGCTTACCATCTGATTGGATGTGTAAATGCAGCACCAATGCAGTCGCTTACAGCTGCACATACAAACCAAGGTCTTCATGTGTAAACCAGCAAGAACACCCTCAATTCTTCTCTGTGTGTCCCTTAATCTAGTAAGGGAATCCATGTGTAGAAGCCCACTTTCACAATTGCATACCTATGACTAGATAATTTCTGGAGTGTATATGTGTTTGTGTGTCACGAACTAATGCTGTGGCTACTGCTTGTTAATGTTTAGCTGGGGTGGGGTCATAACGCAGTAGGTAGATCACATGATTTGCTCTGTCTACCAAACTTTAGTTCCAGTTTTGGTCTCCAGCATCATCAGACAGGACTGGGAAAGATCCTTGTCTGAAACCCCGGAGAGACACTGCCAGTCAGAAAATACATTGCTGAGCTAGATAGCCAATGGTCTGACTTGGTATATGGCACTTGCAATGTTCCTAAGTAACTGCATCCCTACTATAAAGAATCCTGGAAATTTGTACTACAGCAGGGTGGGGGACATTTTTCAGTCTGAAGGTGAAAGTAGACAGAACAACAATGGAATGCAAGAACTATCAAACTGGTGCTAACATTCCATTTTTGTGTACGGTGATAGAGAGGTTCATGGCAGAGCAACTGCAGGTGTTTCTGGATGAATGGATTATCTAGATCCAGTGCAATCTGGAATCAGTCCTAAGTTTGGGACTGAATCAGCCTTGGTTCCACCAATGGATGGTGTTTTATGAACCATCCCGGACCCTGTGATCATTGAGGCCCTTCTTCAATCTTCTTACACTGAAGATCTGGAGAGTTCGGTTCCGTTTTTACTTCAGGGTCGTGTCCAAAAGTAGCTTTGGGGGACTGTTATTTGGGGCCATGGAAGTTACATTATGGGGTCCCCTTGGGTAATATTTTGTTCCCAGTACTGTTAAGAATGGTCATTAGGAGTCTAGGGGCAAGGTGTCATCAGTATGCTGATTATATCCATCTCTGTTACATCTGAACTGAGATGTTGTTAAAGACCTGGACTAGTGCTTAGATTCAGTTAGGCCAGTAAGCAGAGTCTGAATCCTGGGAAGATTGAGGCTTTGTGGGTGGATGGTTCCTGGATATGGAGATAGGCCGGTTGCCTGCCCTGGTTGGACCTATACTTTATTAATCTTCCTCCCACTAGAAATCAAGCAGGTACCATCCTTGATAAGTTGCAGACACCTGATTAAAACTATTTTATTTCATAAGGCATTTTCACCGTGAATGCTTCTTTGATGTTTTAATCTATAACGTTTAATTTATGTTTTATATTCTATGTTTGCATTTTGTTAGCTGTTTTGGGACCCAGAAGGAGAATGGCAAGATATAAATTGTGAAAATAAATCAATAACAAATTTGTAGCTTACTAACTTCCACAGGATAAGAGAAAATTGTTAAATGACAGCTGGTTGTGCTGTGCATATTTAATGTCTCTATAACTCAATATATGCAGGTACAAAGACTATTGCGTGAAAGGTTCTGTCACCAGAGTCAAAATGGGAAGTTGTTTGGAATTGAGCTCCAATACAAGTAAGGAAACGGTGTATTTATGTTTGTTTCAGATAACCCCTTTACTGATCTTGTGGACTTTAAACTGCAAGTTTAGTAGATAACAAGATTTCAAAGATTTGTCCCCCAAATACTGGTTTCTTACCCATCCTCAAAGGGACTCTAAAAAGACTAAAACATATTCATAGGGAGGGAGGAAATGTTCCCAGTGGTTCTTATGGCATATCTCAAATGAAAGCTCTGGCTATCACAGTGCCATTGCCCTCCCAGCCTTAATGGATCATTTCACTGAACGTGGTAGAAAAGCAACAGCCATACTCGTCCCAGAATTCTTTTCAGTAACATGGTCTCAAGTCAGCACCATAGCAGCTATTACATTAAGGAGGATGAGGGGTTCTAATCCTAACGCAGCATCACTTGACTTTACACAGGGCTCAAAAAGAAGTGTGTAATCTAGGTACCCACCAGTAAATAATGTGTTGGTGAAGAGAAGACAGCAGAAACTCTTTCATCATTTTTTTTTAAAAAATTGAATAGTTAATAACCATTAAAATGATACGAAATCAAATACAGTGGTACCTCGGGTTACACACGCGTCAGGTTACAGATGCTTCAGGTTACAGACTCCGCTAACCCAGAAATAGTACCTTGGGTTAAGAACTTTGCTTCAGGATGAGAACAGAAATCGTGCAGCAGCAGGAGGCCCCATTAGCTAAAGTGGTGCTTCAGGTTAAGAACAGTTTCAGGTTAAGAATGGACCTCCAGAACGAATTAAGTTCTTAACCCAAGATACCACTGTATAAAGCTAGTCAAAATTACCCTACTTATTAAAATAAGTTTGTACCTAATTTTTTTAACAAGCTTAGAGATATACTTACAGAGCCTATAAATCTAGGGTTAGAATTTGTCGGTAAAGATTTGTTTTTTAATTAACTGTCCTTTTTTTTCCCTTCCAAGAAGAAAGCTAGCTTCTTGAGAATCAGAAAAGCATTTAAATGACAATTGCACAGACAAATGTATTCTGTTCTATTTCTTGGTGTCATAATGTGTTTTCCGGATGGGTAAAGGGAGGTGGGCTGAGACTTTTTAAAAATAATGTGATTTTGTTTCTCTGAGATGAAATTTGATATCTGAAATTATTCCAGGTCTAAAGTTATTTGTATTCCTCATTCTCTCTCTCTTCATCCCTTACTCAGACAATTACTCGAGCTTCTGAAACGTACTGCTATCAATGGTGAAAGCAACTCTGTACTCATTATTGGACCTCGGGGATCAGGGAAGACTCTGGTAATATTTAATTCCATTTAGTTTTTATATATTGAGTCCCATGTGGAAAGTTGTAACTTAATGTACTGCATGAAAATTATCAGTGAAATTCATTTTCTTATAAATCAAATGCTGGCTTTGTGGTGAGAGGGAAGAAATTTGTTTCATAATGATGTTAAACCGAATTCACCAGCCTATGCATTTTTGGTACATAGAATGTGACTCTCAGAGCCTTTAACCTTGCTTTAACTTGTTTAGTTGTGTGCTTTCTTTCAAACATTTGAGATGCTTTAGCTTCTTAATGTGCTATTTTATTAGAGTTCCTACCTTTATTCTACATCTTTTATTCTATATTGATCTTTTTAGGTCTCTTGACTAGAAAAATCCTTTCTAAACTTCATAAATAAAACTGTTTTCTAACTAAGCTTTATTTTCTAGTTTTGATAGGATTATATCCTATGGTATCCATCCAGTAAGGGGAGGCTCTTTGAACAAGTATGTTCTCCTCCATCCTTTCCACCTTCTCAGGCTGTTCTGAAGGATCCCCATATCCTCTTGGGATTTGAGGAAGATGCAAGGGGATCAGGATACCATTGGCTGCAAATTTCACTCTTTGGCATGCTTCCTGACTAATACCATGTAGGGAATTGATACTTTTAATCCCTTGCTTTTATTTGTTATTATATTTATTTATATCCATTTTTAATGATACAAATCCTTATATGTAAAACCAAAATAAAACAATTAAGACAATATCAAAACATACTTGTCAGGATCTTTCCCACAAGGCGCTTACTGGTAGATAGCCCTGTTGTGGGAAGGCACAGGCCACCTGGAATAGGAGCAAATCTCTACTATTTTTCCTCTGTCATACCATTGTTTTTTTCATTTGTTGCAATTATGAAATAATTTTTAAAAGCTGCAACAAATGTTACATTCCACTTGATGCATTTAAAAGGTTGCGGTTTTAACATGTTCTTTATTGGAAACCAGAAGTAGTCTTAAATCTAAACGAACAATTATTTGTTCAGGTTCAAATGAAACTTTCTATGCACAGAAAGGACTTAAATCCATTGGGAATGCTACAGATAGAAGCAGGAATATGTTTATGGCAGTTTTTTTCTACAGATTGCCGTTCTGTCTGAGAGGTTACCCCAACCCACCAGTGCAGACTTTTAGCACCATGGGGTACAGTGGAAAAATAAGTAGAAATCATTTTCTTCTCTTCTCAGCTCTCTCTCCACCCCCCTGCTCCCAAATCCTGTGCTGGAATCCAGTCCCTTTTATAAACAGATTTTCGATTTTTGCTATTATAATAGTATAAGTCATGCCCATAAAAACTTGTTTCAGTTTTAAATCCTGATACTATGTAGTAAGCATATGGCATAAGAATTTATGTTTTGTTTTATTTCTTCCTAGTTAACATGTCATGTCTTAAAGAAGCTCATGGAAGTAAAGGAAGTAAGAGAAAACATCTTACAAGTTCATTTAAATGGTATGTAATTTGGTCACGTCAGCTGAATGTCCTTGAAGATAGTGCTAATTGAGCCTTGTAATTTTGTACTGATCTATTTCAGTTAACAGTTGCAAGGAATTGTAGTATCTACTGGCAGCAAAGATAGAATTGTACATAAAAGCTCTATAAAAAGCTGTGTTAACATAAAAGCCATGTCAACATAGGGTAGCTTCATGAAAACCAAGTATATAGACTCATGTGAGCAGACATCCACATGTGCAATGGAATTTCTGTTATCCACCTTGCATCCTTGTTGCAAGTCTGCCCCAGATGATCCCCTAACCACCCAGGGTAGATTGCCAGGAACAGGCTACCGAGGGAGGAGAGAAAAGAAAAGTCATGGTGCGTAGGTGGAAGTTCATCCTGTTCACACATGGAAGTTGGATACCACTATATATTATCAGTTTTAACAATGGGTTGCTTTAAAGGGTTGAGATTCAACAACTTGCTGTTTAGCACAAACCATACTTTGTTGTCAATCTGAACAGGCAAACAGATTTTCACTTTCCTTCCAAGAATTGCAAACCCTGCCGTAGTCTGTAGGTCTTGTTCAAAGGGCATGTACAAACCATGGCTATGGGTTTTTTTCCTAGACAGGATTTGAATGTGTGAGGTGAAGGAGTTGGAGAAGGGAGTATGCAAGCTCAAGGCTTACTCATATAATACCAAACAAGGCTTTGTTGCACTTGAACTGGCTAGCTTTCATCATTCTGAAACTAAGGATCCAATGCATCTTTGAGAAAAATGAGCATGTGAGCCTTGGATTCTTAATGACATTTCTAAAATTTGCTTTGGATGCTACTATTTGTTGAAATATAAAATGCATTCTTTTTTCTGTCTTTCTAGTGGGGTTTATAGAATTTCCAAATCTAGAATATTACATGTATTTGCAATTGTCTTCTAGGGTTATTACAGACCAATGATAAAATTGCTCTTAAGGAGATTACAAGACAGCTAAATCTAGAAAATGTGGTTGGAGATAAAGTTTTTGTAAGTAAAACATTTAGCTGTACTTAAAAATATATAGTCTACATTGATGTACTCTTTCAACTTGTAACTATATCCATATGCTACAAAATCATAAAACCGTGTAAGGGACATTGCAAACGCAATTCTCCCTTTTAGATTTCTTAGACTGCAACACAACCAGCTGGGTTATTATTATTTAATTGTTTATTTAATTGTTTATTGTTATACTCCCACTTACCTGAAGGCAGAAAAAATGTCATCATTCCTATGTTGTCCCTCCCCTTTAGTGACATTTTTTTCTGTCCTTGCTTGAAGCAGGTTTTTATATTATTATTAATATGCCACCCACCTGACTGAGTTGCCCCACTCTGGATGGTTCCCAACAAAATAATAATAAAAGCCCTATAAAACAGCCATTAAATCTTCCCTGTAGAGGGCTGCCTTCACATGTCTTCTAAAAGTCATATAGTTATTTATCTGTTTATCTCCTGCAACTGATTATTCCGCTCTGATTACACTTTACACTTTGTAGAAGCTGTTGCATTTTTTTTTTTGCAATAGCATACAGTTCTACAAAATACAACGGATAGGATTCTGGGGGTGTTGTTCTGGGGGTCCCCCCCAAAAGAAAAGCCAATTTCACGTGGTACAGTGGTGGTGGGAGGAGAGGGGGAAGCCCTGCTGCACAAATGGGAATGTTTGTGCATGGGTTCTGCAGATAGGCACTCGTTTGGTGAATCCTGCTACATGTTTTTATTTTAAAGCTTAATATCTACCAGATAATCATTCAGATGTTGTTATCTTTTAGGGTAGTTTTGCAGAAAACCTCACATTTCTTCTTGAAGCATTAAAGAGAGGTAAACATACTTTCTTGGTGATTAATAACACGTTATTGGGGGTTAATGACAAACACTATGACCACCTACTCCATCCAGATTACTAACTGGTATCCATTGGCATTTCTACAACCCCTGTTTTAAAGCAGCTGCGCTGGTTGCCAGTTTTTTTGCAGGCTCAGTTCAAGCTGCACACTTTGGTATTTAAAGCTCTAAGCAACTTAGGCCCCAAATATCTGACAGCCTGACTCCTTCTCTACTGTCTGCTTCTTTCAGACCATTAAGATCAGCAGAGGAACCCCTCTTGGTATTTCTGTGTCCCACAGAAGTTTGCCTTTGGCCACTAGGGAGTGGGTATTCTCTGTGGTAGCCACTAAATTATGGAATTCTCTCCCCATTGAGGTGCATCTATCATCTTTGTGGTACAATTTTCACTGTATGCTGAAAACTTGCCTCTTTACCCTGATCTTTGTAACTTTATTCTCTGTTTTTTATATTGTAGTTTCACTGCTGCATTAAATATTAGTATCATTCTATTTTAAATTGTATCATTGTTTTGTCACAACCCTCCCTGGGGCCTTATGGTGAAGGGTGGGTAAGAAAATCTGTAACTTAAATACTGCAGTAAAGGAACTGAAGTGAAATGTTTGGTGGCTTTGCCTTCTTACAACGAATTGGAAGTTCTTGCTAAATTGCAAGTTATGTTACAGTTTTTTCAGTTGCTTGCAAAGAGATACCTGTTGAGCTAGTGGAAGTCTTTGTGCAGAACCACTTAGTTGAATTGGGTCCCTAATATTTACCTGTTTGTTTTATGTATTAGGTGACCGTGCTCACAGTTGCCCGGTGCTGTTCATCCTAGATGAGTTTGATCTGTTTGTTCATCATAAGAACCAGACGTTGCTGTATAACCTCTTTGATGTGTCCCAGTCAGCACAGACACCTATAGCTGTTGTTGGTCTGACTTGTAGACTGGTAAAATGAATTTAGTTTTCTCTTAATATATGTCGCCACCAGTGCATGTAAATTCAGATGGTGACTAGTAAAGATGCTTCTCTTTAATTGGCTAGAGACCCTGTGGAGGGAAAAGTAAGAAACTTTTAGGGATTGTGAATCATTTTCATTACTAAATAAAGAATGCTACTTTAACCACACTTAGTAGAACTTCCTGTGTGTGCTACTGGAGTTGAAATAGCTTAGTCGCGTAATACTGCTAATAGTATTTGTGTTGGTAGAAAAGATTCTGTTCCTCTTCTAATGAGGGTTGATTGAGAAATCTTAACATGAAATACCTGTTCAAATGATCATTTTTAATAGATAATACAATTCATATAAAAATAATTTAAATAAGTTGCCAACACTGGTATGCCTAATAAACTGAAAACTAACATAGATATTTGATAGTAACTGAGATTTCTAGAATTTTCCGTGGCAAGCATTTAACCTATGTATACAGAATTTCAAATGAACTGTTTTATAACGTATGTATTGAAGTTGTCATTCTGCAGAGCTGGCAAATGCTCAAGCATAATTCTGAGGTCAGTTTGCATCCTTAAAAAGTAAAAAAAAAAAAAGGTAAAAAAGTTATCTAGCAATTGATATGTTTTTTCGTAGATTTCTTATGTTTTTGTTCTGTTTGCAATTTTTCACTAGGACATTCTTGAACTCATGGAGAAGAGAGTGAAGTCAAGATTTTCACACCGGCAAATATACTTAATGAATTCATTTGATTTTAAAAAATATCTGAATATTTGTAAAGAACAGTTATCCCTGCCTGCAGAATTTCCAGAAAAGTCCTTTATTCAGAAATGGAATAAGAATGTACAGGTAATTGAAATAATAGTAATAATCAGTCAATTGTAATTTCTTGCTGAAGATATTCAAACTGCTGGGTAACAGCGCTTATACAGCTTAAAAAGGAATGCATTGGAATGTACTTATTCTAGTCGAAATTAGGATCCAAGTTATTGTGTCTGTTAGTGCACAGACTTTCACTTGTGAAATGGAAATTTCCCCTCCTCTTCCTTGCAAATGCCCCTTTGGTGACCTCAAAATCAGCTCTGGATAGTTTGGGGACCCTTGGAGCAGATTTTGGAGTTGCATGGGAGGAGAGGAAAGGAAAGTCTTGTTGTGTGAGCAGAGTTCTGTGTACAAGCCATCATTTCTAATTTTAAAAGGAGTAGAAAAATTGCATATCAAGTATTACTTGAAGGTATTTTATTGCTTCCCTACATTCTGTTTTCAAAACCAGCCGCCATGTACATCTAGCACTGGTATCTGCCTCTGTAATTAAAAATTAGTTTGAAAATTGCAATACTAGATTGTAGAGTTCTAGCTTTGTGAGTTTGATGGACTTCCATTTCATGCAGCTCAATGTGGTGCCTTCCATAGTTCTAGATGTGTATCTGAAGAAGTGTGTATCTGAAGAAGTGAGCATGCACACGAAAGCTTTTGCCAAGAACAAACTTAGTTGGTCTCTAAGGTGCTACTGGACAATTTTTTTATACAGTATATTTAGATTGCAGAGTGAAGATCTCAAACACTGTTATGAAGAGCAACTATGGTAAAATTACTGCATTTATCACATTTTTAATACAAGACCCCTTTCAAACAGGTACATAAAAATCTCCCAAAGTGAGGTAAATTAGTACATAATGACATCATCCTATAAACTGAGTTTTACTAAAGTTTCAGCTGGGGAGAAGAAAACAGTTTTTATTAGTATTTTAGTACTTGCTTTGAAAGGTGATTGAGAGCAAAGTTTTCATCCAACTGGTCCAATCCAAATAACTATTGTACTGATCATTGGCCATGACAAATCTGAATAAATATAAGCAAAATAAGTACAAGCAAAAGGAATGCCGCACCACAAATAATAGTCTCTATTTAGATCTCTTTGTCTCCCTTACAGTTCACTGCCGTATGGTCCAGCGTCTTCTTTCTGATCTTTTTGTTAAAGCCAACCACATGGATTGCTTTTGATAAATTATAACAGATTATATTTTTGTGATCTTCCCTGAATCACTTTGTATTATCTTATCAACTGTGTTATCCTACCACCTGTATAAAAATGTTTAGGTGAATTAAGATGACTAGCTTGCTTAACAATTATTGATTTTGAAAATAATGTTTTAGTCTCTCTTAGAAGACCAAAAGGTGCAAGATGTACTGCAAAATCAATTCCATTATAGTAAAGACCTGCGGTCTCTCTTCATGTTGTTGGTAAGATCTTGGCACGTTTATTTCTGACTCACATTTTACTGTTATTCATGAAAATAAACTGATACTTCTAGTTACGAATTGAGTTAATACAACTACTATATAAAAGAAAACTAATATGGAAAGGAATATGTTTTGATACAGCATGCTGGCTTAAGCCCTTTTCTAGTGGTAAATGTTTTTCTGAGGATGGGATCCAGAGTTCACTCTTGCCACCAGCAGTATTCCCTGAGCAGAGTTCCACTCAGGAGATGCACTTAAGGGCAGAAGGTGATTACCCTTTCTGTAGCTCATAGTAACACTTTCCCATGGAGCGGTGTGGAAAGTCTGTGCCTTTTAAGTTCTAATAAAATTCTGCAAGTCCGACTTCAGTGATGTACTTGTGAGTCAAACCACTTCAAGATTTTGATGGCAATAAATACAGAGAAGTCTTAAAATAATATACAGTTCTATTTGCTAATGATCACAGCCATTGCTTGTGCAGTACAAGGCTCCCTGTTGACTCTCATGACATTTATTTTGTTTGGTGTGTCTTACTGTCTTAAGAGCCCCCTCCAGACCACTGGAAGGACCTCTATACAGTTAGGAATGTTAAATATTTCCCCTTTATTCTGTTTTATGTATTCTGACTGCAGGATTTGGGTTCAGAAACTGTGTAGAGAAACAAGTTTATTGAGGTTCTGTCTCTGGCCTGGTTTGAATATAACATTCCAGGCTCTATAAACCATTTCTTAGGAGACCAGGGACCCATGTCATGCCCTCATGCTTGTCTCTTGCCCCTCCTCTCTGCCTGCATACTAGCTTTAGTGAGGATATATTGGTTTCTTCTAAACAAGAAATATTTGTTAAGTCTGAAAGAGGAAATTCTGCTTTAAAACCAGATTTACTGTTTGGTGTGGGCAGTATCCAAAGTGGGTTAACTCCTGCTTGCTTGTCAGGCATAGAATCGTGTGACTTGGCTTTTTGTACTGTTCCCTCTCCAAAGGAATTCTTCTCCATTTCTTCCCTACCTTTCAAAAGGAGCAATCCCTTTCTCCAAAGGAAACCCCTGCCCCAAGACCACCACTTTGCTTTCCTCAGGGAAGTTTCTATTGTGGGGAGAGCTCTATTGCATGTTCCTTCATCACGGTACAGTGACTTCACCCACTGAAGGTCTTGCATAGCTTTTACATATTCTGCCTTAGATATCGCCAACACTACACAAGTCATGGAGTGTTGGTACTGTGCAAGTTTTTTCTGGTTGGTGTGCGGAAGTATTCAAGACCATACCTTTACTAAGATGTGCATATTTTCAACAAGGAGCCCTCACCCTTATGGGTGGCCATCACCTTGTTCAAAATTGCACCACAAGAGGTCTTCACCTCTTCAATTCCTCCATCACAACCCACTGTTCCCTTAACTTCCTTCTATAACTGTATTTTTCTGCTACAGTATTGGCCGTGGCCTCAAACTTGGGAAGGACTTTCAGAGAGGGCATAGTGCCAAAAAGCCCAGTCACATGATTTTCTGCCTCCTTTCAAAATAGGAGTTCACAGACCAACCAGAAAGAACCTTCACTTGTAAGTACCAATTTTCCAATCTCCACGCTGCAAACATTAATTTTTTTAAGAGTAGTTCTCTTTATAATGCAGCCGAATTGGACTTAAATCCATCTAAGTTGTTCTTGGTCTGATAAAACATTGTATTACATTTTCTGGTTGCCTCCTGAGCATTGTGTGTTGTTTCCAAAATTACTTCTGTTTCAAAGAGTAAAATAAGTAGGTGTAAAATTATGAAAGATCCTAAAAATGGATATTGCAATCAATATATAGCACTGTTGGATAGATTCTGCAGTAATACTCTCAGTTGAATGTTACAAACTATTTTGTATTGTAAATAACTATTGATGCTTTTATAATGACTGAGTCATTAAATATTTAAATTATTATTTTGTCTTCAGATGCTTGCTTCAAGTAGTATAACTGTGTCTCACCCGTATATCAATGCATCAGACCTTCTTGAAGCAGGCAAACACTGCAGAATGGACTCTAAAGCAAATATTGTACATGGTAAGATGACAGTGTGTACTTACTATCTTAAATTATGTGAGCAAGTTCTGAAATGCACTTTATGTGCTTTCTTTGTTTCAATTGGATCATCATGCCCCAAATAATGCTTTGAAGCATGCTCTGCAATTGGGTGTTTCTCCCTCTCCTCACTTGCTCTTCATCCTTTGTGGATCTCCAGATTCTCAGGGATGGCTGAAGTGGGCACTAAATGCACGGTTTGTTGAGGCTAGTCTTGACACTGCCACACAGCATCAGACATGTCTCAGTGGTAGATCATAAATATTGGGGAGGTGGAATAAGGCAACGCTTTAAGTATGCTGTCGCCAGTGAGTTTATGGCTTTATGTTTAATAATAGTAAGACCTCAGGAGAGTGCTGGCAACCTGTGCAGCTCCTGCAACACAGGTGTTATACCGGATGTGGGTACCAGTGGCCAGTAGCAACTGGGTTGCAAAATTCGGCACCAACTGCAGCTTCCAAATCAGCCTCCGTGGTCACACAACATAGAATGCATTACAGTGCTCGATCTTTCAGGTTACCACTGCTTCAACCACCATAGTCAAGCTATCCTAATCCAGGAATGGCTGCAGCAGATGTTGGTAAAAGGCTTTCTGAGCCATGAAAGTAACCTGCGCCTCAAGCAATAAGCCTAGATCCAGAGTGACCCCTCCCCCACAAAAAAGACTGCATAGCTGCTCCTTTAGAAGGGAGTTCAAGCTGCTGACAGCTCCAGACAATGGAACCACTCAACCACAGTGCTTCTGTTTTGCTAGAATTTAAGCTCAGTTTATTGGCCCTCATCAAACCCACACTGCATCCAGGAAGTGGTCCAGAATTTGCACAGCCTCAGCTGTAGGCTATTTGGTCTCTGAACCATCTGGGAAAGCTTCGCTGGCCAACAACTACAAGATACAGTGGTACCTCAGGTTAAGAACTTAATTCGTTCCGGAGGCCCGTTCTTAACCTGAAACTGTTCTTAACCTGAAGCACCACTTTAGCTAATGGAGCCTCCTGTTGTTGCCGCGCCGCCGGAGCACGATTTCTGTTCTTAACCCGAGGTACTATTTCTGGGTTAGCAGAGTCTGTAACCTGAAGCGTATGTAACCTGAAGCGTATGTAACCTGAAGCGTATGTAACCCGAGGTACCACTGTACAACGTACCCAGCGAGTGGGGTAGGTCCTACCCAACAGGTTGTCATCTTGGGGTAAAACCATGTTAGGCTTAGGGTTGTAATTAACCAAGTAGACTTCCTTTCCTTTATTTTATATTTGAAATGTAAAGTCATCTTTCCTTTTGAAAGCTTGAAGGAAGAAATAATAAAAATAGTTTCAAATAGCTGTTAACATTTTAGATTAGGCATTTAAAAAGCTATACTGCCATGAAAATAGCTATTAAGAATTGTCTTCTTTCTCTAATAGGTTTGTCTGTGTTGGAACTCTGCCTCATAATAGCCATGAAACATTTAAATGATACTTATGGAGGAGAACCATTTAATTTTCAGATGGTTTATAATGGTAAGGTGACATCAGATTCGCTACAAAATGCGTAGTTTATTACCTCTAAAACAAAAGTGTAATATAATTTGTATTTGTTTTGATGTAGAGTACCAGAGGTTTGTACAGAGGAAGGCACACACAGTGTACAGTTTTGAGAAACCTGTTGTTATGAAGGTATGTACTTTACTACATTCTTTTGAAAGCTTCTGTTTTAGTGCCACAGAGGACAAATAGTTTGAAATAAGATTGATAGAAGAACTGGAACTGTTAAGATTTAGCTCCCATTTTTTAAAAAAAAGATATTCTAAAATGTTTTAGGGTTGTATGCTTTACATAGGTGTCATTGTCTATCTTAGTCTTTTCATTATTGTATTTGGTACTCTGCTGCCCTCTAGTGAACATTGTATGCATACATGTAGCTTTTATGCTGCAAATGAGGTTTTTTTGTGATGGAGATGCTGTTTTAGAAAATGAAAATAAACAGTCTAAAATAGAGGCAAGATTTTGCTGCATCTTAATTCTTATTCAGTAGCAAACTGTAATCTAAAATATCTGTAACTGTAAATTATGTTGAATTTATCTGTGGATGATGGGGAAAGATTCTAATGATGATTTGGATTTTTTATTTTTAGGCTTATGAACACTTGCTGCATCTTGAATTGATAAAACCTGTAGAAGGACCATCTATGTGCACACAGAGAGAATACTTGCTAATGAATCTTCTTTTGGACAACAACCAAATTATGGATGCTCTGCAGGTTTACCCAAATTGCCCAACTGATGTAAAGCAATGGGCTACATCTTCAGTAAATTGATTGTGGATTTGAAATATTTGATGAGATTCTGGAAAGTGGTACTTGGTTACAAATAAACCAGACGAAAAATCGGTGTTATCTATTGAAAGATGACCTTTAAAAATGTTCTTCAACTGCCCAATGTACTTGATTAAAAAGTGTATCCCTCTTTTCTTTGGTTTATTTGTTAATATTTCCAAAGAAGTGGATTTTGATCTGCAACAGAAATCCAGTTTTCTGGGTGATACCCAGATTGGAGTGAATTCATTCACTTGAGTCTGTTGCAGTGGATCTACGCTGTGTATGACTAGTGTTGCATACAGTCTGGTGTTTACATTTTTCTTTTGGTTGTTGTCTAATAAGTGAATAAAGGAAAATGTTTCTATTTTATTACAGCCAGGGAAAATATTCTGTTTGTGTCAGTCTCTCTTCTGCTAGTTTACTAGTTGTGTTTAGTTAAACTCTTATACTGAAATTTTTCTTAAGTCTTCAGGAAGCTGATGGCAAATTATTTTGGATGTTGTAATAGTTAATACAGAGAAAACAGTTCTATTAAAGTCCTGATTAAAATTGTAGGACAACTGTTTGAGAAGAGGTAACTTGGGCTGACTGCCTGGCTGGCTTTGCTTTTCCTTGTGTAGGTATTTTCCATCTTACCACCTAGCAGTATTGGGGACTATAATTTGCAAAAAAAATATCAATGTAAATACGTATATATGGATATATATGTGAACCTATGGGGCAATTTAAATTGGAAGTTTAGAATGGGGCAGTGATGGAGTGTGGAGCTTCAGTCTTCATGGAAGGCAGCTCCTAACCTGCACTACTCAGAGAAAGAGAAGTCAGCTTTAATAATTGTCTTGAATATCCCCACAAACCAACTGCTTTCTTAATGCTCAAGGAGCCTTGTTTCAAAGCCTTTGGGCTACACTGTTGCATAGCTAAATGGGGGCTGTTAGCAGTTGTAGTTCAGCAACACACTTGTGTATCACCTCTGGCCATTGGCTGTGTCCACAGGACCCAAGGTTCCTCATTCCAGCTGCACAGGGTCAATTGCTCATGTGGTTATTTTCATAAAGTTTGGGGACTGTTTCTAGCTCCTGGTTTGAAGGTTACTTCTCCAGTGGGGGCCCTCTAGATGATGATGTACTCTTTAACATCCCCAAGCAGAATTGCCAGGAATGATGGTAATTGTGTAGTTCAACAGCACTTGGGGGAATCGGGCTGGAGAAGGCTGCCTGCTTTAATATGAGGAAACATTGTGCTGTGCTGCACTTGTAAAATGTTTTTCTAAAAAAAATACTGATTCTTAGCCTTGCCTTCCCTCAAACCCAGCTGTCTACCTTTTGTTCTCTTGTCCTTATCACTTCTCATCTGATGTAGGACCTCTCTGTAGCCTTTACTGCTATATTAAACTGGTTCTTTATCAAAAATCCCTTTAATTCCTAGAAGTTTCAAGAGCAGCAGATAACTCATGATTCTTTGGAGCTAGTTTTTACTATTGGATCTATATTATCAAAGCAGCTACTGGGCGTTGGTATGTTTGTGCGAATTTAACTTGATTGTCTTGTTAGTACTTATTTCTAAACTACCTCATGTGTCTTTGCCATATATGCACGCTCTATTTTCTTCTGTAGCTTCTTTTAAAATTCTGAAATAGCTACACACCCGTACAGTAATCTTAAATTTTAATGGGGAGTAAATAGGGGGGGGGGAGGAGAGAGAAAAAACTGGATTTGTATTTTCAGCTGTTTGATTGGATACAATACGTTATCAGCGCACCTTTTTGCACACTGTCATGGTAAACTATAAACTGCTGTTAAATAATGTATGGCATTTATTTTCTTTAGGAGATAGGGCCAGAGCACGCACACAATAGACTTCAGAAATGAGGAAATGTCATTCTCAGTTGACTTTGTAAAACTGTATGTGGATATTTGGCTTATTCGGCAGTACAAAACCACTTGATGAAAACCAGTTGTATAAGTAGATTTAAAATTGTGGCCCATTATGCACCAGAAAGAACTGTTTTGTGTCAGTAATATTTATGGCTATTTATATGACCAGTAGAAGGAACCCCCGTGTGTGTGTGTGTGTACACGCACACCTGTAAGTGCTCCAAATTACTGTATGTAAGAAAAAACTCCCCATGCTAGGATAACTGACAGCAGCAGCAGATACAATTTAAGATCGCAGGTCTGTGTGATGCACTTTCCTGCAGTCCATCACCAAATTCCTCCTCCTTCCCAGTTGTAATCTGGTAGAAGTAGTAAGCCTGGGTGAAGAGAAAGTATCATGGAGAGAGCTTCACCTTTGGGAAGAAACATGTATGAATATCTGCTGCCACTTTAATTTGCAGTCCCAGTTGTTGTGTTAGATGTGATAGTGTCTTACACACACTTGGAAGACAGGGTTACCACCGTAGTTCACAGTGCAGAATCAGACAATATAGGTGGGGGTGTTTTTTTGGGGTGTGTGTGTGGTATTTTCAGTCAAGGCCTGCATGCCTGCTATGCAAACAGTCAGGTATTCATCCACACAAGAGCAATTGAAGAGAGTATTGAGCAGCCTTTACTATCCCTTAACACTGGTATTGCTTTGGTAGTTAAGTATCAGACTTTCTCTTCTTCCCTCAGCCCACTTTAGCTGCAACAAAAGAGCAGACAAGATCTCTTTATTGGTTATTTGTTTACCAGTATCAGGCAAATGTAACAGCTTAGAGGGGAGGGTTCAGTAGCTCTTGGTCCATATGTTGTAGCCCGACAATCTGTAATCACAGGAGTGATTCCATCAACAGCCAGAATTCATTACATATTGGTAGACAAACTCTGAATGAGCCTTCAGTTTTTCTCACTTGGTAAAAAGTAGGGTTTATGTAAATACACTGTCCTTCAAATTTAGGAGCCCTGTTTGCACAAACACAAGGTTCCAACAGCCGTTTTATTAGTTCAGGCCCTCGCTCCAATATATGGAAAGTGGCAGGGATGAGAATGAGTGCAGTTGTGCTCTCCCCCTCTCATACCCTTGCAATTGTATGAGAGTGAATACCAAAATAGTGCCATGACAACATCTAGAAAGGCTTCACACACTAATTTATAACATGTATAGAAAGACAGTGTCTTTTTATTCTAATCTTAAACACGGCTGTTTACACTGATGGTGGTGGGAGAAATCCAGTCACAGTTGTCAGCTTAGCAAGGGCCTGTTTAAGGATGTACAGAGTAGTTCGGATCATCCCTTTTTTCAACCACTTCTGAATGACAGAGCAAGGGAGTATAAACATACTGGGCAATATACATATATGTTCCTACCGAATTCTGCAGTGGTCTTCTGCTTGCACAACAGGACTCCTCCCCCGTTCCCCCTACCATCGGTTCCAGAAAGTTAGGGAACCCTCTGGAATAAATATTGCAGAGAAAGCAGAAGTCTTGGGAATGTGTAAAATGTTGAATGCCACCCAGCATACATAAATTCAAAGAATTAAAATTAAAATGGGGCGGGGGAGAAAGACTATGCCAATCTTAGTAGTCACTTAAATTTTTATTCATCTTTGTGGGAATAAGGAAAGAGCGCATACATTTTATTTATACAATATTTCACAATCATTTATCCAGAATGGGGGTTATTTTCTTTTTAAATACTTGCCAAAAAATAGCAAGAGCAATTTGACAGTAGTACAACCACCTGTGCCAAGAACACTGACAAGTACAGAGTAAAGCTAAAATAATTGCTTACCAATATCTTGAGAGGTAACATCTTATATGGACTGAGTGTGCATTTAAAAAAAACCAAAACGTACTGCTGGTTGAGTATCTTGAGGTAAATGGTGTCCCAACAAGGATACTATCATTGTTTGCTCATAATCCTGTACATAGCTTTCTGCATCTTATACCAAATATTCCTAATAAAAATGCATTAAAAAGGTTAAAAAGAGAAAACTGGAAAAAGGTCAACCAATCAAGTCACCTCACTTTGTTAAACTACAATCAGCAATTTATTCTGTAGAACTGTAGTATGAACAATATTTATTACTACTACATCTGATTACACCTTAGTTATGCAAGAGCTACTCCACATGGATTTCGCTATCAAAGAAGGTATAATGTTGTGTATTTTAATCCAGACTCATTTTCAGAATACCACCATGAATGAGAACGCTAGGTCAAAGAACTCCAACAATTACGAGGCACAATCTGTTCCGAAATGCTAAGTTATATTTAGTAGGAACTGTACAAAGAGTAGTCATGCATCATGTGATATACGTTCTTAGCATCTAACACAAACTGAAAAGGTATTGCAGGGTTTAGACTTCTGAGTTGATCACAAAACTGGCTAATCAGTTAAATTCTGTGGCAATTATATGGCAGCCAACTAAGTAGATACAGGCAAACCAAAGACAACTGAAAGCTTGAGCCATAGCCCTAAGCTTTTCTTCACAAGTCAAAAATACAAGGTAAACCACCCGAGCTGGCCAGATCCACACACGCTGTATGGTTCAAATACAAAAAGCAACAATGGTCACAATATCTGCCAGAAACCAGAGCATCCTAGGCTCAGCCTTTCTCTCTCTTAATATGTGGCTTTATTTGTGGGTCTTGGCTTAAGCATTTTAAAACTTGCCCACCTCTACATTTTCCGCATAAGTTGGAAACAAAGATGTTGAGGTTCTCTGCAATATCTTAAATATGGATCTACAGTTTGGTGAATTTTATCAATTTCACAGATTCTACCAAAATAGCTTTTAAAAAGTAAGATATTTTTCCTGAACAATTAATTCATGATAATTCTCTAAAAATCTGAATAAAGGTACTTATTGGGGGATTTCAAAAGTCATTTTTTTAAAAAAAGGATGGAGACATTACCCCATTTGATTGTCAAGTTCTGATGATTTTCCCTATATGACCTGCAAACGGAAATGCATTAGCAAAAAATACACAAGAGAAAAGTTGCCACCTGGCTCAGGGATCATATTGGTGGAAATTAGTGTTTGATGGAAAGCTGCTCTATTAAAATTGGAGTAGATTCTCCAAAACAAACATGGCAACTGTGTTTTAAACTTGTTACTGTATTTACATGTTTCTGGATAATCACCAATACACAGTTCCTACATTGTCCTAATATCTGTCCATTTGGATATTTTCAGGCAAGACTTCTTAAGTTGTTATATCAAGCCCTAAAATCAGAAGCAAGCACATAATTTACCTTAGTCCAAATAACAGTAATAATTCAAAGTCCCTCTGTCAACAAAGAAAAATAGCAATTGTGCCCAACAGTATTTTTAACCCAATCAGACCTTACGGCTACAGAAAAAAAGATAAATTAAAAAAACCTCTGGGTGGTATGCCAGTTACACACAAAACAACTCTGCTATTACTGCTCTTCCTAGCAAGTTTGGTGATCAAAATTTTGTTAATAAATAATTCTTATTTGTTCCCAGAGATTTGGTACATAAGAAAACACTGTGGCTTAAATAAATAACTGTTACAAGAACATTCACAGTGAACTTCTGATTGTGACATTAAAAAACACGATTTAAAAGTCTAATGCACCTGACCAGAATCTCGTAACACTGGCTACTGTTGGTTCTGTACTTTAGATTTAGACAGTTAACTTACTTTGGCCTGTGTACATGTAGCTGATCAAATAACTCTAGTGTATTATTACTTTTGAGAAGTACTTTGGCACCTGTCTACTTGCTGCCCAGTTACTAGAGTTTTCTTTTTTTATGGTAAGGCTTAACTTCTTAAATGCCTATAACTCTTGAATACAGTAGTTTAAATTTAAAGTTGTAGGGTTGTTTTTTCTAGACTGTGCTACATTGTAATCTGTACAGAAATAATTGCATTTGATGGCAAGCATATTTTGAGAGCGAATGTGTAACTTATTTTTAATTTAGTGACCACAGGGCAAACCTATGCATCACAGAAAAATACTACTCTGACAAGTCGGCACCAAAAATCAAGTGTTGTGAAGCTGCAAAAGGCAACACATGAAGAGTGAGGAGTTCTGGGTAATGAAGCTTCCTGAGGTGATCCTGAAACAGTGATACAGAAGGTGCTGTATCCTGTTTAGTGAAACAGAAAATACACTAGGCAGAACATTAACATACATAGATTGGAAAAAAATCTTCCTTAAAAAGAATTAAAATTGAGAGCTTTCCAGTGCCATAGCTCACATAAAAATTTAAATTTTTAAGTCATGCTTAAATCTTTAAAATATTGTCACACAGCAAACCTAAATAATATTTAGTAAAATAAATGTATGCAATATTTTCGGAAGTGGAGGTAAAATAAAAGCTTTAAACTAGAAACCGGGGAATTTGCCATTTCAAACAATACTTTTTTATACACAAGCTAGAACACAGAAAGGCTAATACCACTGTTTTAGGAATGGCCATTGTCTGTTGGCATGAAGCACAGCTTACCATCTTTTTATTTAAAAAAACAAAACACTGTGAATCTGTAATACATATTTTACAAAATTCAGATCAATCAATTATTTCAGTTTTGTTAGTGTTGTCAATTTAGCATAGGTGGAACTGAGGTATACCTTGTTGAGGGAGGTTAAGTAATGCTTGGAAGCCTTTTTGCTAGATCCCACGTTGATTACATAGAACAGCAGCACACTAAACATTCACAAGCTGTGTCATATTGGCATTACAATAGTCATTTATATAAACACAACAGCAAATGCAATAAAAACAAGTTACCCTTTTTTTCTTAAATCTGAAATGAAATGTTTGATTTAAAAAAAATAGCAGTAGTTCATTTTAAGGAATTAGTGTCTCTGACATATTAAGAAATACAATGTCAGCTTTTAAAATCTTTCACCAGCCAGGATAGGTCCATGTTCTTCAAATAAGTTCCTGAAACATCACCTTGCCGTATTCTCAGTCCCACGTCCTTCTGGCATATGCAAGGAATGCAGTAAGTCTCCTGGATTCATGTCTGGAGTAGGGCAAGGAGGCGTCTTCCTACTCACACTCCAAAGACAAACTTACCATTCCATAATTTCACACAGAGAAAACTGTTGAGCAGAAACAGGCCCGTTAGCTTAGCAGCTCCAGTTCAGAGTCTGATGGGTAAAGATGTGTGACCATTGTAGCTATCATAGACTGGATTCTTTGGGAGGAAAGTCTACATTTGTCACCATGGTGACCACAGTCACAATGTCCTCTGTTGTTATAATGTTTGTTAGTCTTTGCATCTGAATAATCCTTTCCTCTACACAGCCTGCTGATAATCGAGCTTCTGCATCATGATCCCAACACTCTTCTATTGTTTCACAGAGCATTGCCATTCCCTAAAAAGGAAGGTGTATAAATTACATTAAATACAAAGTAATCATCATCAACAACATAATTAGAATAGAAACATTCCATTTTTGACGTAAGCTGTCAAGCATGTGATAATCTTAGAAGAAACTTGAATCCCTCTTATAGTAACACACACTTGTTTAAAAACAAATTTAATAACCTCCCATTCGGAGAACTCTTAAACATTCTGTACATGAGGCTGCTCTTGAAGATGGCTTGGAAACTGCCTAATTCTGCAGCCAGCATTTGGATTGGGGCTGCAGAACGTGTATTACACCTGTTCTCCCTTATGTGCATGCACTTGCTACCAATTAACCAGGTGTCCAATTCAAGATCATGGTTATCAACTTTTAACATTCTAAAGGAGAAAAATTCTGTGAAACCATTATACAGAAACATTACTACTAGTATTAACAGCAACTTGCAATGAAGTAACACTGCAAGCCAATTTTCATTCAATAAACCTTGCAAACTGGCTGAGCCACGAGTTTTTGCACTCTATGAGACAAGACAATTTTTTTACAATTTTAAACACCTGAAGTATACAGTACTACAAAATGTTTCACTTTTTTTTATTATCATTCTTACAGGCTCTTTTATAAATCTGTGATTTCTACTACACAGAGCAAGACCAACAGTTGTGGTTGCTTCTGCATAACATAGTTTACCTTTGCATCGCACCAATTTGAAACACCAATAGGATATGGCAGAAGATAGTCACAATGTAATCCCATAGAAATCAACTGGATCTACGTTAATTGTGACAAAGCCCCATTCATTACTTTTAAAATGCTCAATTTATGCTCAATTGTGCCCATGATTTCCCCCCTGAACTTCAAGAAACATGTTAAACAGCTGAATATGTTACTGCCTCCAAGTAAACACCTGAAAGATAGTAAAACTTTTTAAACATCCCTTGGTTTAAACTTCTCCAAAAATATAGTCTGGTACCCTGAATCTTAGTTTCACTATAGATTTTTTAAAACAACATTTCTGCAGGTGAAATTTAATTACAAATGGAAGCTTCAATATTACCCTGCAAGTTTGAGCATATTACTTACAGCATGCTTCTGCCAACACTCTCGCAAAACAGGCCTCTTCTTTTTATGTACTACAACCTCCTGCATATCTTCAAGGGAGGGATGCTGGCCCACCTCTTCCTCGAAAGGCAACATGTACTCATCCACAGGTCCTGTATTTTAAAAAAGATAAACTGTTAGGTAAATCACATTTATACATCATTCTTCCATGCTGCTTAGGGTAGAACACTAGGCTAAAAATTGGCAACATGCCCATGGCTGTTCATTGAGCATAATGAATCTCCCATGGTTCATGCACCTATCTTCTACAGAATGTGGGGTTCAATTCACAATTTCAGTTAAGCTTCTATTATCAGTAAAATATAGACAAGTCAAGATGTTCCATCCAAATGCTTGCATGTGGGAACTTAAAAATTGTGGTATGGGGGAATCCCCATATTCTAGAAGCACATCTAGCCTCCTGCATTGAGGCTACATTTTAATATTTTAATGTTGTATTTTAATGTTGTTTTTAAGTTGTAATCATTCAACTTGTTTTTATTATTGCTTGTAAGCCGCTCTGAGCCCGGCCTTGACTGGGGAGGGTTGGGGTATAAATAAAATCATCATCATCATCATCTTGTGCATCAACTTGAGGTCAGTGATTCAAGTTTGTCCTTTTAGGACATAGTCATTGCACTTCAGTACACAATATCCCCAAAGAACAGTCAGTTTGCTCTCCAAGCATTAAAAACTGCAGAGGGTAACATGCCATGCCAGGATGTTTTTATAAGGGTAACAACTCACTCCAATGTTCAGTTGAAGTTAGTTACAACCCCAAATACATTTTATTCTTGCCTTGACATGTTTGATCAGTTTGGGTTGATGGCTTAGGGCTTCGAGTTCATTCACACCTGTTCAGATATCCATATTAATGAATGGCCATCTCAACACTCTGCTTTTGCAAGATATCTACAAATACCCTTTGGAAAACCACTTCTGCTCCCTTCTGTAAGGTGAATTCACCTTGCTTCAACCCTGCATTCTGTAATTATATGTAAGATTATCTGCTCCACTCCCACATTGCTGAAAGATTGCAGAAAAGAGTAGAAACAGATTGCACTACAGTCTGCTTCAACAGCGAGAATTTGATTAAGCTACTACTTGCTCCTGGTAACCTCCTACATGGGTAGATTTCAAGATGAGTGGGCTGTTTGCTGACTCTGGTCAGATGCTGTTTTCTGGGTTCTGTACCAACACTCATGGACAGTTTTGCTTTAATTTCTCTTTATATGTATCCAGCGGAAATAATGTGAGCTTAGAACATTTCATGTGTGTACAACGCATATACATTTTACTTACCGTCTGATGCAGTACATCGTGATGCAAGTTCCCACAGGACTAGTCCCATGGCATACATGTCTATTCTCAAAAACGCATCCCGCTGGAAGTTTATGGCACCTTCTAACACTTCTGGAGCCATATATCTTCGGGTTCCAACCTTGAAAATAAATAATCACTAGATGTTAGGGTCACAACCGTATGTTATTCAGGTTTCAAAATCTGCTAACATCCAGCATGTGTTCTAGGGAAATTTTTAAACATCGTTAATTGCCATTTGAATGGAAATTACGTAAAGCTCTGAAGTCTTTCATTTTACTTTGGAATAGCTCACATTCTAAACCAAATGAAAATTCAATAACATTTCTTAACAAGTAAGCTGTCCAGAATATTGCATACTAAAAGAGCATTATTATTATTTTTTATGTTTCAGTAGCCATCAGCATTCTTTCAAAATGGCTAATAAAGGAATTAAGAGATACGAGAACTATTGGCAAAGGTGTGTGCTCCATCCTGCCCCAAAAGTTACATAAATCTGTGTTTTAGATCTCTTTCAGGCTTCATAAGAGGAAGGAGAATCATGTCTGAAAGCAAACTAACAGTTTAAATTTGCCTACTTGGTATTACCGTATATACTTGAGTATAAGCCGACCCAAATATAAGCCGAGGCATGTAATTTTAGCACAAAAAACTGGGAAAACTTATTGATTCAAGTATAAGCCGGTTCACCACACCACAAACCTGGTGGTAACGGCAGTGGCGGAGGGAGAACAAGTAGCCCAAAAGGGCTGCTTTCGGGCTGCTCGTCCCTCTGCCGCTGCCTCTGGCAAGAGCAGGCATAGGAGCCGCAGTTGCGAGAGGCACAGAGCAGTGCCTCTCCCAACCGCGGCTCCTGTGCCTGCCCCTGCGAGAGGCGGGCGGCGGAACCAGCGGTGAGAAAGGGCTCCTTTCAGGCCACTCGTCCCTCCGCCGCTGCCTCACTCAAGGGTAAGCCGAGGGGGGCTTTTTCAGCATAAAAAATGTGCTGAAAAAGTCGGCTTCTACTCGAGTATATACGGTAGTTTCTCTGCAGTGTTAAAGTGCTCGTATCAATGATTACTATGCTACATTTTATCAAGAGAAAGCATTCAAAACTGATGTGACAGACCTAGTCTGATTTTCATAACAAGTCTGGAAGCCTCCTCCCTCTCATGGAAAACTCCAGAAAATAGGGCAATTTATTTCAATCACAAAAAGAATCACAATTCTTTAAACTTACCTGACCATGTGTGTCACCTGCTGACTTCCCAGCCTCAAATTTTAAAGCAAGGCCGAAGTCAGCAATACAAGCTGTAAGATTATTTTTCAACAACACATTCTTGCTTTTGATGTCCCTTGGAAAAAAGAAAACATGCACCAATATAAAAATTGCTACATAATCATAAAGCTTAAAAATACCTTGCTGAACAACACCTGCATATGTTTGAACCTCAGCTTAGATTTATTCATTAAGCGTAACTATCATCAGGGGCTCACAAATGCTGGCTCTTACAAAGCTGTAAGCAGTGATCACCAGCAACCCTTGGGCCTTCTGAGTCCTGTACAGAGAAGGAAGGCTGTTTGCTCTTAAGGTGCCTCTCTCTGCTGCAGCCCTTTCAAAATCCTAATGGGAAGGGAAACAAATCATGCCACCATTCCACTATAGAGAATTGAGTAGAGGGCAGAAAGGAGAGGCAGTTTCTCTCCTAACCATTTAATATGAATTGGGGAGAGGATCCTGAACTCACGCTCATTTCATGCCATCATCACGGTTTGTTCTTTTTAAAAGATTGCTTTCATTGGGCCAAGTGAAGGAATAGTATTGGTGTAAGAACCACCACAAGCCACTTCAAAGAGGTTTTTCAGTTTGCTAACTTTACTTCACAAGCTTCACAAATCTGGGGCAGAAAGCTGGAGTTTCAGACCTTTTCTGTATTTGTGATCCTGCAAGGAGGCATGGGAAAACTAAAACCTGAACTCTCCTTGCTGTTGGGCACAACTCAACACAGGTAAACAATTATTTTTGTATTCTTCCTAAGCCCTAGTCTTAAACTGAAAGGGTGAAGGCACCTGCTGTTTTTAGCAGTAAAATACGCAGTCATATAATTAAAGAGTAACAAGTTTTCTTGCCCTTCAATGCCACAAGCATCTCCATGAGAAATACATTCATCCATCGAAACTAATATTGGTGTCTAGTGTATTGTTCCACTGCTTATGTAATGGAAAAGTGGCTTTTCATAGTGTAAGTATCACCATAATAGTATTTAAGAGAAAGAAATGTGTCAAATGGCACTTTCAAACTCACTTTTTAGAGGCTGTGTGTGTGTGTGTGTGTGTGTGTGTGTGTGTGTGGCTTTTAGCCAGTGGGCTTCATTCCCTCAGATCCACACACATTTCCCTATCCAGGCAAGCAAGAGGCCTCACAAAGGTTCAAGGACATGTTCTAGCCTGGCCAAAGCACTCCAGGAGGGCATAGTGAAGGCCCAGTGAGAGAGATGAGCTTAGGAGAATCCTGTGGACCAGATAAAGCAGTCAGGGGGGCACATTTGGGTCCTGGGCCTGAGGTTCTCCTCCTCTTTCAGAACCATATTTATAAAGTGGCCTGAAGTTTTTTTTTTATGTGAAACCCTACCCCATCAGATGCGGTTGGAATTAGGTAAGTGAGATGGAAATTATACTATTTTAATTGTTTTTATTTTAATTATTTTATTTTAATGGCGATTTTATCGTTTTAACTCATTTTTTTATTTTCACCGTAATGAGTATTTCGCACACTACAGTTGTAAATAAATGATATGTAAACTGTCAAAATAAATATTATCAATTAAATTTGGCAACCAACATACAAATGTTGCTTTTCGTAACTCTAAACATGATATACTTCTTACCGTCATGCAATCACATAAAATAATACAACTACTGGACCTCTGAAGGATTGTGAAGTTAATTTATTCTGTTTACATTTAAAATGCAGTGACAGTTCAGCTGGTACAGTGGTACCTTGGGTTACATATGCTTCAGGTTACATACGCTTCAGGTTACAGACTCCGTTAACCCAGAAATAGTACCTCGGGTTAAGAACTTTGCTTCAGGATGAGAACAGAAATCGTGCTCCAGTGGCACGGCGGCAGTGGGAGGCCCCATTAGCTAAAGTGGTGCTTCAGGTTAAGAACAGTTTCAGGTTAAGAACGGACCTCCAGAACGAATTAAGTACTTAACCCGAGGTACCACTGTATGTGAAATCTCTTACCTATGGGATATAGCTGGTTTGTGTCCATCTTTTAGACCAGGGATGTCCTCATGAAGGTATGCCAAACCTCTAGCCATACTTTCCGCAATGTGACATAGCTCATTCCATGAGACTACATTAGCCTTCAAGAAGTCAGTAAGCGAACCCTAAACAACAGAGAATATTTTTTTTTAACATCTTACAGGTTTTCAACATAGCCCCCCCCCCCCAACTGGCTATAACAAGATATAGGTGTAAAACAACTAGTACAAGTGTCCCAGCTGCAGATCTTTGTAAGTGCTCCAATGTACACAAAGATATTTTTGACTAGCATAGGCTTCTCCTTATTCACTACAATATCAGGAAAGAGCCACACAATTTCCAATACTGCTGCAAGAAGGAAGTTTGCATACACATTTAGAATACAGCTCTGATAAGTGCCTTGACTAGGATGCACACCTGTTAGAGATGACATGATAACTGTTTGATTTCCAATGTGACAATTATCCTGAACTCCCTTTCAGTCTAATTCCATCAGATTTACTCATAAGGGAAAAAATAGCCACTGGTAAGCTAGAACGGGCTTTAGAACTTGCATGGAAATTTCCAAGGAACGTAGAGAATAGCACACACATTTAGGCACCCATCTTAATTACATCCACAGTTCTAAAACCATAGATACCCAAGATACTCTGTGCCTAAGATCATAGGGTAGGGAACTCAGTGAGAATACAGAGATGGTTTCACACCACAAGGTCTGTTCAACAGAACAGAAAGTAGAATTAAAAGCCATTAGCTCTGTGGATATAAACCACACTGCATATTTGTTTGTCTTAAAGAATGGGAGGATAAATCTAATATATATTGGGTGGGGGGGACTTCGTGCTGAGCTTTTCCACCTCCAAGATCCATAATACAATTTAACATTAGCCTAATATGGTAGAAGCAAGAATGCACTTTTTTTTTTTGCTATATACATTCCCAGCAAACACTCATTGTTTGAGGGCCAGAACTACTTTTAATAGCCTGTTGAAGTACAGATGCTTTAGGACTATACACCAAATCCATTTTCTTACAGCAAACATTTTTTCAGAGACGGTGGGCAGTAGGGGGCTGTTATGAAAACTGTAGTACTTGACAAAGACAACAAACCTTTTCATGAAACGCTGTTATTAGCCACAAATCAACATCAATGTTGGTGCCTCGTTTCTCAGCACCAATAAACTGTAGTATGTTTTCATGCTTCATTCCAGGCAAGCTGTATATTTCATATTCATTTTGCCATGACTGTTTGTCCTTAAAAAGAAAAAAAGTCTTTTAATATATTCAAAATGTCTATTAAAAATCTCTTCTGCACTTTCATAACATTTCCCTAATTCACTGTCAAAAGAAAACCAGTCTTTTATATAATCATCCAATGAAGTACTGCTAATCTTTGCAATTTAGGAGACCTGGAAAATACGGACCTGTGTCCATTTAGACACAATGGGTTGGATCCAGACTAGGAATGGTATCCAACTTATTTGTTCCATCAGGACAAGGATTTCTGCTCTTCTGGGTACCGCTAGAACAGATTTAGGGGGTGTAGGGGCAGAAGGGCAGGAAATTCCACTGCGCAAGTAGAAATCCTTGCACTGATGGAACACGTTAGGATTGCAGTCTATGGGTTAGTTATCCAGCTAACCCTACTAGAAGGGAGTAAATACTGTTGATTTCATTGGGGCTTGCTTCTTGATATGCAGGGTTAGGATTACAGCCCAAATTAGTTTCAATGAATTCAAAGGGGCTTACTCCCAGGTAAGTGAGGCTAGGACTGCAAACTTAGTTGTAAGTGAAATCAATGCAAATTAGCAAAAACAGTAACACTAACATCAAGGTGCCAGACCCTTAATGTGTGTCACATATGATAATAAACTTCATTTAAATCCCAGACAAACAAGCTGCTTTTCAAGTTTTAATAATTAATAATAATAATAATAATAAATAAATTATTATTTATACCCTGCCCATCTGGCTGGATTTCCCCAGCCACTCTGGGCAGCTCCCATTTCCTCAGTTAGCTTTGCATGGGAGGTGGGTATGCACTTTGGAAAGCTAAAGTCTCCAAACCACTCCGAAGTTTAGAGTGTTTCTGATGCAGCTCAATATGATGCCTTATTAACAGTGAAATCCAACTTAAATAAAACAGAATTATTCAAAACACCCCGATTTGTCTCATAATTCATGGTACACCTAGAGCTGCTGCACCGTAGATAGATAGATAGCTAGATAGATACTCATAGGTTGCTGTAATATTACTCTTTTCAGAGCAGTGTAAGGAAGAAATTCCAGCATTTCTCTGGATTGTACATGTAACAATTTGCAAAGATGTTGTAATTCACAGCAGTGTAGCACTTAATAAGGATGTTTATATACCTGTATTGGGAATATTTTCACAGCTACATATTCATTTAACAACTGAGCTTTCCAGACACAGCCAAATCTTCCCCTAGCTTTGATCTCTAGTAATTGCAGTGGCTTCAGGCCCATCAGTGGCGATGGAGGTGGTGGTCCAGGATCCTAGAAACAACAGATAAACCCATTAAACTCTAGTTTTCTGTACTACAATCCTCTAGCATGGAGAAGGGGAAACATACACATGGGGGGGGGGGGCCTCAAGTTCTGCCAATAAAATTTACAGCAGAAGGCAAACTGGGCTTTTAATACAGCAGTGTCCCAAACCTTACCAAGATCGTATTTGTTGAGATAATTGAATGGCTGCACCTGTGTCTCCTTGAAAAAATTATTTTTCAAAACACATTACAATAAGCAACCATACATCAGGCACCAAGTATTTCCTAAAGCACAGCTGAAACTATCATCCAAGAGAACTATTGAAGAACTCAAGTGGTCACCTGAGGCCCTTTAAGCTGCGTGTATCAGGTTCTGTAACATTCAGCTTACAGGTTGTGACTACTCCTGCCAAGTGTAATTGCAGGGCTAGATGAGATGGCAAGACCACTTTTTAGGCAAGCATACCATTTCATTTAACACTATAAAATTATTTAACACTATAAAAACCTACAGTGCCTATTTTAGACATTTCCTATCTAAACAAACACAGGCTTCCCTCTTCTATGAGGCAGTTTTGCTTGACAATGAATAGAAATGAAAAGATTTAGCCACACAAGACCAAATATGTGGAACAAATTTTCCAAATGATAACCAAGTTATGCAAATACATAAAGAGCAGTTTGTTTATATCAGGCACGTCCAACAGGTAGATCATTATCCACTGGTAGATCACTGGACGTATGTGGTAGATCACTGGCTCCCCCCAAAGAAGCTCAACGTTTTTGCCCCCCACTTCCTCTTCCCTAAAAAGCTTAACAACGTTGACCTGAACCCCCCAAAAGGGGGTAGATCACTGCCAGTCTTTAACTCTGTGAGTAGATCTCAGTCTCTTGGGAGTTGGCCACCCCTGATCTATATGGACTCCCACTTCTGCTGTGTATATAACAGAAATGTCACCTGGATTCCCCATCCCACTTTGCTGTATACATTGAGGGGAGAACAAGTCTTGGGCACCCTTTGGACTCAGCCAGAGGGAAGGCCGTTGTTCAAATTTTATTCCTTCTTTCCTTTACAGAAGAGCTCCTTCTCAAACAGCCAACTTCTACCTTTAATATGCAACTTCCTACCTAGCTTGCCTTGCCCTTACTCCAAAGGTGGGGAACCTCCAGCCCAAACTTGGGCTACCAGCCTCCCTCATTTGGCCTGAGAGGCTATTTTGGGGAAGCCACACCAACCCAACCTACACAAATCAAGTGTGGGGTCAACTAACGGCAGCCCTTCAAAGGACAATTGGGAGATTAAGGTAGGCTCCCAGCTGTTCTTTTACTGGCGCAAGGTGCACTCCTCATCACCCATCAGGGCCTTGCTCAGGGAATGGGATACGGTTTCCATGGAATAAAAACCACTTCTCAATGTGTTTATCCTTTTCACGTCAAACATTGAGGGGCGGAGGGAGGCCAGGTCAATTATCTGTTCCCCCTCCCTACCCTGTTGCTGCAGGAAGCGAGAAGTATGCTTCCTACTCTCACTTCTTGCAGTCGGGGTGGGTAGAGACACCAAAGAGAAGCAAGGCTTTCTCCCATATGTTCCTACCCCTCTGCAGCTGTCACTGTGCAAATTTGTCAGTACCCTGAACACACCCTCCATTCAATTCCAAGCTCTGATCTTTGCAGCACAGCACAGCAAATGTTAAAGCTGGCAAGAGGTTAAACTAATGAATTGCTGTTTCTGTAGCTCTCTGTACTAGCCCCTGTATAAAAGGTTACAAAAGGGCAACTTTCAAATATATTGTGGGGTTCTGCTTTCTGACTTTAGTAAACTGAATCAAGCCATTAATTTATTTCCTTTACCAATTATAATCTATGAATTACAGTCATAGTCAAACTACTACATTGCATTTATTTCACATTTTCTGGATGCCATAGCTATAAAAACAGGAGTTACTAATAACTAATAAACCCTCATTGAAAACAAGAAGCAAAGCAGTGTCAATGAATATTAGTATAGATGGATAATAACTGATAAATACAGAATATGCAGAACCTTTAAAAACAGATTCAGTTAAGTAAGTTACCTATGTAATAAACAACTCATCTGCCTTCAGATATATTTCATGGAAGGGGGAGCATGAATATGTGTTCAGATAAGAGGTGTACAAAATGCAAATCTTATGTAAGCCTATTTCATTTCCAAATCCCAATCATGACAACAATAGATTTAATGCAAAATATACAATGGAACAAATTCAATGGTCATGATTGAAATGACTGCTTGACTAGCTTTACATACCCAAAGGTCCTTGATCTTATGTTTTCCAAATTCATGCTACATGTCAAAACTTATCAATGTAGCACAGTTTTCTCTTATTGTCTCCACTTTGCCAAAAGCACCCATAAAAGTTGTAAAGAACAGCATATATGTCAATATAAAATTTGACCCCAGGAAATATAAATTCCATGTTGATTGTAGTTGGAACAATATTAAGATTATTCTACTTAAAATGCTGGGGTATGCCACCACAAGTCATAGCCAGATAGTGTGATACAGAAACAAAGAACCATTTGTAGGAACAAAATCTACCTGTACTTTCTAGAATTCCCGTATATGATTTTTTTTTTAGCTCAAACATTTATAAATGCCCAGGTCCTGCCCCAGTCTACAACTCCACATATCCATGGCTATGAATAAAACAATGCCTCTTACCTCTATCATTATATGAAAGGCGTGCTTGTAAAGAAGAACACACAGGCAAAAGAATATTACTTCATACAGCAAAAATTAAGTACAAGCTTAGGAAAAGTGATAAAAGGGAGGCACTAAAAAGTTACTGCTAAGATTTTGTATAGATCTCTTTAAGAAAAATCAAGAACTAAAATCACCCAAGAATTTACATTAATTCTCCTTTGACTGTAAGAGATGCAGCAATAGTTACAGTATGACACAAATTAAATTTCAGTATTTAATATCATGTATTTTATAAAGTTTCCACAAAATAACCAATGTGAAATAAATCCGAGCATGCTGCCATTGTCGCAGAATCTCAGTGACATACTACAATGCAGTCGTAGCACTAGGGAGTTCAATCCAGTGTTAGAAACAGATATGAAAGCTGAGATATGGCCACAACAATGGAATGTCTAGGCACATTTTTTTTATAACAAGAATACAAAGCTAAAAATGAATGAACTGCAGCTAAAATATTATGTTCGTTTTTCACATAGTCTAGTCCTTTCCCTGCCCACCTGCCTAATATTCTTAAGAGTGTCTCTTCTCCAGTCTTCAGAGAGCGGCTGGATTTGGGAGGCAGAGAAAGGCCCTCCTTTCCTTCCGCTTTGCAGTTTTAATCTGAAATCTTAGGCACAGTACTGCGTCCAAAGCTCAGAAACTGCTTGCACTAATGAAATTCCTTGTTGCAAAACATGCGTAGGACAATGGGAGTTTCGAACATGGGTTCAATCACCGATTAAACAGATGGTTTTATAGACATTACTATGAAATTTTCAACTTTTCTAAAGTAATATGCAAGTATGAAGAATTTGATATGTTTCTACATTACACCAGAGGGCAGCATTGCATCATCTAATGGTAGCTTAAAACATTCTGAAGCAAGATCCAAAAATAATAATAAGAAAAACAAAAACACAACTCTATTTTAACTTTCTTTTTAAAGTGAACTTTTACTTTTTGAGTTAATACTTCTATTCTGGGAGGTCAACTAAAAAAACGTTATAAATGCACTGCTTTCTCTCAGTTTTGTTCTCTGACTATTAAATGACTCTCAGTAAAACCCTCAGTTTCATTTAAGTTTTATGCTGGCAATGACTGTACAAACTCCAGAGCTTCTGAAACAAAATCTGGAGCCTAAGGTATATATTTTTTAAAAAAACCTTTAAAACATTTATGTCCTATTTATGGATTCTCGCTTATTTTTGAAAGATCATTTGTATTTAGTTCACTTTTACTTGAGCACCAATGGGAATGAGCAATTTATTTTTTAAAAAAATACAGGAAATGAAGGAAATAAAAAGGTGGCTACAACCCACATTAACCACCTACAGTGGTAATATGCAACCCTCATATTACTAAATACCAACCTAAAATAGTAATTTAGTAAAAGACCAACAGTATGGCAGTTTTTACAAATACGAACAAAAAGGCCTAGATCCTGCTGACAAGAGAAGTGGGATATAATATACAAAAGAGGACATCCTCCTTCATCTCTGGATGGAAAAGAAATATAAGGGTTCACTGGAAAGAGTAGAGCTGCAGAGAAAAAGACAGGGGGTACAGGACAAAGCTGAAAAAGAATCCAGACAGAGAAGAGGATGGGAAAGGAAAGGAACATGTAATGCTAGGAACAGAATCTCAATATCGAAAAGCTTTGTTCAGAGGATAAACTGTCCAACACCAAAATCTATCAGTACAGCAAGGAATAATGTGCAGAACAACACCATTTCTGAAATGCTGCAACTACCTCTATTTGCAGTGCTGATACACTTACACATTTTAGATATACTCCAACACATCTGCTAAATTCAGGGCATTATTATATTGATATTTTTGTACTGCATATGTATTTTTATATTATACACCAGCAATATGTATAATATAGGCAGCCTTAAGAATGTAATATTTTAAGTAAAATAAATATTAAGTTAGTAATAAATTGAAATTTTATGTTCAGAGAATGAACGGAGGCATCAGTTTAGAGTGAGGAAGGAGTTTACAAAGTCTAAAAAGCTAAGTCTTCTTGCTTGAGCTGTTTTTAATTGTTTTAAGGATATTTGTTTTTTTCATTTTACTGATTTTCTTTTTTTTTATGTCATGCTGTAACCTGGTAATGACAATGATGAAAGGCGGGGTATACTTTAAAAAAATAAATGAACAACTGTCAATACGTACGACAGTTAAGTACTAAGAATATATTATTTTTTTATTTAAAAAAAATGTAATGCCACAAAAGTAGAAAGAAAGAAAGAAAGAAAGAAAGAAAGAAAGAAAGGCCTTTTAACCCATTCCACAGCAGCATGAGACGACAGGCTTTGAGAATCAGACTTGCACTATCCCTCCACTTTGCACTTTGTGTTAGGACACTCTTGAAACATGGAAATACTCCAAGTTTCCCATGACTGTTGCCTTTATTGTCATGGAAAGACCAACTTCATTTCACCACTTTCATTTTTAATCAGAACCATGCTTTTAAGTGTTTGCAACACAAGCTTGGTTTAACAATAAACTAAGAGAAAGATGAGCCACTTTTAAAAGAACCAGAACAGTAAATAAACTCCGCTTAGCTACTAAGAATGATTTTGCACATTCAATTTAAGTAATAGCCACCATGCAGCAGCAGATGCAGGCTAGCCTTATGAAACCCAGTATCCTCACATTAACTAGCTCCCGCAAAATTGTTTTATGACAAGATTTATTCATCAAATTACACATGTAAACTTTTAAACACAGCTGGTTCATAGAAAACAGAAGCTTATAAAGTTATCTATAAACCGTCGGCTACTATTGCAAAATTCAAAACTTTCTTTCCTGAAGAGAGCTGCATTTTTGAACTGCTGAAAACTGCAGCTGAAACATGTACTAGAGACCAATTTATGAGGAAACTGGGTGTAGTGGAAAGAAGATCTCTGAAAACTTCCAAAATTAAGCAGCCTATTTAAACCAACATAAAGGAGGATTCTGATGTGGAGGTACATTTTGAAATTATTTCTCCCATGTGCTGTCTCAACCTGCACGCTTTTGAGAAGTTCTGTACCACCTGAACACGCTTAAAAGAGCCCTCAAACTAGAAGAGATCACTGTGCAGCAGCAAACACTGACAGCAATTTAGTTCTTAACAGCATTTACACAAAATGATTCCAAATTGGTCAGCTAAGAGAGATACTTCATAAAAATGAGGTAGTGCTCATCTCCAAGGGAAACCATTTGACCTTTAGGCTTTTAATATAAAAAAGACCAGTATATCATGAACAATTCCTTTTCCATTGCAATAATCCTAAACATATGGGCACCCTCCTTACACCTGGTGCAAATGTGTCAATATCCTCATCTGTACTCTTGCATTAATGAGTTTACATCAAAAGCTCTACATCTAGCCAAATTTCTGCAACAAAAATGCTAATAAGAATCTGTATATTATTACCAATAATATTTTATAGGATCGAGTCCATTGTAGGATTCAATCCTATAAAATCTGTATCATAGGAACAATTCTTTTTTAAAAATCAGATCATGTTTATTTTCTGATTTATAAACACAATAGGTAGTAATCAATGCTAGTCCAACTCACACTAGACCCACTCATGTTAATGGCCTTGACTAATTTAGGTGCATTTATGTGTTTGTGTTTGTTTGTGTTTGTTTGTGTTTGTTTGTGTTTGTTTGTGTGTGTGTGTGTGTGTGCGCGCACGCGCGCGCGCGCGCACACACACACACACGTGTGCATGCATGCATGCAAATGTGTACATGCACACATACAACAACAAGTAGAGACAAAAAGGAAGTAAAGGCAAAAGGGAAGTTAATTTTAAAAACAGGTGATTCCAGAGAAACCAAGATAATATGTACCAGCACTGAATAATGCACTAGCTGAAACAAGCTCAAGTGGTAATCATAGCATCACCTCCCTTGTCACAGACTGAATCCACTTCTAGCTATCTGACAGGACATTCAGCGCTTCCTGGTTGCATGCACAGCCAAAAGACTTGCTTTTATCTCAGCTTATTAAACAACACGACTAATGCCTGAATACAATCAAATTATTCACCACCATGTGTAAAGCTTGTGTGCCCTGCCTTTACGACACATATAACAGACCGCCTCACTTTTAATTTTAGTTCAGTAAATTTAAGTTTTAATGAACTGGATTTTTTTCTCCAGTGACTTTCTATGCTATGGGTTGTGAAGTAGGCACATTCTGAATTCTGAAACAACGCTGTAGACATCAGTCACTAAGTAGCTGCCCATGGGAGCATGGCAAAACACAAAATTACCATACTGCCTCTAACAGTGGAAGTGGAACATAACCTTATATTCCATAAATTTGTCTCATCCTCTTTTAAAGCTATTCAAGCTGGTGGGCCACTACTGTGGGGCCATCCTGTGGGAGTGAGTTCCATAATTCCAACTACGCAGGGAGTGAAGAAGTACTTTCTTCTAGAGTAACATTTCTTAAGATGCTGCTAGATTCTAATGTTAGAGTAATAGGGACGCAGGTGGCGCTGTGGGTTAAACCACAGAGCCTAGGACTTGCTGATCAGAAGGTCGGCGGTTTGAATCCCTGCAACAGGGTGAGCTCCCGTTGTTCGGTCCCAGCTCCTGCCCACCTAGCAGTTCGAAAGCATGTCAAAGTGCAAGTAGATAAATAGGTACCGCTTTGGCGGGAAGGTAAACAGCGTTTCCATGTGCTGCTCTGGTTCGCCAGAAGTGGCTTAGTCATGCTGGCCACATGACCCGGAAGCTATACGCCGGCTCCCTCGGCCAATAAAGCGAGATGAGCGCCGCAACCCCCGAGTCGGTCATGACTGGACCTAATGGTCAGGGGTCCCTTTACCTTTTAGATTCTAATGTTTAATACTTCCAAGACCAAAACCTACAAGTTTGTTTTTTAAGTCTAAAATCTCTGTACTTTTCTAATGAATGAATCCCAGAAGATAGAGATGAAGTTTACAATGGATTAGTTATGCAGAACATTCAACCACCATCCTGGCAGTCACTTCAGGGAACAGAGGACACCTTCATTCATGGAAGGGCTGGGGAAGAAGCCCCCAGTTTCCACAAACTCCTTTCTCTAGTTGAAGACTTCCACACCACATGCTGACACTCCCAAAACTCTCAACAGAGCAAGACGTTGCAGTGAAAATGAGAAGCTAGGGAAGAAGCCACCGCTGAAGGAGAACTCCACTCATACTTCTTTTGATCCTAGTCATTAGATCCAGTCACTCACCATCATCTTTCTGCAACAAATGAATTCAGATCAAAAAAACTGGCTTACCTGGGTTGGTACAAGTACTGGAGGATATGCTAATTTGTGGTGTCGGTACATCCAAAATGAAACCAGTATGATCACTGCAATTCCCATTATAGGCACAAGAGAATAAAGCAAGGTACTGAAAAGGGGTGGTTTAGATGCAACAGGATTGGAAGTAGCTGCAGGGGAGAAAAGTTCCCAGTTAGTCTTCTGACAGTGTAAGACCAAACAGAAAAGTACCAATTCTTATAAACAGAGAAAAGTAAAATGGACTTCATATGAAACAGAGCATCATGATATCAATGGATTAAATCAGATCAAAGGTTAAACACTGAAAGGTTTAAGTTTGCATTTCAACTTTCATTTAAGATGCTTTCATTGTGCCCATTTATTCATTTATACTTGACATATGTTATGAGACTTGAAAGCTTGTGTTGTATCTCATCAGCAGAATTTGCTCCAGAAAGCAGTATCACTTTATCTCCCATGTGTCAGACACATAACTACTTTAAGACCCTCTAAGGATACTTAAAAATAGCTCCCAAATTTAAGAATGATCAAAATGCTTAAATTCTTGCTGAGAAGTTATTTTCAGTATGAATCAATGACAAAGTGAATGTTAAAAATAATTTTACCCTTTGTGCTTTAAGTACTAAATTTAGCAAAACGTTATATAAAGTAGCTGTTTAGTGTTTGCCAGTTCATATTTACCACTTGCATTCAGTGAAAAGTTTATTGATTTTGCAGGAATATCTTTGAATTTGATTCACGCTATTTTCAGTACATCTAATTTAGTCCATTTCAGCCACAATGTTAAACCATAGTTTAGTGTTATGGGAATGAGCCTCACACCTGCTCACTTCCCAGTCCTCCTCTGGTATGGCCAAAAGACTTGAAGAATCTCTCTTCCAGGTTTCAATTAACTGATGCTGGTTACATCTGAACAGGAAACTTTGGTTAGTTTAAACAAGCCAGTATGACAGACCACTGTTTGACCCCAGCTTGTTTCAATATAACCAGGAGTGGCAAACTTGTGGCCCTCCAGGACTCTTACTCCCATTGGCCCCAGTTGTCAAAAGGTTAGTCACCCCTGCAATAAGCAGTTTGAACTACCAATGCAACAAAATGGAAGTATATGCTTCCACTCTTCTTTTCACAGTGATGTATGAGGAAAGAGATGAGGAAGGAAAGGGAACAGAACACCCAATGGCCTCCATGGTTTGCTCTTATTGTTGTTCCTGTAAATATGATTACATTATGTCCAAACTAAACCACTCGTATCACTGTGTATAGACATCTATTATGATCAGTGACCAAGACATGCAATTGTTACAAAGGATATTTATGGACTGAAGACTGTTGGAAACACAGCTATTTACAAGCATGTAGCTTTTAATGTTAAAAAGTCCTTCTGAAATTGGATAACTAAGATTTCATTTGAATGATTATAAAAGTTCTTATTAACAGAATTTCTCTTAAGATCAGCACAAATAAGTGAGGGAAAATAACATTTCTCAATGTTGCAGAAATTGAACTGTGACTAACAGTGACTATCTAGAAAAACTGAACTTACGTTGTGTGACCTCCATTTCTGGAAAGTAGAAAAAATGTTGATTGCACATGTTGCCTTCACAGCAGCAAAAAAACACATCAGGACTGTCCTTCTTTTCTATACAGTCGGTTCTGAAAGAGTTTAAAACCAGTTACTCATCTTCATTTTACAATGGTATAAATACACAGACATGACTCTCCAGCAACTAATGCAAAGTAATAAAATATCTGCTTTTAAAACATTGCGTCATGAATCTACATTTGAATATTCTTGTTGCAGGTGTTTAAACCAGATCTGTACCAACTTTTCATTTGGCTCATTTATTGTGATGTAAGGTGATGTTACAGAATGCATGACATTTTCCCCCAAGCAGCAGGTTACCTTTCACTACAAAATTGTGATCCATTCACCACTCTTAGCAAATCACACTGCTCATTGCTTCCCTTTTAATACTGCTGCAGATCATGCTGTGCATATTGCTGTGGACCTCTGAAGTCCTAGGAGCCACTTTAAAAGACACAAGCTACTCAATATATATAGAGGCTGATCTGCTTCCATCTCTGCCAAGAAAGAAGAACTGTGTGTACTATAGAATGCCTCCTTTCAAGTGGCAGGTGCAAAACATTTTGTTAAAAGGAACTTCCATTTCAGCTGAACCTTAATTTAAAGTATGAATCAAAGTAGCTTCTTTTCAGAATAATTTAAGCATGTCATCCTTCCCCAACCTGGCACCCCCTGGATGTTTTTGGAAAGTTGACTTTCATAGGCTGAAAACTATGGAACTTGCACCAATTAAGACTGGACTGAAAATATGCTACTATGATTTCACACTTTGTATTTTACTACATCTCTTCTCTTGTTTTAATTTAGTTTAACACGTTAACTGATCCACTGTTTTTATTTTTACACTATCTTATACTGAAGAATCAGAACATATTCACCCAGGATACTGTCCCCCCCCCGCCAAATACAAGGAAATTCATCCACATTTTAATATCACAAATTATCTACCCACCTACATTTTAAAATTACTCTCTGTATAAGTATACTTAGAAGTATATCTACATAAGTTACGGGGTTCAATCCTGATAATGGATGGTGCCTCAACCCCATTTTCAGGGACTCTGCACCCACCTCCCCTTTCTCAGCTCTCTCCCACCACAGCCCACCATATTCAGCAAAGTATATCCTTCAAAAGAGGATCTGCAGGACTTGGGAGAGGAAGACGTGATAACTCAGTTTCTGCTAGCCCTTGGATATATAAGTGAAAGCCTCCTTTTGAAAAGCTGACAGAAAGTTTATCTCCAGGTATTGGGGGCGGGGGGAAATCCTATCAGTGCTTGCGCTTTTTCACTTCCACCTCTAATAGCACAATAAGTCTTGATGTGGTGGCTTCTGAAGGGAATCTATTCCAAAGGGAATCTATTCCTTCTGCCATCCCCAAAGGTACCCCCCCCCCCGCAGTTTTGAAAAACTATAGCCAACAGACAGAGAGAGAGAAAATCACCATCCTTGAGTATCTTGTCTGGCACAACTTAAAATTTTGGTACTAAATATGAGTAGAAAGTAATTTTAATATATCAGTCCACTAAAACTAGAATGAGTCAATTTCTAAATTAATGGTTTCATTTAAACAGCCGCTATCTGTTGATGAACAACAGGGAATCTTGTAGCACCTTAAAAGATCAGAATTTGTGCAGTAAACATTTGCCCCGCATATTGAGTAGACAACATGCTTTCTGTTCCTTTAACAGCTATGGTATTTATTTTCAATTACATTAATAAAGAAATATAATAATAATAATAAAATAATAATAATAATAATAATAATAATAATAGAAGCAGCAGCAGCAACAACAACAATTTATTTATATCCCGCCCATCTGGCTGGGATTCCCCAGCCACTCTGGGCGGCTTGCAGCATATCTAAAAACATAAAATATCAAGCATTAAAAACCTCCCGATATACAAACATACAAAGTGTAAGTGCTATAAAAAATATTGTAAAATATTGCTGACTAGAAAAAAAACGGTATTTCAACTGAAAACTAACTTTAACCGTGTTTTTCTAACCCCACTAAAAAACCTGCAAGAAAGCTGTCCTTGGTTAGAGAACTGTCCCCAAACAACATTATATGGCTTATGCCAACTTACTGGCACTTGCTTGACATTTCTTCAACCATTTGTTTATGAAAAACTGTGGGATGATTTACTACCCCAATCTGCTAACACTGACTAAGGTAATAAATGAATCCCAATGGCAAAATCCAATGCATTTCTTTTTGTTTCCAGACAATAAACAGTAAGTGATAATTGGTTGAAATTTGTGGGCGTTGTACAGGTGGTGGTTTGTGACAACGCCGACTTCCGTGGGTTTGAATGTATGTTTGCCAGCACCCTAAAGTTACAAATGGCAAGTGCTGAGATAGTGACACTCAAAAAATTGGGTTGGCATTACGTTAAAAGGCTCTATAAGATCAAGAGGCTCTGGGTTTGAAGCAGCCCAATTGAACTATAAGCTGTGCAGACTTTATTCAAGCATTACTTTTTAAACACATACATGAATAACAAATGAAAAAGTAGTATTAGTTAGCTTGCCTGTCATAACAGTTAATATCGTCCAGCCAGCAACCCTTTTTCACAATTTCAATAGTTCCAGAAATATTCTTCCACGTTGCAAAGCAATGTCGTCTTTTATCTTTATCACCGTAACACAGTTCAATGCCACTGCGATTTGTTTTATCGGTTTCCCAATTAGCATTGTAGAAGATGCACTCCTGTGTCTCTGATCTGCCTAGTATGGCACCTACATGGGGAAATCAATTACAAACCAAGTTATTCAATAAGGTTGCAACATGTTTTGGGTGTTCAGAACAAAACAGCATTAAATTTATCAATACTATATACGTATATTATTCAACATTTATTTATTTATTTAACAAATGTGTTTATATACGGCTATGTCATTTTTAAAAAATCAGATGGTTAGAGCAATAAAACATAAAATCATACAATAAAAACCATATAAGTTAAGACATCAATTAACAATTGTGGAAGAATAGATTCTTAATTCCCTGCACAGGCTTTGTAGAATAGAAATGTTTTCAGCAGGCGTTTAAAGGTTAGCACAGAAGATGCCTGCTGAAATCTCTATTCTACAGGACTGGACTGATGACATTAAAAGCTCGATTTCTTGTTGTCAAATGAGCCTCACCAACCTGGAGAATGGCCAATAACACTTCTGCAGATGATATCATTGGTCAAATTGGGATACAAGGGACCGGCAAATCCTGAGATACCCTGGACCTAAGGTGTTCAGGTAGTTTAGGTTCTGTTCCCAGTACTTATGATTTTACCTCAACTTGGCATGCATCTCAAACTGTTTTTAAAGTAAATTAATAAAAAGTAGCAGAATAATTGTTGTTTTGAACTATTGTCGTTTAACAATTGTTGTTTGACAAACTACAAACACTAATAGCAAAATAAAGTTTCTTGCTGAAATGTTTTTAGAACAGAAGTAACATTTATGCAACAGTAGCCCTCTTAAGAAATAGACTATAAAAGAACATATTTCAAAATATGTAACTGTCTCACATATCCAGCTGGAGCCCTCTACTATAGGGAATGGATCTGATGCTGTTGGAAACTTGTGGTGTTAAATAGAAATGTCACCAATGAGCCTTTTTGGCATGACACTGAAGTTCTCTAATTATTTAACATGAAAGGTAACCAAAATATTTGAATTTTTCTCATCATGTGAAACTCAAATACAGGCAGCAACCGTTTTAGGCTCATCCGATATGTCTGTGATCGCACACACGCACATTGTGCTGAACCCTGAAGTGACCCAAAAAATCACAAAATGGGTGGGGTTGGGGCAGAACAAGGGTGTTTGCAAGCTTTCCCAATGGGCGTTCCAATTATATGCGATTTCACATAAGCATATGTGCCTTGGAATGTATCCCCCACATAAATTGGTCACTGTCTCTACATAGTCTAACAATCCCACCAATCATTGGGATCCATCATCTATAAATGTAGCACAAACCTAAAGCAATCTGGTTTCATTACTACTGAATTATGTTTACATAATTGGTGCTACAATACATTTCAACTCACTTTAATCTTGCAAAGAAGGGGCAATTCACCCAGTGACATTTATTAAGATTCTTTAGTCAATAATTCTTTTATCTCTAAATAAAACCACAGACAAAATTGCAAAGCTAACATGAAGGACCTGTTTTTGAAAAGCCCCACTAGAAATCAGTCATCTGAAGTAATCAATGGAGAAATCTAGACACATTTTTCCAGAATGTGGAAAAAATGAAGATTTTTTTAAAGTGGACTAACAGCTGAGAGATCAGTATTAAAATCACAACTTAGTCATGAAGCTCACTCTGTGACCTTGGGACAGCTACTCTCCATCAGCCTAACCTACTTCAACAGTTTGTTCTAAGGATAAAGGGGGAAAAGAATATTCATGAATTTTCCACCTTGAACTTCTTGGAGGAAAGAATGGATAAACAGAACACTGTTAAAAGAATACTACAAATAAAATGTTTTTCTCCAGCCTGCTTGTTCCTAATCTTGAATTGGGATAGGAGGATAGGTTTGGAAACATGAAAAACTCCTAAAAATAAAAAAGAGGTCTGGGACATATTCAGGCCCACAAAGATTGGGCTCTATAAGAAGGTCCTGAGCAAATCGGGTGTGTGATTATCTGCTGGGAGAGGCTTGACTGGTTGAGTTCTCCAGGCAGGGTGCGATCCATGTTCCCATAATACGTATTTGCTTTGCACAATGAGTTCTCATCTGAACCATTCAAAAAATAAGCTCAAATGATTAAGTAAAAAATAGATAGTGTAGAAAGACTTGCACTGTGTGCACCATCGCTGTCTCTTAACAAGTCTTGATCAAAAACAACATGCCTGAACTAGTAACCACACCTTTCCCCTGGCTAGCTACAAAGAATGTACTTTTAGTTGTGTGGAGGTGTGGCCTTGCTCAGCATGCTCAGAACAGAAGTACTGAGTTCCCAGGTCTAACAAAAGGATAGACCTGCTAAGGTTATATACATCATACAGTTGCCATCATGACAACAAGAGAGAGCAGAAAACTTCACAACCAGGACCAAGAGCCAGTAGCTCTGATAAGATACAAATTCATTACCAAGGTTTTTTCTGCCTAGAACAGTTGAGTGGGTCCTCATGGCCACAGCAATAATTTTGGGTTGAGATTGGTTGAGTGGTACAGAGACTAGATTGGCCAGAAACGTCTTTAGGAGGAGCCTCTCAAATTTCAAATGGATTGTGGAACGGTGTACAGAATAAAGACTATGGGCTTTGAGATTTGGGAAAATTCTTTAAAAACTGAAAAACATATCAGTAAGTAGGGCTAAGCCCTGGTTGCCCTGATGGACCAGCCTCCACTCTTACTAGCGATGATAAAAATAAAAAATGAAAACACAAAAAATAAGGAAAGGGAAGAGTGGGAATAATTTGACTACTTTCCAATTGCTTTTAAGCGTCTGACAAAATCTTTACCAGTTAAGCAAAATGTTTTGTCTTTTACTAAATCACGAATCTAATCTGTTTAAATTTGCAGCTCTGATTTGGCCCAATATGCATAAAAACAAGTGGGAAAACCCACCAAATGCCCAAACCACAACCACCCAACAATAAGCCACCACAACCCCACAAGTGTCTAATTATAACACTGGTCAACAACAAATTTGTTGTCTGCGTTTTTTCAGTTGATTTAGGACGAATCTGATGCGCTGAATCCAAAAATCACATTGGTTTTGCTCAGTCAGGTCAGGTTTTTGAGCTATGGCCACATGTCTTTTTTTACGTTTTTGTTCACATGTACGCTTGTGTGGAGCATTTTAGAAGAAGTTGGTGGGGGTAAAATGCCATGTCGAATAATTGTTTTGATTGGAAATGATTATTTTAATGACAAGAAGTATTCAGGTCAGATGGTTCTGGGTGATTATGTCGAAAAGGGATCAGTTTGAAGTCATAAAACCTCGAAATCTTCCATAAATTGGTGCAGCAAAGCATAATGTTGGGGGATCAAAACTAAGTTAATGGGGCAGCAGCCCACGAAGTATCCTGATCTTCAATCAGCACGTTGTCCTGTAGCTCACTGTGATGAAATTCCAGTGCCTATCTTCGGAGAACTTCCTGACATTAGTGACGAAGATGCCTCCAGTGTTGAAGGACATGAAGAAGAAGAAGTGGTTCTTGAAGATAATGCTCCACATCCATTTTCCCAAAAGGAGTTGAATGATCTAGTTTGTGACCTCAGCTTGTCAAAGGACTCTACTGAACTGTTGGCATCCAGATTGAAGGAAAAAACCCTCCTCTCTGACAGTGCTCGCATCAGCTTCTTCCGCAACAGGCATCAAGAGTACCTCCGTTTTTTCTCGGAACAGAAGGACTTGGTGTACTGTGCAGATATTGCGCAGCTTCTGCTCAAGCTTGGAGTGCCACAGTACGAACCCAAAGATTGGAGACTGTTCATTGACAGCAGCAAGCGATCACTGAAATGTGTTCAGCTACACAACGGCAACCAGTTTGCCTCTATACCCCTGGCTCACTCGAATACACTGAAAGAGAACTATGAAGCGGTGAAGTATGTGCTGGAGAAAATTGGTTATGATCAGCATAAGTGGTTTATTTGTGTTGACCTGAAGATGGTGAACTTTTTGTTGGGACAACAGTCTGGCTTCACCAAGTACCCATGTTTTCTGTGCATGTGGGATAGTAGGGACCGTGCTCAGCATTACACAAAGGACTGGCCTGTGCGGGAGGAATTGGTGCCTTGCAAAGAAAGGAACATCATCAACGACCCTCTGGTGGACAGAGACAGAATACTCTTCCCACCGCTCCACATCAAGCTCGGCTTAATCAAGCAGTTCACCAAGGCTCTTTCACCAAGGCTCTGGACAAGGATGGTGACTGCTTCACTTACTGGTGCCAGGCTTTTCCAGGAATGACCATGGAGAAGTTGAAAGCTGGCATCTTTGACAGTCCTCAGATCCGTCAGCTCATCAGAGATCCTGAGTTCGGAAACTCAATGAACAAAGTAGAACTAGAATCGTGGAAGGCATTTGTTCTGGTAGTGAAGAACTTTCTTGGCAACAATAAGGCCAGAAACTACGCAGAACTTGTCAACAACATGCTGACTGCTTTCAGAAACCTGGGCTGCAACATGAGCGTCAAGATGCACTACCTATTTTCACATATGGACCGGTTTCCTGAGAACCTGGGTTCAATGAGTGACGAGCAGGGCGAGAGCGTCCCTCAGGACATGAAAGAGATGGCGACCAGGTATCAGGGTCGCTGGGACGCAGTCATGATGGCTGACTACTGTTGGACTCTGAAGAGAGACCTCCCTGCCGCTGAGCATTCCAGGAGTTCCAAGAAACGGAAGTTCAAGCCCTGAAGTTTGAAAAATGGTGAAGCAACATGCAATTTACGTGTACTTACCTTTATCAATGCCCACCATTCAGTTTACAGTAAACCTGACCTGATGGAGAGGAACGGATGCCATTTCCTGATTCAGCAGTGCAAAAATACCCTAAATCAGTTGTAGAAATCTAGACAACATTCAAAAAGTAAAAAATTGTTGCCCAGTGTAATGTGTCCTTTGAGCTTGAGGTCATGGGCCAAATGCTTTCCTGTCCCCCTCTCCAAGTGGATCAGCATGGCGCAAGTCATCTATGCATGCACAACAACTTAAGTTGTGTTTTGGGTCGTATCCAATGATGACTTTCTTTCTGCTTATGTGCGGCAGGTTAGCCAATTTCACCTACCTCTCCTACCTATTGCAGTATATTCCACAGATTGCAGGGGGGTGGGGTTGAGATCAGATACAAATCCAATGCATATAGCTGCCCTTAGAGGAGGTACAATGTTGAGGTGTTGTACTCATTAGTCAAGTCAAATTCTTGATCTTATCCCATTGGTAGATTTTCTCTATTTTGCCATCATTTGAAGTCTCCACTGCCATATCCCTTCTACACCATCTTATCTCAATGCTTGGTTATTATTTTTCTTACTGACAGTTAGGTATGTTGTTTATTTTTGGCTCCCTTCCAAATCATCTCTTATATCCATTCAGACATTCTTATTCACCTTCTTGTTTCTGCTCTAAACATTCTTGATCAACTCTTGCCCTATGCTACACATCTTGAATTATCTTTTGTGTCTTTATATCAGTTTACAAGTTTGTTCACATTGCAGCCTAGTTTAATTTCAACAGAATTTCTGTTTAACAACTCTTCTTTAGTCTTCAGAACCTCCACATATATTTGCCTGCTTAATAAGGGACTTTCAGAACTTTAAAAATGACTAGAAGGAAGGGCTATTGTAACACAATCCAAGTAATCTCTCGTGTGTTACCATGGATGTTGAGAATTTCCCCCCATATTTTCTTTTTCCTTCAGTATCTTCCCAAGATGCCTTCAGAAGGGGGAAGCAAACTGAGGAGTTCCATACATCAAGCTGTATGGTTGTTTATAAAACAAATGCTTAAATCTGGATATTTCAAGAATTATTATAAACCTATTTCCAGGGGGTAGGGATCAGAGGACCGACCATAGAAGTGTAAGATTGGGCCCAACACATCAAGTCAAAGAGGCACATCAACAGCAGCTATCTGCAAACCCAATTTGGATCTTGAGTGCAGAATTGGAAACGTCCCCCAGAAAATGATAAAGTTATTAATATAAATAATGACAACTTTGGCAACAAAACAAGTAATGCCAAATTTTCTACAAAATAGCACTGAAAACATTAAGTAGTGTCTGCAGTGCAGATTTATTTAAAAACATACAAGGGGTTATATCTAAGAGAAAAAAAGTTAAGAAGCCAACCAAGTCTAAAATGAATGCTATTAAATATCCATTAAGTCAATTAATATAAGCAAGCATCAAATTAATCTATGATGTTTTGAGATATTTAGCCCAACCCAAAGATGCTTGCTTTTTATTTCTTATCCCTATAAAAGCAATTAATACAACAGGATTACCATATGTTTGTTCTCTTGATAAAAGAATGTATTTATGAATGCTGTAAAAGCAGTGTTACTGTTTTGTTTTTTTTCCATTTTTTACACTATGGCAGATTTTAACAGCTGTGTGCATTTCTATTACTAAAAATAGATGTGAATAAAAGTTTTAGAATTTGAGTAAAGAGTACATTGTCAAATGTAATTGAAAAATATCCATCTACAGGCAGCGACCAACTGTGTGTGGGTTACATTTCAGACCCCCCCCCAAACACGTCAGTGGGGCCTGCGTAAGGCTGTCCCACCCCATTCTGCCCCCTTTTTTGACTTTCTTATGACTTTTCAGGGCACTTTTTGGTTCCGTGTGGTCCCACACATATTGGATGTGCCTAAAACAGCTGCTGCCTATGCCACCAAGCATGCTTCATCTCATGCATAAAACGTCACCTTCCTTCTCTCTACAGCACGCTCCCCCCCCCAAAAAAAAAAGATCTAGAGCAGATGTGGAAGGGTATGCAGGCTGCAGAAGAGGAAGCTGCAATGCATAAGTGGAAGTCTGCTTGCACAAAGTAGGAGACTGCATAGTTTTAATGAATAATCAAACATTTTTTTCTTAGACTGGCATACTTCAGAAAAAGCTCCTGGAACAGAAAACATCTGCAACGCACATTAATCCCCTTTAGTCCACAATGTATTGCCATCTAAGCCAATGGAAACAACTTTCAGTTAAAATAGATGTATGTCATCAATATAAACTAAAAAGGGAAACTACAAATGCCAGCTCACTGTATAACTAGTTATTTATAATGAAGTTCTTATAAAAGCACACTACTCAAATGAACATGAATATAATTTATTTAAGGTCCAACAACAACAAAATAACACTTCTCAAATGATATAGGAATAAAGATTGGCTTAGGCAGTTGTAACATTATGATCATTTCAACCCAAACACACACTTTAGGCACAATCCTATCCTTGAGTGCTGGTTGAGAGGCTCTTGGGATCTGGTGGAAGCCCTGCTTCATTAGCAGAATACAAGATACATTGCGGGCATGACAGATAAAGTACTCCCAACAGAACTCCAAATATGCCAGAACAATATTCCACTGGTGGATCAATTCCAGTGGTGAAGATACCACAACACTAATTTGGTGCACCATGGTTTTACTATTCATATATACACAAAGGGTGTTCAATATATTTTGTAACTTTACAGAGAATGAATACAATGCAAAAATATAAGCTATTGTTCAGCTTAAGGTGAGCATAACAGATGTGTAAATAAAACTATTAAAATACTATGTTTAGACTAAGGGTGGAATTCAATGTCGCACTATTATAAACTTTCCTTCTGTGCAAGCATTTAAGCTTGCCAGACAGAATAAACCCCCGCCTCTCCGTGTACACTGTCCTGGGGGTCCCCTTAGCACTACCCCAAGCCAATTGGGGGCACATGAGGAAAGAAAGATCAAGGTGAATTATTCATGGAATGGTGAACAGTGGCCTTTGAAGGCCATAATCCTAAACAAATAGATGAAGGGCTAAATTGGTGTACTCATTGTGTATCCCATATTAAACAATGTTTCAAGAGTTTAAGCACAGCTGAAATTCTCTTCGTGACCCAGGATATAGCCAACCCCAACTGCAATCAACCCTGAAACAACTGGTGCTATTACAAACTATCCCAAATTGTCTATAAAAGATGGCAAAACTCTGAAAAGCGGGGTTTCATTTGTGACCATCCATTATTTTCATACAAAAGGTGACTGCAAGATGGGTTCCCTAGAACTTCACATAACAAAGGATTGATTAATCAAAGAAGTTTTTGGAACAGTTCCACTCATGTTTTTCTAACACTGGCATTCTGTTTCCAGAGGTTAAATTCAACTCAAGGCAGTTCTTCCCAATAACTGGCTCACAGCCATCACCTCAGGAGATCCTTGGAGACTGTTTGGCTCTTCCTTGACAACACACACAAGCACACCTCACTATTAAGGAGTGAGGCCTTGAGCATGCATCTTATAATCCCTTTCTAGCCCTTAGCAATTACTACCTATTTTGATGTTTTAAATCCCAGGTATGAAGACAATTTGCTGACAATGAAGCACAGACAAGGCAGCAGTAGATTGGGCTCATAATCAAACACTTGAAATTTGGCAGGCATTACCAGCTTGAAAGACAAGCAGAATAAATGCACTGAAATTTATGGCAATTAAACAAATTTTATTTTAATCCTTTGTCAATTTCTTAATGAATAGCAAAGCATTCTGAACGCCCCTAGTATAATGTTTTCTCTATTACAGGCACCTACCCACTTGCACACAAACTACTTACATGCGTGACCCTGGAATGTAACTCCCACATAAGTGAGGAGTCGCATGTACTGTCTAATACAAAGCTATTGCATACTGGATAGTTTGTGGATCACATAAAGATGATTCTAACATGTTCTTTTAAAAATGAGAATACTTGTTTGAAGAGAGTTTATACTTAAAACATGTACCTAAACTCTTTGTATTTTGCACACTAACTGCAATACATTATATAGAAAAACCCTAGAGTAGATAGCTTAGGATAAATATGGTCAGTATGTGTCATTTTGGTTTCTTTTTTAAATATAATGAACTAATCCAGGAAGAAGGCTGCAACACACACAACACAATTTAATAGAGTAGAAATGTCTATGTATTAGCTAAAAGCATATGGACTTCATGTTACATTTGAACAGCAAGGGGTTCGCTCATCCTTACTTATGTAAGGAAAGGGCTACAGGTATGCTATAGCTACAAGTTCACTAGCAAGTTTGAAGGGAGGGTGAATTCTCCGAAGAGCAATAATAAAGAGAGCTGTCTGGTGTATAATGGGAGGAGCATGAAGATGATAGTAAAGAAAGTGAAAACAGCCTAGAATCAGCTTAGTTGCAGAAAACATTTTGCATGCAACAAGGACCCAGGTTAAATCCCTGGTATCACACAGAAAGACCTGAAATGTTGGAGAGTCACTGCCAGACAGTATACAATGGGAGCTATCAGGATTAATGGTCTGATTTGGTACAAAGAAACTATGTATGTTCCTGTGATAGGAGACAGCTTGTTCCTCATAAAAACAGGGTAAACAACAAAACCCACATCTCTCCTTATACACTGGGATAATTAGAGCAAGGAAACACTTTATTTTATTCACATCAATGGTATTCCTGCAATCCAACCAGATGTTATATGGGAGATACGCAACAGGATTTCTTGTCTGAAAGGTTTGAGCTTAAAATGGCAGGAGGGATGGGTATATTATGGATGCTTTCCAGCAATAGGATTACTGTATATTACTAATTGTGGCCCTCCAGATGTTGCTGGACTACATCTCCCATCACAATCCTTGCCCACTGGCAATACTGTCAAGGGCTATAGGGAGATAGTATCCCATAAAAGTCACAAATTCCCCAGCCCTGGTATAGGAAGGTCTCTCTCATCAGCATGTGGAGATTACTCAGTATTGGCACTGGTACTAACAATTGATTTGTACTGAAGATCACTATGGTGAATATAAAGTACACTATGACAATGCAAGGAGTTCATCTTTAAAGAGAAATATTAATCTTTTCAAATTATCTATAAAGCAATACTATAAACTATCGAGCTCAAGTACCCTTTGCCATTTTTTGGTCTACATTTTGGTAGTGCATATTTGTACAAAACATTTAACAGCATTTGCAGAACCTGGTAACTATTTTTTCCAGATGTCTTTCAAATTAACTAAAATATGCTGCACTGAACTTTTATCAAAAAGTGGGATAAAACCACCACGATCTCCCCAACCCCTCTGCTTATAAACCATTGCAGCCAAAGGACAACAGAATTGTTCATCTATACAAGATTATGAATAATCTAGTTCTCCAGTATTACTTAATCAGCACTATTTCAAAGCAGAGGCACACCTTGGCATCTCTCCTACGAACAATGAAACATTATTGGTATTGGTTCCATAAATACTCTTCAGCTCACCAACAATTTAAAAACTGAAGAGGAATGAAATAAGACCATACTAGTTCTCAACATGGATAAATTACTGCTCCAAACATCCTGATACCAGTGTTAGAAACTGGGATAGAAAAGCTAGGAGCCAAATGACCTCTGGGACCTGGGTTGTGGGAGCCAAAACAGAATGTCTAGTCGCCATAGGAGGGGGGGCATGTTTGGCAAGACTTTTTATTTATTATTTTGATAAGCATGAACTAGTGTGAAATTCACATATGCGGCACATTGTTAATATCACATTTTTAAGCAGAAATTGTTACTACATGTTTAATTTGGTGTTTACAATAAAAATACTGGTACCATACTTCAGTTTTCAAAACACTCTACTCTTTATTGTGAAACTCCTTAACATACTGTCTATCCTTAAAAGATACTTTGAGGCTTCATAGCACATACATTTCAGTAATCCTTGGGTGTCAGCCAGGTGCAAAAAATGGCACCCAGACTTTCTGAGGTGCTCACAAATGGAGGATATTTAGGCACAAAATGCACCTGGCGCCTGCTAATTTTGAACCCTGAACTGAAATCAATAGAAGTTTGAAAGTTAGTTTTTAAGGTCTTTAAAATGCATTGACCAACCTATTTTTTAACAACTAAAGCCAACATCATGAGTTTCAGTGGAGAAGTGTTTGGGAAAATATTTTGTTTTGATTGGCAGGCATGGGTTTTAATCACAGCGATTATTTTCCCAGGGCACTCCAATCATAGTGAAGGGATGTTGAACTCCTTCCCAATCACTTGCCATTTCCTAACTATTAAAAATCCATACTTCAACAATCAATTTGTTTTCAAACCACTGTTCGTTCTTCCCTCCCCATGTCTTTGCTTAGATATTCTGAAAACTTTAAGAGGGCTCACATTATATGATCTCTGCATATTCTCTCTCCCTTAGTTCAATTGTTGGATAAGTCATATTATTTATTTGTTCATCTTTATTCAAATCCTTCCTTTTTTCCAACAAACACCTACTATAACTATTTGCTTTTCATTCAGTTCTATTTTTTTTCCTTGTTTGTGCAAACTTCTCAGAGTCCACCCACCATCCTGCTGATACATATGTTTAGTTTTTTTCCATTGTGAATTGTTTCCCTGCCCTGGTTTTACATTGCTTGTTCAAAGTTTCTAAACATTCTTCCATTCTCCCTCTCAGACTTCTAAAGGTAAAGGTAAAGGGACCCCTGACCATTAGGTCCAGTCGTGACCGACTCTGGGGTTGCGGCGCTCATCTTGCTTTATTGGCCGAGGGAGCTGGAGTACAGCTTCCGGGTCATGTGGCCAGCAGGACTAAGCTGCTTCTGGTGAACCAGAGCAGCGCACGGAAACGCCGTTTACCTTCCCGCCGGAGTGGTACCTATTGATCTACTTGCACTTTGATGTGCTTTCAAACTGCTAGATTGGCAGGAGCAGGGACCGAGCAACGGGAGCTCACCCCGTCACGGGAATTCGAACCGCCGACCTTCTGATTGGCAAGTCCTAGGCTCTGTGGTTTAGCCCACAGCGCCACCCGCATTCCTCCTCAGACTTCTACTTTCCCCTTAAATCAGCTAAACCTGCTTGTCCCTTAAAGGAGCTCCCGGTTGTGTTGCTTATTGGTAAGACTACTACCTTGCACTTACTCAAGGCACCTGCCTCATATTACCACTTCTCAGACTGTCCGCTGAACATACAGGGAGGTGAAGTGTTTTCTATTTTATTCATCTTCCAAAAAAAGAGAGAAGTCTTCCCTTGCAAAGAATCACTCCAGCGAACATTTTGAAAGCCGGTAGGCTTCACTACCTCAGAAGGGACAAACATGCCTGAAAATTGCACCCAATTCTGACAGAAGATAAAAAAGCTAGATACTTTTAAAACCTTAAAGTTTTGAGCAAAGAGCTCTGGAGGGAATCTGCCTGCAAAGAGCTCTGGAGGCATCTGCCTGCAATTTGGCAGTCTTAATACATTCAAGAGGGGGTCATTTTGCCTTTAAATATCATCCTGTGAGATCAGAGATGGAAGGTACCCTGAGGATCATCTAGTTCAAACCTCCTTCAATGCAGAAATATGCAGCTGTCCCTTATGGGGATCGAACCTGTGACCTTGGTGTTATCAGCACCATGCTCTAACCAACTAACCTATATTATGCTTCTTATATAGCCACTTTTGATTCCCAATTATGGGGGGGGGGGGACACACAGATAAGAGGCAGAGTTCTTGATTTAATCAATTCTTTCTGAGATAGAAGGCTCACTTCAACTGCGACACTAATGCAGGCCTCAGTCAGGATGGCACTGCCTTCAAAAGATGCCTCTTTCTCACTGGAGAAAGAAAATGGTAACAATATCTGAGGAGATGAACTTGCAGCAGAAGAAGTAATAAAGGAGCTTATTAAAAATACGTAGAATGAACTAATGCTTCCACTGAAAACAAAACTGACAGAATTTAACATGTGGCTTGATTGTTTAACAGAAACAACTAAAGCAACAAAATAATTAAGCCAAATCTAAGACAAGATCAAACAATTACAAAAAGAAAATGAAGATACATTCAACAAGCTTGATGATGCAGAAAAATCAAAACAGGAGAATTAATTTACGTTTTCATTTTTTTGTAGAGAGAGTAGAACACAAAGATCCTGCACAATATTTGCCTCATGCTTAAATCACTGCTTCCAGACCTCATAACCTCTGTTGATTATTCTGAACTGGAACACACAGCACTTAGACTCAAACTAGGGGAGAGAACTCTCCTCCCCCTGTCATGTAACCGTCTGCTTTGCCTGATACAGGAAGGAGGAGGAAGCATGTAAAAAACCAAGGAACCTAATATCCATAACTTATAAAAGCAGTCTAGTTATGGTGATGCAGGATCTGGCTTCTGAAACACAGAGGGGGGGGAGAGGAAAAATCTATGTGCTTGCATGATTAAACTGCAAGAAGCTGAAATTAAATATCGCTGGGGCTTCCTCTGACATCTTATTGCCATGAGAGGATCAAAATGCCTCACATCAACAAACAGACTGGAAGCAACAGATCTCCACAACACTCCTGGAATCAACCTACTTCTGGAATGACAACAAGAGGCGGCAATGGAAGAAGAGAATGCTGAATTTTCTGATGGATGTTGGGAGGATACAAACTGGAGCAAAAGTTCCAGCAAACGTCTCATGCATAACAACAGAGGAGACCACTACAACACACAAAGCAGCTACATCCTAGATCCTCCAGATATTGTTGACAAGACTTAACTTGTGACTTTAACCAAATCTTAAGGAGAATGGTATCCTGGTTACAGGTTAGTCTTTAACACTAGAAACAGTAACAGTGAACATGAGGGGAATTAGTGATCCTATAAAAAAGAAATGCCTAGACATACAAGCCACAAATTGCCTTTGTATCTCTTGTTAAAACCCCCTAGGGAAAGTAAAATCTTCAGTGGTAATTGGTTTCAACACCAAGTGACAGCACCAGGTTCAAGTAAAGGACAGGGTGGTAGCAGTCATTTTTGGCAAAGGAATAAACTTTAAAATCCATTCAATACTGAAATACAAGAATGGTATTTTTTTTAACCATTCATTGTCCCTTTAATAATAATGTAAACTGTTAGATCCCTATATGCACCAAACTCAAAATGACTTGACTTTATTTGAAAAGTTTTATGTAAATTAAATAAATTTGCTGATGGAAAAGCCATACTATGGGGCGACTTCGACCTTAATGTAGGGGGAGCCTCTCTAAAAGATTTGAGCAAGGGCGACACCAGGAAGAACTTTTTAGAAGATAAAGACAATTGGCCTATTACAGTCAGAACCAGGTTTGCAAACCATGTCCCATTATCACGATGCAATGTCTAAATGGATAGACTGCAAGTTACAGCCATCACTCCAACTCCAGAAGCTACTGCACTTTGAGGTGCAGGGAGCAAACTTACAAAGCGGAATGCATGGAATACGAAAGCTGACAAAACAATTCCATTTTATATTTGGAAGTTTAAACCATGATTTGGCCTGACATCTCAACCAAGTTAACGGTTTGAAAAAATGGTCATTGGCTTTTAAAGAACATGGTTTTCTAGTTATGGCAGTAAGATTTAAAGTTACTTGTCAAACTGCTGATGGCACACTACCGCAACGTAACAGATCCAATAAGCTGCTGAAAACCGATGCACAAAGTACACAGAAAACCAACATCTGAGGAATATAAACAGAACTGCCTTACAGTGTTAATTGCACATATTCAATAGCACACTGCTAAGGGAAAAGGTTGGGAGGTTGCGATCTCTTTTGGCGCTGGCTATGGTCCAAACTTCCCACATCCCCAAGAGTACTCTAGCAGTTCCTCACACTGAAAGCCACAACCAGCTAGACAAGAGAATCTGCTAGAAGATCAGAGTGGACTGAGTTAAATCAAGGCAATTTCAAATGCATCCTGAAGCTGTAGCAGCCAACTGAAATCACCGATTTAATAATTTCTCATTGGTGCTTTATATTTTCCAATACAAATAAGTGATTCACCACTTCTGATATAACTGGACTGCAAGTCTAATCCAGTCCACCAAGCCTTTTTTTGCTGGTCCAGCAGAACTTAGCCCAGGGCCAACAGCATTGAACAAAATACCTCCTATCTGCCACTGATCAAAGTAGATCAGAGTGTTCCAATATGTTCTGATATTTTCCCAAGTGCTTGCAAAACATTGGAATGCTCAATACGCATAATAGCAGATTGGAACACTCCAGAAACAGGAAGGAGCACTCCAATCAATAGCAAGTAGAGGTTCAGCACCACCCAAATCAGCAATGGTAAAAGGGGTCATGTAACACTATCAACTGGATGGAGTGGTTTAAACTTCTGCTACATGTCTCATGTGCATGAATGTGGGTGGCCATACACATCACCAGCATAAAGTCCCCAAGCCAACTGCAACAAAAACAGTGGCCTTCTAGGTATTATTAGACTCTAATTCCCCCATCAATCTCACCCAGTACAGCCAACAGCCAGGGGTGATGAGAGCTATAGCCCAGCAATGTCTGGAGGATCAAAAGTTCCCCACCCCTGAGCTAACCTGGAGTTGCCAACTTTTCTGGGTCAGCAGGCACATGTGGGGGCCAGTCTTAAAATAGCTGCCATGGGGGCATGTCATAACAAAATTAGAGAGTACAGTCCTTGCTTCTCCCCTCGCCACAACCTCACACTTGCCATAAGGTTGTGCACGCACGCACGCGCGCACACATCATGCGCTGTTGCTGTCTAACAAGAAACATTCCCCAGTACCAGCAAAACATAGCCACACCACTCTCTCAGAGACTTCACATTGTGCCAAATATCTCTCCCGCTCTCTCTGTCCAAGTGCACAGCACACTTGAGCATATATACATCACATTCAGGAAAACCCCTCCGCAGGTCAAGGAAATGCCTGCCATTCTCCCACCCCTTCAAAATATCTAAAAAATATACATGGGCCATCAATCACGTGTTGGTGATCCCCAACCTAATTGTTACTAAGAAGCAGCATCTTAACATACTAAACCAGCTCATAATCTCAGAAAGAAAACAGCACCCTTAAAGACTCAGAAAAGCCACACTGTAGCCTGTGTTAGAAACTGTGATAGAAAAGCTAGGAACCAAGTGGCTCTTGGAACCTGGATTGTGGGTGCCAAAACAGAATGTCATTGAGGCATTGAGGCTTCAAAGCACACACATTTCAGTAATCCTTGTGATAAGGCAGACCAGTATCACAGTGATTGTTAATACTGATTTTTTTTTTTTTGGTATTGTATTTTCCTGCTATGTAATCAACCATGAGCAAGCTATGCCTCAAAAGGTGGCCTATGCAAATTTTTCTTGATAATTATATACCCAAGGCCATGTTTACACTTTTGTGGCATAATGATCCACGATCTTTGCCAAGAAAAACTGAATTTGAAGCTGCTTTGGTAGTCACAGGCAGGAGCAATAAGTTACACAAAAGGAGTAACCTTACTCACTACAATTCCTACTAAGAACCCTCCTGCTTGGTTTCACAATCCGTTACACACACACACACACACACACACACACACGAAACTAGAAGCTTGATTTAAAAAGCTAAGTGCATTATTTGCTATGGACTGAAATATATATTTTCTTCCGTACAGTATTTGTGCAGCACACACAATGCTGGCAAAACCAGTGGAAAACAGCATATAGATAACTAATTACACCTTTTAACTGTGCAATTAACAGTAGATGCACTCCTGCTGCTGCCTTGTGGGGCGAGGGGGTCTTTGGAGCCATGACACTGACACCAAAGCGCGGCAGCTGTTGTAACTGTTTTAAAAGTTGGAGCAGCCAAACGAACAGCTCCGCATTTGCAGTGCTGATGGGGCTCCAAGCAGCAGTCCCAAACGGTTCCTCTCCTCTGCAGCATCCCCAGCATCAACCGCCACCAGGGCTTGATAGTCATTGCCTCTGATGTTTCCACAGCACCAAAAGATGTGTGTCTTCTAGTGCCGCGCTACCCCGCCAATCAGGTGATTTGCAGGGAAGTAAAACAGCAAAGAGGTGCCTTTGGGTGCCCTGCTGCCCCACAGACCAACTGACTGGAGTTGCATTGCAGCCACATGGAGATGTTAGATACCCAACAATGGCACCTGGACATCTGCACTGCCTCACAAAAGGTCTGTTGCCAGTCGCAAAATGCAACTGGCATCAGACTATTTTCAAACGCTGACTATAAGAGATAGTATCTTAAAGCCCATTGTAAAGTCTGCACAACAGGAAGCAAGTGTATCTCATTTGGGAATGTTCCATAATTGTGAAGCCACCACCGATAACATTTTTTATTCTCAGGTCTGTGAACCTAAATCGATCTTACTGGCAATCATGCAACAGAGGCAGTGGTTTTCAACCTGTGTGCTGTGGCACCCTGGGATGCCTTGAATGATGATCAGGGGTGCTGCGGGCAACAATGGCCTCTGTCCCTCTTTCCTTCCTTCCCTCCCTCCTCTGATGCCATCTCGGGTCTCTTCCTCTCAAAGGCTTGCACAGCTGTTTATTGCAGAAGCCCTGGCTATAAGCTCTGCAGGTGAATGGTGCCTCTGAGAGGCACCTCTCTTCGGGGTTGGGGTGGGGACTCAGAGACCAGGGACAGCAGCAGCAACAGCCCGGAGAGCTCCCAAGGAGAGGGGAAAGGAGAGAAGAGAGGAGGCCAAGGGAACATTCTACAAGGGAGGGCGTTTGAAAAAGGGTGAGAGGCTGCCAGCTCTGCAGGCAAGGGGTGACATAACTGGGCTCCTGAGCCCCACAGGGGTGCCACAGAAATAATGTAGTTGGTCAAGGGAGCCATGGAGTGTGTGTGTGTGTGTGTGTGTGTGTGTGTGAGAGAGAGAGAGAGAGAGAGAGAGAGAGATTTCCCTAGTGCGCACAATGGATGAAATTCCCAGTGGCATAAAGGGTGGATAAGAACAGAAAGGAGCCCTGCTGAATTAGAATAATGGTCTACCTAGTTCAGGACTAGCCAATTTCAAATGCATGGCTATGAGAAGCCTATAAGCAGGACATCAGCATGCTAGCACTCTCTAGCTGTTCCCCAGCAGCTGGTATACAAAGGTATGCCGGCTCCAGCCCTAGAAGTAGTATAATCATCATCACAAGTTACCACTGAGAAGCTTATCCTCCATGTATTTGTCTAATTCCACTGTCTTAAGTTTGTGGTCATCAAACTTCTTGCAGTAGGGAATTCCACAGTATCACTATGAGCTATGTAGCAAGATGGGTTTTCTGGATGGTTTGCATTATGATTTAACACATTTCTTACTAGCAAACAAGGCTAAAAAAATACCCCTGTTGGGACAGTTTCTACATGTTCTTAAATGTTTCCTCATTTGTGCTGCATTGTTAGCATACTCCTGCCTGCAATATTTACATCTACCTCTTCCCTTTAGTGGTTTCATTAGAAATTATGCCAAATGCTAGTGCCTTTTTTCTGTTTAGGCAATATTATGATTCAGAGTAATCAAATGCACTACCAAAACAGATTTTAAACAAACACTTCCAAATTCCCCAGCTCCAGAAATGAAACAAGACACCACCCTGAAGTCTGTGTTTGCAGCAAGTAAAATAAAAATTAATAAGTTTCGCTTTAGCTTGCAGCCTCACACTCAATAAATAAGAATGTTACCTTTTGTATTGATTTGACAGGCACAGCAAAGGGATTAATTCAATTGTTTTACTTGATTACTGGCTTGCTTGCTTGATTAGTTAGTTAGTTAGTTAGTTATAGGTGTTGTTTCTCTAAATATGTTCAAGGCGTAAAACAAACAATACAATTTGTAAATCCATTAAAAACCTGCATGATAATCATTCCTGATAAACTGATCTAAAAGTTTTGTATGCACTGTTTTATTACTCCTGACCCCAGTTACAAATACAAATCAGTGACATATGGATTCCCTCACATACTTGCAAGTGGTAATCAAGTTTATTTTAACTTTGAAACTGCCAAGTTTGCCTAATAGATTATTTGCAATTAGCATCCCACTGAAATCAAAGGACAACCCGGTATAACGTCATTAAGATATTAGTGGTTTTTATTTTCAAACCCTTTCCTGCAGGTCACAAGCTTATTTTTTTCATTCATTATATGTTTATACTTTGTGATCATATAAAACTATCTACATAAAACAAAGCACTATGAAAACAAAATACCGTGTAAGCCAGGTAAGTTCACAAAGCATACAATATGGGTCACATTCAGGAAAATGCTTGCTAGAACAAGTTTAAAACTGCTGCCTAAAACACACCTGGAGCCAAAAACACAGATGATACCTGCCTAATCTCTCTGGGCAAGGAGTTCCATAAACCTGGTGCCACCACACTGAATGCACTGCTTCTAGCTGAATTTGCCTTGTTACTTTGGTGTGGTTCAGACCGTAGTTTTTTTAATGATTTAATATGTATGAGTTAGCATGTTGGTGCACTGCTCAAAAGCCTGCACTCAGCTCCTCTGCCACTCCTGCTGTACTAAGGCGAAGATTCTGTTAGAATCTTCTTCTGCTCTCCTCTCCCTACATGCCTCCTAAACCTACTATGGGGTTCTCCCAACCATACAGAGCAGATTTGGGTATAGTGCAGGACATACATGATGGAGTGGAGAGTCCCATTGTGCCAGAGGTAATCACTGAAGTACAACAGGTTAGTTGAATTCTATCCCTGGTTGTTTTTCTTCAAACCACGAGGAGTAGACAACATTTCTTCTTGGCTTACTGCTGATTGTTTGTTTGGCAGAAACAAACCACAAGCCTAGGTTCACATGCAGCAAGGCAGGCTCTGGTTTGTTTCCTCCCCAGTGCAGCAGCTGGGAAACAAAGCACAGATTTTTAAGCAGAAGCTATGGTTTATTGTGATATGTGAGCCAGACCACTGTGTCAATGTTTTCATTAAGCTACCCACCGCCCTCTCCCAACTCCAAGCAGGAAAGGAGAATAACATTCTGCTCATGACTTTCACCAGAATGCAACTGGTCACCTTCCACTTCAAAGAGGGGATGAATGGAATCCATGGTTATTTATAATAGTTGATCAAAAAGAGACAGCTCTTGCGGGCACTGAGAAATGCAAAGAAAGAGGTGAAGATGGCTGCAGAGCCTGCTCCTGCGGAACTTTTCCTTACTTTTCCTTTTCCTTACTCAATACCAATCCACTCTAGCTGGGCTCTTCTTCCTCCCACAGCCATCTACCACCTTCCCTGTGGGAAGAGATCCCAATGAGCTTTAAAGTATATTAACATGATGAGCCTTTTATTTAAGCATTAGCCTGGCAACCATAGACATCTAGGAATTGCATTAAGGCAGGCGCATGGACTTCCATGCAGACTAGTGAGCAGGCTGGCAAAGGGCAAATGGAGAGCTCACTCCCTCCTCCATGTCCAGCATGGAAAGTAAGTACATAGGTATAGGAAGTAATTCCTCTCTTCCATGCCAAGCACAAAACCACTCTTCTCCCAATTCCAAGTAGGCTTGGTAAAAGAATGCAAGCTTTTGTTGACTTATTTACACTGGTACTGCCGACTGCAGTTTAAAAAAAAATGTATTTTAGTATTACTTGCAAGCTGCACTGGAAATATTTGTTTCTTGAAATAAATGATGCAAGTAAATAAATATTTAGGCAGAAAAAGCAGCCTTTAACTTGTATTTAATAGACAGTTAAACATTTGACAAGACAGACTGCATTCATACATGATCCAAAAAAAGTTTCATTTTTAAGGGGAAATTAATTTTAAAACATTTTAAATAAAAAAATCAAAGGGCCACTTCTTAAAAAAAATTGTTTTACCCACCCTGTACAGCTTAGGGTTCCCTCCCCACAAAACTTTACTAAAAGCACAATAAGAGGCTAACAATACTTGTATATCCCAAACTTATCTTTAGAAAAGAAACTAAGGTTTGCTAACACAGTAAACAAACAAGTTAAACAGAATGATCAACACAAAAGTGAGACACTGAGACAAGCAGAATTCGAACTAAATGTAAAAGGTATTCTCTCAAATATCCTAAAATGAGCCGCATTTCTAATACTTGGCAGAAGTCCAAATGGTGCCAGGTGGACCCCTTTGGGCCTGTCAACAAATGCAGTTTCATGATCAAGAAACACCTAAACCGTGTGCCTCCACATTGTATACTGGGTCACACACAAAAAAGGGATTTCTAGTTTTGACCTAAGCATTGAGATACGTGATGTGAGTGGACTCTGTCCTCAATACAATTTGCTTCCCAGTCTGTTTAGGGCCTTAAAAAGGTCAGCACTATTAATTTGGCCAGAAACAAAGTGGTAATCAATGCAAATAGTATAATACCAAAGGAATATGCAAATTATCACAGCAGCCCCATAAACAGTATCTTACAGTTTTCTTATATGGATGTTATCAAGGCATGAATCCAGAAAGGTAACTACTAGTGAGGCAGCCAAAATTGATAAAAAGGTTATTGCTGCATTCTGGACACCCAGTTGCAGTAGCATAATCATAACACCTTAAAGGGTTTTTTATTATTACTATCATCCAGGAAGACCTAGAGCTAGGACACCGTAACATACTTAAGCAGCTTCCTCAAGTAGGGAACTTAGGGAACTTGGCAAAAATCTTCCAAGTCTGGTAATCGCTTATTTACAAAGCAACTCAAAGCATGTTGGTTGTGCAGTTGGGATCCTAACTTCATTCAGCAATGCAATAATAATCCCTCTCACACCGTCAGACAAAGCTACTCTAATTGATCTAGTGAGCCAGGAAGGGAAAGTTTAACGTACAAGTAGTAAGTCACACTTCTCCAAGATCCTTTCCATAACCTTAGGCTACATAAACTGGTAAGAATCTATCTTTTTTTAAAAATTTAAAAAAAGACTTGTAAGAAGGAATAAAAGATACAGTAAGCACAATCTCTGTATGAGTAGAACCCATGTCAAAACAGATGCAAGCAATTTATCTGCAAAGTGTTTTAGGAGTGGTCATAATACGCCAATATTTCTTGATTCCAGCCTTGGAATCAAGCTGAAGATGACCCCCCTCCCTATCTATTTGGAAGAGTTTCAATAGATATTTAACAGTGATTAAAAACAAGATTTCTTTAATACCCTCTGCTTTAAAATTGCTTTAGCTATTTTAGATTTCTATTGTTAATTGTTTTCTATTTTTTATGTAAACTTCCTAGACAACTTAGTAGGATGGGTGGTATACAAATGCAATGAAACACTAAGATGTAGGGCTAAATACCAAAACATTACCAAGCAGTGTTCCAAAAGTTGTGCAATGTCAACAAAATTTACTGCAAACTGCAGGCTCGTGCCTGAATACTCTGGTTCTCAGAAGCACTAGTGGCTATGATAGCTTTCTCCGACGGGTGCTAAAACAAAAGACAAGTGAATTTCTCATTTCTAAGTACAGTCGTACCTCCTTTTGCATCTGGGATCCGTTCTGGAGCCCTGGATGCTGGACGAAAGAGACACTCAACAAAGTGCTGTTCTGAGCATGCACGAAGTGCGATTTAGCGCTTCTGCGCGTGCAGCAAACCCGGAAGTAACCCGTTCTGGTACTTCCGGGTTTGCTGTGGACGTTTGATGAAATGGACCCTAAATGGGGCAGACTTAAAATGAGGTATGACTGTGCACGGCCTATGTGAGATATATAGATATTCCTGAAGTGTTTAAATAACTCCAAAACGTGACTGCAGAAGAAAACTTTAATTGTTCTGAATGAGAAATATAAAGAGGAATTAATAGTGGCTGAAGTTTCTACTGCAGCATGGTCAAAGTTAAAATTCAACCTTGTACTTCTGAAACAGTAATACAGGCATACTGTACTTTTTGCCATTATATATGTCTCATAAAGCCACAAATGAAATAGCATAAGCTAAAGCACTTTCATTAATTTATACAGTTATGATAATTTAGAACAGCCTCCCCCAACCTTGGAGCCTCTGGATGTTTATGATTGCAGCTCCCATCATCTCTGTACATTTTGGCCAAGCTGGCTGAGGCTGATGCACAAGCTGGAGTCTGATACATCTGAATGACAGAAGGTTGGGGAAGGCTGATCTATAAAGTCAGTATAAATTAACCTCCTAAAATTTATATTTAAGGTTGATAATTATAACTGTAATTGCTCAGTGTTAAAAAGAAAACGGTAAGAGAATTTTTAATTTTCATTTAGTAAGTTTGAGAAATTAGTGTTTATTCTATGCAAGTATTATGCTATTCAACCCAACTGCTCAACACCTTCAAAAATTAGATTGGTTCAAATCATAGTTGAAAGCACAGCAAGTTTGGCTTTTTTTATATCTGTCTTGCTATTTTGGAGTCACTAAGTTACAGTACCACAAAAAAGGTATTGTAAATTTTTGTCATAGTAAACTTCACTAAAACAGTGCAATTCTACACACACTTACTCAGAAATAACCCCACAGTATTCAATGTGGCTTACGGTCAGCTACTGGTAAGTGCCCATAAAATATCAGCTTAAAAGAGCAATCCTAACCCCCAGCCAGTAACAGTGGCACTGAATGGAGCAACACTGCCATCAAAGCAGCCCAACTCTGTAGCTCATACCAGCAGCCAGGTGGACGGTGAGGAAGTGACTAATGCTGCTCATTTTGAGCCAGCTCCAGTTTGGTACAACAAAGAGGCCTAGATAGGGTCCACCACCAGTAGGAAGACAAGCATAGGATCCAGCAGGTCCCTGGCTGGTTCAGCTCTATCCCCTCTTACCCCCAGAAACACCCAACTTGAGGGGGGAAGGTGTGTTGGCTGCAAGTGGCATGGACATCACAATGGGGACTTCAATGGTGGCAGGAGCTCCCTGCCAGTGAAGTCTGCTAAAGTTGCACCCAAACTCTCTGTTGTATCCAAGCTCACTTTAACAGTGGGTCAGTGGTTTGGCTTGCACTCTACACCAAGAATAGGAACTGTTTGACGTTTACAACCAAATAATGCTGCAATGCCTAGCAATTCCCTGGGAGGTGGACCTTACGGAGGCAAACTTGTCAAATTTATGAAGAGCCCCAGTAAACTATTGGGAATGGCAATCAGCACATGAGATAGAACATGTAGCTTCCTATATATTCCACCCAGGACTAACATATTTTATGTCTTTGATGGTACCAGTAAACAGTGAGGGATCTGTGAAGATCTTGAGCTTCCTTGGAGAACTACCGATTCCTTCCTAGGGTAATTCTTTATACCAAAGCTTAATTTGCAGTTTTCCCAGAAACCATGACAACTGAAAGTATAACATAGAAATGTGGACTACTAGACACCTGCCACATAGCCCCTATTTCTAGTACCTTAGGAAAAGATTTTCATAATATTTTTACCTCAGTAAAATACCCATGTAAAGCATTTTAGAACAACCAAGAAAAGGGGCACATCTTGCTGATCGACAAATCTGTAAACAGATACAGATTTATGAATTTGTATGCTAGAAAACCCCAAATGTTTCTATGGAAATTTGCAAAGCTAAGGTTACATTTTTAGTTAGAATTGTTTAGCAAGCATAATGAACAAGGACAATCGTTTCAGTTACTCAAGCAATTTAAACAAGCTGAAATCTGAATCCCAAAGCTGTTAAAACAAATCTCATATCATGGTGGTTTCCCTTACAGCTGCAGTATAGCCATGCAGTAACCTCATAAAAAAACCAAAACTTCAATGTTTGTTGACAGACACAAAAGAGCAAAAGTTACACCAGTTATGAACACTCAAGGTTTGACAGTTCAGCAGCAACTATGAAACCTGTGTACTTTGAGCACTATTATAAAAACAACAATTTACAAAAATACTTTCAGTATACAAGTGCTGCATTAGGCAACAATTGGTTATTATATTTGAGAACTACTGAATGTTTTGTGATATTTGGCTGGGATTGTGGAGTATTATCAAAACTGTACTATTTACTCTTCCTTGATATACATAACAGTTCAGTTTTTATTAGATGCACATTAGCCAGTGCTTGAACTAAATAGCTGTAATTTTTTATGATAATCTACTAGTAATAGACAGTTACACGAGTATGCTTATAGAAACAATTTAATGATAACCACATTTATGCTATATCACTGTTGATACCTTAATTATTTTTAAGGTATGGAAAAGGCAAGTTGCTTCATTTTCTATATTCTAATTTCTATATTCTAATTAAATATCTTGACTCATTTTCTTTGGCTTTAGCTTGACGTGTTTTAAAATTCAATTTTCTGTAATACTGTACATGGGGGGAAAACATATTCTTTAAAATACATATACACTGTGTGTTAAGACTATGCAATACAGTAGAAGAAAGCAATTTCTCCCTGAGACTTCCAGGGTGGCGCCACCGGCAATGGCGGACTCCCTCTGAATTGGAGGGACTAGCTCTGCATGAAACGGGTCTTTTCCGCTGCGGCGTAGCGGGGACCCTTCTGGAAATCACAGGCGGATGAAGCCTATGACCGTGGGACTCGGCGGGCACCCTTAGCGCCCCCCCAACCCACAAAGGAACCCACAACCGCGCTCCGAAGTGACGAGGTGGTAGTCGCGCGGTGCTGTGAGTCAATTGCTTTTCTGCGGAGCGAAGCCGCATAGTCGTTGCCGGAGAGCGCTGCCTTTTTCCTGGGACAATTTGGCATTTAAAACAACCAACCGTGAGTACTGGAACATTGAATATTTGGACTTCAAATAAGAACTGGCGAAATAAAAAGGAATTTGGACTTAAAAATTAACCCTAATTTGGTACTGAAACGGGAAGGTTTAAACAGGAAGTCACCCTTCCGTTTCCTCGTAGTCAGAACAAAGCAAAGACAACGCAAACTAGAGCCTTAAAAATCACTTTTAAAGGATCAACTTTCATCATTTAAAATCGCTGAACCCCCCTTCGGTAGCAGGGGAAGAAGGGGACCTTTTCTGAGCTGCTTAAACCTGCAGAAGTGAATCTAAAGCAAAGTAATTTTCCACCGTCCTGACCCTGGAGCGGGGTGTCAGAATTGACGTTTGAAGCTCATTGACCAGAAACAAATGTCTTTGACAGATAGTTAAAAGAAGAGAAACATTGTGACTCCATTGTTTCCCTTCGTCTTTTAAAAGAACAAATATGGACAAAATATCTTAAAAAAGAAACTTTGTTGCTATTGTTTTCAAGAAAAAGAACAACCAGAAGTTTTTCCCCCTAGTGGGGAACTGTGAAATTGTAACTAATTTCTGGGAACTTGCAGCTGTCACTGATTACAACTGTGGGAAAGGATTTGTGACCTTGTAGGACAATGTCTTCAGAAGCACTGTTGGGTGCTTTCTGTAAAATAAATGCCCTATTGGATCAGTTAAGTCAGAAGACGGATTTCATGACTAATGCGGCCAGAACCTTTGAACAGGTAGTGGGAAACTATATGGAGCCCACCCAGGAATCAAAACAGGAGCGTGCCATGACAGAACAACTGAAAGAAGAGGACCTTGCTGAATCTTGGGCGCCAGAGACGGAGGGAGCTGCGGCCCAGCAGGAATATAAACTCTTGGATTTGATAAATGAACTTGGAAAAAATCAGACTTGGAAAGATAAAATCTGGTTTGGTTTGGAAATGGGGGGTTGGATAGACCCCCCTTTACAGGGAGATTTGGACTTTTCAAGTCTGGAAAGGGGCCGTCAGATGTTTGGAGCTGTGGGGCTCTCAACTTTGAAGGGAATCTGGAGCATGCTTGTAAATACTACATCGAGCCTATCCTGGACTATGGAAAAGGGATCGTCTTGCTGAAAAGGGTCAAAAACACTACCAAGCTGGAGTTCCCACGAACTATATATATATATAAAGAAGAGGTACGAAAGGGACATGGAAGAGACTTGAGGGCCTCGGATATAAGATTGCCAGGTTAATGTGCTAGATTAATAGGATAAAGGACTGACAAAACCCGGGACCAGGAGGAAGGGACGTTGGATGAAGACTGGATTGCTTTTTTCTTTTATTCTTATCATTAGGACTGTTTTATAAAATTGATGAATGTTAGGAAAATGTTGAAATGAAACTATTTGGCTCTTATAAAAATGTCTGGGGAACTAGGTAAGAATGTTATGGTTTAGGAGAAGTAAAAATTAAGATTTAAGTTTTAAACTTTAAGGTTTTCTATAAGATAAGATGAAAACAGATCAAGGTAATGTGATGACAGAATACTATGAATTATGGAAAGGATTTGCTGTGATTATTATAAAACAGGATACAGGAAAAGGGAGGAGGAGGAGGTCAAGGAAAGAAGGTATTGAAAGTGGAGAATTGGAGAATGATGGTTTTTTAAAAAAATTTTCTTTTTCTTTTTTTGTCTTGTTTTTTCCTTTGTGTAATTTTTTAAAAAAACAAACTCTTTTTTCAATAAATATCATTAAAAAAAGAAAAAAGAAAGAAAGCAATTTCTCCCTAACTTCATCTTGCATCCTCTCTAGACAAAAGGTATTCTCAAGAACTTGCCTCATCACTGGCTGGGGTTGCATGTCACTCTAAATCAAACCATGGTTTACTAAAAACACGCAAGCTTCTGTAAAGGAATTCACAGATACTATGTGCATCACTGGTCATTCAGTTTCTGCTGCTGAGCTGAGCTGAGCTAAGATTTGGCTTAGTGTCATCTTAATCCGGACTCGTGGTTAGGTCTCTCCAAACCAACTAGGAACTGTAACCACGGTTTGCACTACGATTTACAGCTTGTGGTTTTGTCCATGAAAGCTAAACAGTGAGCTAGCTAAACCAGGCTCAGGAGGCACACTAAGCCAAACCATGGCTTATAACAGCAGCAGAACAACCAGGAAGAAGCTAAGTGCTCACAATCTCACGAGAGCCCACAGATTCATACCAAGTCTTAAGTAGAATTAGCTTGGTGTGTATACCAGGACACTTTCTTTGTTGAAGTTTACATGTGTAAACTGGTTACATGTCCTGGTGATGGGTAACCTACAAAACAGGAAGGCTAAAGCTCTTATAAGTGACCTTCTGTTAAACAACAACAAACCTAAAAACTATTTTTAAGTTTTGCCTCCTTCAAAAGTTGGACTAGGCACCTAGTACAAATGCCTTGTAAAAATGCAATCTACAATAAGCACACACTGTAGTCCTAACTCCTGAATGAATTTACAGATATTCACACCACTTCAACTACAAGATAAGGCACTCTTCCACATCATTACTAACACTGTTACTAGCTAAGAGGCTAAGATTGCTGAAGTCATTCTCTCAACATTAATTTTCCAGAGATGTCTCTTCTATGGAGGCATGAGATGCCTATATACTTTTACTACTTTCTCAACTCTGTGGATATGTTTTAAAACAGATGTAAACTGCATTAAACATTCTATAGAATGTAAAAGAGAAGGCCACTGGTTTTACATTGGGTAATTACTGTATTCTTAAGAAGATGAGGTTGTAAGCTCACCCCTTTGCATTCTCAAAATTGCATTTACTCAGTAGTAAACCACAGTATGTTTCAAGAAAACAACTTTCCACCACTGCTTTAATTACATTTTAAATGCAACTTTTCATTTGGTGCAAAAGAAGAAACCATTCCATATTAACTATATTTATTAAAAGTCAGTAACTTATTTCTTCAGAGTTTTGGGCAACACTAGTCAATATGTTTGAAGATAGCAAAAAGGCAGAGTAGGCCATCCATTCAGATGTAGTGGCTTTTTAGTAATATTCAATAGTTTCCCCAACTTTGTGTTTCAGTAAATTATATTCGCTCATGCCTATCCTTCATAGAAAAACAAACATGAAAAACATAGTCCACTGTGTTGTAAGCATATTTAAATGGCCAGTCTAAATGTTTTTCTAGAGTGCAAGACACATCCATAATTTCAGTTACAGAAGTTAAATCTGTTGCACGCCTTGCTTTAAAATGAGTGCATTAATGTGAGCTGCTAGGTACATTGCTGATAGCTTATACCCTGCATACATCTTTTAGAAATGCCTTCCCAAAAAAGCATTTTTCTGCATGGTAACTGCTATGTACAGTATTCTATGAACTAAAGTCACTTAGGGAGCACTGAGTGGATGGCCTTTTGAATCAAATGTTTCTCTGACTTAGGTAGATCTGAAACACTAAGCAACCAAGAATCTAGAACCTGCTTTCAGGTAAAGGTAAGCAGAATCAGTTCAAAATGTGAGGTTATCTAAGAGCATCCTGTGCTTCCCCCTTGGAATGATGTTAAACCATTTATAGAAGAGAAAAAAGCAGACCTTTATTATAGCTGATAAAATGCAAATTGGAGCATGAAAATGTAAACAGATTCTATCTGAAGTATTGTATCTATAAGCAAAATGTTAAGAAACGGAATATTCTAAGCAACATTTTCATATGGAATTTCAGAAATGTTTACAACACAGTTTACCCAATAAGGGCATCACTTCTTTAAAATGTATTGTAACTTTTCATTTGATGTAACAGTTTATGCCAAACTGTGTTATTCATTTAGCTATTTTGCCTTTACATAAAATTCACAATCTCTTCAGTCTCTAGCACTGATCGCCATTTCACAGCACAGTCAGCCCACACGGAACAGATCAATAACATTACAGACACAAGACTAGACTGTATCCATTTAATAACCACAAGAAAGTGTACCATTCAGCAAAATCTCACACACATTACAAAACTGATGGAGAGCAAGAGCTAGATAACAATGTAAATCAAAGTAAAATCATAACCAAATATGTCAATTATAAAATCTATTTCTCTTTTCAACACTGAATGCATGCACCTAGGAAACTAAAGTACAACTATAGCATGCACATTTAGTAAGGGAAAACCAAGAATAGCCATCCAATCCATTACTAACTAGTCAAAGTGCTGTGCATGAAGCAATTCTTTCAACCACTGCTTGCTACCCAGTAATGCATTGTTCCTATAAGCAAAAACCTGTTCAAACTTATTTATTATAATGAAAAGATTTTGTTGCAGAAGTTGAGGCTTACCATTTACTTTAGCACACACTACTTACTACGTGGATATTAAAGGATTAAGAAAACCTAAAACCTGCTGTGTGAAAAGTATTTTAAAGTTTATACCTCTCATCTAAGACCATTCAACACAACTTTCCAATTCTATATTTTTCATATTTGTTTAAGAAGCTACTAATAAATTTTCAAAAGAGAAAGCTGTGAATATTAAAACCAAGTTACTGGTAAGTTACTATAATGCTGACAAACATGAAGGAATGGCTAACACTACAAATTATTAGCTTGCGCACTGGTAGTCTGTAAAACATCAGTAGCAGTAAAGCACAGTTGTGGTATTCCAAACAACACACACACTGTAGTGTCACTGCTGTTGACAAAGAAGTACAAAAAAATTTTTAATCCACATTTTAATTTAACAAATGATAATGCAAGGTAATGTTAAGGATATTAGAATACTGAAAGCTAAGTTGAGAAGAAAACTATATACTGTACACTTACCTGAAGAACAAGAGATAAGAAAAACAGCAAACACCAACTTTGTAGCAGCTCCCATTTTCCAAATAGTTAGAAATGATATGAAGTTATTCTATATATCCAGCTTTCCAGGTCCTCCAAATATGAAAATCCCTCTTTCACTTTATTAAAATTTTCTGTAAGAACATATTTGGAAAGTAGTGTCCATAAGAGTAAAATCAGATTTCAATACTAGTGTATCTAGGTCTTCCTTAGTAGATCCTCCAGTAAAGGGATGTATGTATTTGGGAACATACACGTCATTTGGCTTCTGTACAAACAGTGGCAAAATTCAATTCATAAGAACATATTAAGGACCCAGTTTAAAAGGTCAATAGTAAAGCAATTGACCGACTACTAAGCAAATTGCCTTGGAGCATTGTTTTCTTCACTTTAAAATCTGTAAAATATCCCCCAGGAGTACTGGAATCAGGCAAGTCGCACAGATATTAGTAAACAATACTTTCTTCTTCACGCCTCTTTAACAGTATGTAGTGTCTGGGTGAGAAATAGTTCCACATTAGTTTCAAGTGTCAGCACAAACCTGTTTTCAACGGAATGGGCAATAGTAAATTAATCCATTAATAAAAAAAAGGAATTTGTGAAACACTGATGTTTCCTATTAATAATGCTGAGACCAAGTAACACGGACAGGGCAGAAACCAGAGCTTATCTGTCCTCCACAGCACCACAAATGTCTCTCTGATCTTTCTTTACCTAGTGTATTCTCATTTCCACTTTCCACTTTTTACATTCAGTCTTTTGTCCATGCCCGCTCAAGAGGAGTAGATGGTATAATTTGACACTCGATTTGCCTTCGAAGGAAAAAAATAAAAGCCTTAAGGAAACTCCCCCAGCCCATATGACTCCCTCCCTCAGTTAATGCTTAAAATATCCTTATATTCGGGGTTTAAAAACCACACAAAAGTGGTGGAGGGAAGAGGGAGGGCAATGCGGCTTCCAGCTATTTTCGAGGGTGGAGTGAGTGGAGGGTAGTACAGAAGCGCAGAAAAATTACTTTCTTCACTGTTCTAAAAAACCCAAATCTTTAAACACAACGACGATCGAAAGAGGCTTGGGAGCGATCTTTCCCGAAGCGGCGGTGCAATAGGAGGTCTCAAACATGGATGAAGCAGGTGAAGCGATGCTTTTTTATAACCGTGGTGATCCGATGTGGGCAAATGGGTCTTCTCGAGAGGACGGGCTGGTGGGGCAAGGTATGCACGATCTCTTTTCTTTCTCTCTCCTTGCTCTGCAGTAGATGCTCTTCCAAGCTGGATGTATGTGCAGGCGTCTAGTTCTTTCTCTCTCTTTTTTCCTTTTCCCCTTTCCTGCAACTCTTCACGGGATCACCATTTCCCCCAGAGTCGTCCTCTTCGGTCGCTGTTGAGGCAGGACCCTCCGTGCACGACTCGGCTTTTGTTTTGTTTCTCTCTCACACACTCACGCACCCTCCTCTTCTTTTCCTCCTCCTCCTCCTCCTCCTCCCTGCCTTCCTCCGTTCACAACCGCAGCGAGCAGACGAGAGAGAACGAGGGAGGCGGGCGAGGAGGTCACGGAGCCTGGTCAATCCTCGCTCTCGCCCCCTTGTGCCTCCCACACAACGGGCGGAGAAGAAGAAGAAGAGGAGAGAGGGGCGACCACGGCGGACGACGAAGCCGACCACCACGACGGCGGCTCCACGCCTCCCTCTCTCTCTCCCGAGCCCCGCCGCCCCCTTTTCTCCTAGCTCTTCCTCCCCGGCTGCGAAGAAGAACCTGCTGCTCCGGCGTCCGGCCCGGCGGCGGAAAGGCGGCCGAGCCCAACTTTGCGCCCGCGGTGATGAAGTTGAAGAGCTGAGGAGCGGCAGCAGGAGGAGGAAGGGCCGAGTCGAGCAGCTTCTCCTTCTCCTTCAGGACGACGCCGGAAGGGGAACGGCGAGCGGAGGAGGGCGAAAGGACCGGCTTTATCGTCCCCCAGATCCGGCTGGCAGCGCTGAGTGGCCCTCCCTACCTTGCTGCGCCCCTGTGGTAATTTCATAGCTACCCATTCACTTGCGTGGTGTCGAGAACAGACCCAAGATGGCGGCGCCCGGGCGATTGTTTTTGTTTCCTCTCCACCTCGCTTTTTTTTTCTCCCTCCCTCCCTCTCTCTCTTTAACTCCCTCCCTCCCACCAACACCCTGCTCGCGCACGCGCACGCGCGCTCTCATCTACCCGGCTCGGCCGGCCCCAACAGCTGCCGTTTTATGTGCGCGCGCGCCACGGTTAGTGGTGGTGGTGGGGAGGAGTAGGAGGAAGAGAGATACGGGGGGGATGGGGGCTCGCCTCCATTTGATTGGCAGCCCGAGCTAGCCACTGAGCTAAAAAGAGTAAGGGGCGGGAAAGGTTCAGCCTTGAACGTAGGCGGGTTCTGCTCCCGCCCCTGGATTCGACTCCACCCCTCAGCTGGGCGGGGTTCGGCCGCCGTGTTCCATGTCTTGGCATTTCTGGCAGGCGCTGAGGAAGGTGAGGCGCTGCTCGAAGCCCGGCAAGAAAGCAGGGGCTACGTTGCCTGGTTGCCAGGCTTATACAATAAACGCCAGACTCATTTAGTTCATTTTACTGGGGAACTCAGGGCTGCATACCTAAGTGGGTCGTGCAGCCCCGAACCTTGTGCCCTGTTTACTCGGAAGTAAGCCCCGCGGAGTGAAGTCGTGCTTCTGAGGCAGCGTGCGCATAGGATGGCAGCCTTTGCTTGGGTCCATTAAGGCGGCAGTCCTTTCAGCACCCTTTTCCCAGTGGTGCTGTGTAAGGCAGTTTTCAGGGGACGGGTGCGGTGTTTAAGATGACATTTTCCCCTCTTTCAATTGTATGTACGCTTTCCCCATGCAGGTAAATTATGGGCAGTTGAGCTGTTCATTACGGATAAAAACAAATGACCAATTAAGGCCGCAATAATGTACCCATTTGCCTAGAAGTAAAAACTCAGTTGAACCCAGTCCTGCCTGCATCTGAGCATACATGTATAGGATTTCATGGATACCCAGATGAATGTTAATTATTAAATACAGATTATTATTTTTTAAGTGATGAGTTTATGGGGGGAGGGGCTGTTTATTTTGTGCAAGTCAAGGCCCATTACTTACATTTGAATGGGGTGGGGGAGTGTATTTGTCTTGCCTGGAGATGTGAGCTCTTTAAGAACATAAAGACAAGCATACTGGATCAGACCAGTGGCCCATCTAGTCCAGCATCCTGTTCTCACAGTGGCCGACAAGATGCCTGTGGGAAACCTGCAAGATGGACGTGAGCACAGCCGCTCAAGTGAGAACTACCCATAAAAAAATAATAGGGGAAACTAGGATTTTAGTGTAGCTGTAATGGTGCACCAGTGTATTCATCCACCAAATGAAAGGTGGCAGGAAGGACAGGAGTCCCTGTCTCTGATATGAATGGCTCAACCCATAATTTATCTGTTGCATGTGTTTGCCTCTCACTGAGCTATGTATTAGTAGCAGTGACTGAGGTTGCACAACAGGCAGGAAGAAGCTGCTGCTAATGACCCAAAAGTGAGGGTGAATTGAGCCTATGGAAAATGCAGAACGGCATGATTGAAACGTTCCTGGAAATTATCTACTTAAGTAACCATTGTTACTTGATAATTTCAATAATTTATATCCCACATTATCTTGTGGAATATTATTCAAAGCAGCTTACAGAAACATTGAAACAAGCACCACATAAATACACAACAATCTAATATGGCAGTAAGGAAATAAAATCACAATTTTGTAATTGCAATAAAACCCCTTTTGGTAGAAAATAAACACTAATGACCGCAGCATAAGAACATCAGTAGTTGACAAAGAAGCCAATCCAAACATAAAAATCTTTGGTCACTGAGCATGTTCAGTCATATTTAGGCTATTCAAGGGAGCATTCTCCTTTAGGTTTGTTTTTCTAAAGATTCTTTTGGTTCTGCATATCTCAGGGTTTCCCAAGTATGCCGATACCTCAACTCTTGTTTATCTTGCCTACATGGCTAGTAGGATTCAGCACCTGAATTCTCTATTCCAGGGCATGATAATATTTATACCGCAGAAGATTTTAAAACACATTCCAGATGGCGCAGGTGGGAGTTGGTGTTCAGATGTAACATTGGACACATTCAAGCTAGACACAACACTTGAAGGGAGGGCGTGGAGCATGGCCAGTTAGGGGCTTGGGGTGTCAACGGGGAAATGGCCTTGTGAGAGCCCTAAGGCCATAGTGAGAGGCCTGGAGGGCTGTAATTGGGTTCTAAGCCTTAGATTCCCTATCCATTTTAACCCAACCTTCATGAGGAAGACTACCATAGTCACATATGACTAACAGTTTTGCGGTTGCAGTTCTCAAACCATGGGTGGCTATTCCACCTAGCCAGCATAATTTGCTTGTGCATATGGTCCTTTGAAAAGTCCAATCACTTGAACATTCAATTAAATTAGGAGCTCATGCAAAAGAAAAGCCAAATAAATTGACTGAATACTGTAGTATCAAATTCTCCATGGGCAGTTATAATTCTTTCCTAAGGCTTAATGTAGTAGACGGATCTGCAATTTTTTATACGTAATGACGAGGGGAAACATTAAAATATGAAGGTAAAGCAAATATGGTAAAAACAATGTACAGTTCAATCCTATGCTTGTCTATGCAGAAGTTCATCCCACTAAGTTCGCTTTTTCCCAGGTAAGTATGTATTGGATAGCATCCTTACTAAGCTAAAATCAATGCTGCTGATACCTTGTTAAATTTGAAAAGAAAATAAATTTGAAAAGAAATTGCATTCTTTTTAAATAAACAATTAAAAAAACCCCATCACTACTGATTATTAATGAGTGGTTTATGTGAGTGGCTATGGGAACTTCAGTTGTTCACTATCATATGTGCTAGATAAGCCTTCCAGATGTAGTTGGACTGCAACTTTCATCACCAAAGGTTAGGGATGATGAGAGTTGTAGTCTAATATTTGTAAGGTACTAGATTGGGAAAGGGTGCCCTAGATCAGGGGTTCCCAAACTGTGTTATGTGGGCCACCAGAAAACAATTTATAGGCTTTTCATCCTCAGCATTTCATGGTGTTGGAATGTGCTAATAATAGGACTCAGTAAAACTTCCATCTTCCGGAACTATTCATAGCTTTCTATTTCACAAGCACTGGCATGGTATAATAGTGTACTTTTTAATCCAAGATCATGCTCCAAACAATGAGTGCTAAACAGTAGGCAATATATTTTGAAGAAAACTTGCAACCCAGTAGGTTTATCATGTACTGCAAAGTATGTCTCCTTCCCCAATCCCAGCTGAACCTGAATAGTTAATGTTTACCTTTATGCAGGATTATGCTGTTTTGGAAATAACAGGGTATATTGGAGCAGAATGGGTGCTTCCATTTCTGCTGAGGAACTTGGAATGAATTACAAATATTAATTAAATCTTGCAACACCCTGTTTAACCTGTAGTTTTGATATTCTTCTATCCCAACACTGAAACTCAACTTGTTCTGCAAGTTTATACTACAGCCCCATCAGGCTCAGCAGCTTCAGAATCATTACCTTGACGTTGGAGTAGAAAATTACAGACACAGATTTATCACGTTTCCCATCAATCCCATACATTATATGCCATATATCACTGAACCTTTTCATTCTGGGCTGTTTGCTTTCTTCTTTTTAATGTAAGCAAATTAAGGAGATGGGGGGGTGTATTTTAGAATCTTGTTTTTGAACTTGAACCGAAATATAGACTGTCCTCACTCTTCTTGGGCCCCTAACCATTAGGAAAGTGAGCATGGCTTTCCCCATAGTTTACAGCTGATCAAGCTGTAAGTGTGTGGTGATCACCAATGTGCTAATAACTTTCAACGACAGTACCAAACACGTTTGGCATTGTAGAAACAGCGTGCATTTCCAGTATATCAAAATAAATCTCTTTTAGTGGGAATATGCTCTCTCTGTAAAAAACAACAACACACCAGTTACTATCAATGTGTTCCTAATGATTTTAGCAACAGTATTCAAAATGTATAAGCAAGCTAGCAAGACAAAAGAAAAGGCAACACTAGTCTTTAGGATTGCCATGGATGTCTCTGAAGCTTGCTAGTCAATAAATAGGAAGAGGTATTTTGGGCTAACCTACAAAGCAGTCAGTTCCTAAAGGCATAATTTGCTTGACTGAAACTTGCCTACTTCTCACATTGTGGCTATGCAGACTTAGAATGGCAATTAGTAGTTTCTCACAATTCACCTGTTTCAAGAGGCATAAGCTAAAGTTGCAATCCTATACCCACCACTTGGTAGTACGCCCCATTAAACTGAAGGGATGTATGTCCTCTCTGTTATTCTGTCCATTTCCACTGTGTGACATAAGACACCATTTCCCACTAATCCCAAGAAGTGAGAAGAATTAAATGAGCAGCATCTTATTTTACTTTTTTCAAAAACCCTTGTGGAATTGGTTTACCTATTTCTTTAACTGAGTTATACCTGTCATACTTCAGATTCACTTAAATTAAGAAAGCAGAACTTTCCATTTTAAAACAAATCCGTCAGATTTTGAAATTTGGATTTTAAACTTTGAATTTAAGGGATCGAATTTTACACCAAAATTTGAAGTTCTACTGTTACAATGAATAAATGAGTGAATGCAATATTGCAGTAAATTGTTTTGCAAACTGCCTGTGACATATTGTCAAAAATTGACTGCTACTGCATATCACCTGTCAGATACTGTCAAATGTTTGTGGCTGCCATGGACCACCTCTCAGATACTGGCTACTTATGCTTGTCAGCTGGTAGATCATGTTAAATACTTACTACTGCTGTAGGTTAGCCACCAAATATCTCTCTCACTTCTGCAAATCAGATTCCTCCCCCTCCCTACCCCCATCACCTTGTGCATGTCACCTGTCAAATAGTGAATTGTACTATAAAATCATGGTGATGAAGAACAGTTGCCAAATAGTAATACATCCAGAGAATATCCAGACAACATTTCACCACTAAACTCGGCAAAGGATCCTTTTAAGGACAATTGTTTAAAGCAAAGCAGTATCAACTTTTAAATAAATGTAACTTACAAAGGGCATAGGTCCTGTTTCACACATTACTTTCAGCCCAACCCTAATCATATTTTCAGTGGGGTTTACTTTCAGGTGACCAGCCTTTTTATATCACAGTCTTTGTCTGCAGATAATTGGAAACATGAGTCACATTTTGGCAAGTCACGCAAAGAAAGGGAAGTGTGGACAGGTCTCTGGTTAGGACCAACTATTTTAGTATGTGCTTGTGAAATTTCTGTACTTAACTGGTTCACTACTTGTGTGTCATATGGGGATGACATTACTTCTGTCATATATGTGCATGGACTTGTCCCAAATTCTCACCACAATCCACAGGCCAGAAGTACTATTTAAGGAATGGGGCCTAATGTTTGCATTGGCCATAAGCTTCAACTACATTCTCTACGAACAAAAGATGTGGGAGAGATGTGGTTCATGTCACCTCATAATTAAGTAATGTCAGATAACAACTATTACAATAATTAGCTATATCATTATTCAAAATAGTCTTGATTTGAAATTCTGCATGATGTAAGAGTCCATCTGCAGAGTTAACCTCCTCACATACACATTTTGCTTAAAATTAGATGTCCCAGGGTATGATCTGAGGATATCTTAACGCCAACACCTTTCAGGCAGGTCTGAGTCTAATCAGTGTCTCGATGGGCAGTCAACTGTGAACCACACGTGCAATATGTTGGGTTCCATGAAGCAAGAAAGATGGGATATAAATAATGTGTGATTGAATGCAAAGTAGATGGGGGAAAGAACAAGAAAAAAGGTATAATCAACTACACAAAAAGAATGAAAGGGCAGAAATGACTTTTCCAATACAGAGAAGGAGTGATTGGGGCCCATCTGTAGATTGAAACAAATATATCTGAATATATTTACAGACCAAATATCAAACTGATATACATAGGTGAGCTAGATATACGATATACAATATCTTTATTGTCATTGTCCCATACAGAACAATGAAATGTTTGGCCTTAATGGAAAATAACAGGTAGCTAGTTTCCTGTTGAAAGGGTTTGAAATGTATAAAACAGAAATTTCAGTAAACTTAACAATATGCTAAGCCAAAGCCTCCAAGGGCACTGCTAAAAGCCACTAGAGACTAAAATACAATCCTATCATGCCATTTGAAAAATGCTCAGGCTCTGGAGAACCTCCAGAAAGGGATGATTACACAATCGAAACTGTGTAATAATGTCCTTTTAATATGTTGCATAGACAGGTGCATTCAAACAGTGTTCTTAGTCATCTAATGTCACAGTTAATTAGTCTGCCAACCATGGCTGCTGTGCAAATGGTCCCAGGGTATGGTTGGAAGGCAAATACCACAGCAACCTTGATGAACCTTAGTCAACGCCTAGATTGGAGATACCAACTTGAGTTACATGGAAGAAAGGTGGGGTGGACCTTATTTATTCATTTTAATTATTAATAAACACTCTTCGTTGTTTGCACAATCCCAGCTCAAGCAATAACATTAAAATACAATAAAAGTATATTTATTTTAGGTATAGCTTAATATAAAAGCAAACAATATACGGTGGTACCTCTAATTATGAATGCGCTCCATAGTCCATAAGTATAGTGCCGTTACTGCCCGTGCGAGAAGTGCGATAGAGTGCTTCTGTGCATGTGCAAAGTGCACAGATCGCTCCTGCGCATGCATGAAGTGCGCAGATTGCTTCTGTGCATGGGGTGAAACCCGGAAGTATATACTTCCGGGTTTGCCATGTTCGCAACCTGAAACTCCTCAACATGAAGCGAACGCAACCAGAGGTATGACTGTACTAACAAAATACAGTGGTAACACGGGTAACAAACACCTCAGGTTACAAACACTTTGGGATACAAAATCTGCTAACCTGGAAGTAGTACCTTGGGTTAAGAACTTTACCTCAGGATGAGAACAGAAATTGTGCGCCGGCAGCGGGAGGCCCCATTAGCTAAAGTGGTACCTCAGGTTAAGAACAGTTTCAGGTTAAGAACGGACCTCCGGTGCTCTACTAACCTATCTGTACTTAATTCCTTATAACATTTCTACTAAAGCCATATAACTATAAGGTTAGAATTTGTTAAGATAATTAAAGGATAGAAAGCAGAGGAAGATGGAAAGGAATTGCTGAAATAATTATCAGAAGTGGAATACAAAAAGGGAGGTGTGAGGAGGTCGTAGAAATAAGTGAGTGAAAGATGGGATAATGAAACTCTTTGATTTATTGTATTGTTTTTGTTTTGTTTTGTTAATTTAATGTTTTGCATTGTCTTTTTTTAGCGTTTAAGTTTCTGGAAAAATAATAAATATTTTTTTTTAAAAAAAAAGAACGGACCTCCGGAACGAATTAAGTTCTTAACCCAAGGTACCACTGTAATTGCATCAGCCAAATGAGTGGCACCACTTTAGCCTATTGCAGAGGTTTCGCCATGAGTGTTGGTTTGATTACAACTCAGGAGAGGGCATTCCAGAGTTGGGGTGCTACTACTGAAAATAATTTATTTTTTATTATTACTTACAGTAATCCGGGTGCTCCCTCCAATTTTAATTTTTAATTTATTACTTACAATATAGCCCAATCTTCATTGAATATTTTCAGTCCCTTCATGTGGAACAAAGCAATTATCATATAGTTGGGTCTAACATCAACTTAACAATTCTGTCATCAGGTAAATGAGGAAAAACTACAGTGACAAAATTTAGTATTTCCAATTTAACCAAATACCTAGGTGAAAACAAACAAAAGACATTCAAACCAAAGGTCTTAGCAACAGTTCCCACCCTGTTTTTCACAGCCCAGCCCTTCCCTCTCCATCTCTCACACAGAGGAGGGTCCACTCTATGCCGGAAGAGTCTTACTCTGGGGCTTTTGAGTAACATGACACTTTTCCAACCATACTCTCCAACCCATCCAAGCTCTCTCACTCTGACAAGTGCCCAGCCCACAAACATCTGCACCCCTTATATGAAGCAAATAAGCTCCCTTCACCCCTTTCTCAGCACAATTTATTCAGAAGTAGTGGCTTTTACATGTAATCTAATTCCTCAGTTATGTCTATCATACCAGCCTATGCTTAACTCCTAACAGCAGGATAAATCCAGTCTCGGGGATAGTTTTGGATTTTCCTGGAAAATAATCCAGATGCCTATTTGCCCAGTGGTTAGAGCAGTAGTTCTCAAAGTTTGAAAAAGTTTGAGAACCACTGGGTTAGATTTCGATCTTGGCACCTAAGAATGTGAATGTATTTTAAAACTTTGGTTGTAGATGGGGCAGCGGAATATGCCCAGTTAACATTTTCTGTCTGATAAATAATATGAAACGCTGTAGCTCAGTTGTAGAACATCTGCATTGCATGCAGAAGGAAGTTCAATCTCCAGGATCTGTTGGTAAGGCTGGGAAAGGTCTCTGTCTGAAACTCTGGAACGCTGCTGCCAATCAGTGTTGACAATACTAAACGACATGAACTGATGAGGAAAGAGTACTGAAATTCAGATATGTGTTTCTGTTTGTGCAAAGTGTAACATCGCAACAGATCTTCAGTTAGCTCTCTTTACAATAGTTTATTTACTAAATTTTTATCCTTCTTTTCAGGAGTATATTCTCACAAAGCAACATACATAAACAAACCCAACAACATACAGTAATATAAAATGCAATGCAGCAATAATATAAAAAGCAGAATTCAGCCCAATAGTATTCAAATAGCTAACACACCTCACTGAGCAGGACCATTGCCTGATTTTCTTCCACTCACATCTCTCTAGATCCAACTCCGAAGGTTGGACCCAGATTTCACTTTCCACATATGAAAAAACACTCTTGCCTGTGGAAGGCTTTTATCCATTGGAAGAATCCCACTGACGTGGATATTGATGGGAAGAGATTTCTGCTGATTTCGTCCTCCCCCTGCCGCCCCCAGCATCACCTCCCACACCACAAAATAGTGTGAGATGTGGCCCTGGAGGGCTGCAGATGGTATCAGCAAAAGTCACACACCCCTCTGCCAATAAGAGCAAAGTCTACAAAAGCACCCTCCTGTGAGCACATTGGGTTTCATCTCTGGAATGGGGAGGGAATCAGTTCCCAGCACTATCCTCCCTGTTACCCCCCCCCCCAAAAGGGTTGAGAAATCCTCTGGAGCAAATTTAGAGAGCAGGGGGGCGGCGCTGCACGAGGGAGGGGAGTTGCTGAAGTTCGTTTTTCTCCCTGTTTCACTGTCAGAAGCATTTCCATTAGCTGAGCAATACCATCAAATAAAACCCCACATGTTTACAGATGGATATTTTTATAGGCCATTATAGATATCACACTACTGGGGGGGATTGAACTGGATTAAGTATCAGAAGGCATACACTATTCTTTAAAAAAACAACAGCTATGAACCCCATGTGAAATTTTACATTAGTATATCAGAGAAGTTAAATAGTAATCAAGTATTATGGCATTAAATCCTTGGAAAAGCTCACATAGTTAACTGTTTAAAAAGTGCCCAGTTTAAAGGAGGATTAGGATTTTGAAAACGAGCCCACTTTATCGCAATTTTGTCTTTCCTCTCACAGAAAAAAAAAATGGATGCACCATAAAGTTAGAAACCATGGGTAGGCAAACTAAGGCCCGGGGGCTGGATCCGGCCCAATTGCCTTCTAAATCCGGCCCTCGGACGTTTTGGGAATCAGCGTGTTTTTACATGAGTAGAATGCGTCCTTTTATTTAAAATACATCTCTGGGTTATTTGTGGGGCCTGCCCGGTCTTTTTACATAAGTAGAATGTGTGCTTTTATTTAAAATGCATCTCTGGGTTATTTGTGGGGCATAGGAATTCCGTCATTTTTCCCCCCAAAATATAGTCCCGCCCCCCACAAGATCTGAGGGACAGTGGACCAGCCCCCTGCTGAAAAAGTTTGCTGACCCCTGTTAGAAACTGTGTCTGAATGAAACTCATGAAAGGATCGACATGCTGAAATTACCTTCTTATTTGCAGATGCCATGGCATGTGAAGGACGAAATCCAGTTTACTTTAATCACATGAATAATCCCATTAACTTCAGGTGGGCAGGATTTAACTGTACCGCATAGTGTTACCTGGGGTTGCCATGTTGCAACCCAAAGAAGCTTTCTGTACGTCTACAACAGGGATGAGGAACCTGTGGTCCTACAGGTGCTGTTCAACTTCAGTTCCCATCAGTCCCAGATAGCAAGGTCGGTCAGGAATAATGGGAGTTGTTCTTTTCCATCATCGCTCCTCTCAGCTGCTTTTCTTCCCCAGAGAGGTGGATTTTGCACATGGTGAGCAGTGCAGTTGCACCAGGCGCACAGCTGAGGAGGGCAGTTTCTCAAAGCCCTGTTGTTGTTAGCACTTCTCCAGCTTCAGGAAGGAAGCATGAGGTCTCTGAGAGGGTCCTAGAGTCCTGTTTCCTTCCACAAGCCAGACAAGTGCTTACCGGGGTTTTGGAAGAAGATAGGAGGACTCTAGGACCCTGCCAGAGCCTTGTATCTCCTTCCCAAAGCCCTTTGAGGGTTGGGGGGAGGGCATAAAATAGACTTGCACAGGGTGGTATATTACCAAGGTATATTAACCTGTTCCCCACCTGCTGTAAGGCGCACTTGGTATCCTGCTTGCTACAGAAGCCGAGGACTTGTGGAGGAATGAGGCAAGAACAGCTACATCTCTATTATTTCCTGCATCTTCACATTACAGTTCACTACATACCTACTCAAAAACAAGCCCCGTTGGTGCTTACTTCCAGGTAAGTGAGTATAACGTTGCAGCCATAGACCCTTTGAAAATTGCATATGAAATTCCTGGATTGAAACTAGCAACTTTAGGGAACAGTTATGGACCACAGGTATGAAGTTTACGGCATGTAACGCCTTAAGAGAGAATATTATGAAAATGATATACAGGTGGTACATGACACCAGTCAAGCTTGCAAAAATCTATCATTTGCCCGATAATAAATGTTGGAAATGTAAAGAAACCGAAGGTACATTCTTTCACCTTTGGTGGACGTGCCCAAGGATTAAGGCTTTCTGGGAGATGATTTATAATGAAATGAAAAGGGTATTTAAATATACCTTTCTGCAGAAACCAGAGGCCTTTCTCTTGGGCATGGCCGGCCAAATGGTGCCAAAGAAGGACAGAACTTTCTTTATGTATGCCACAACAGCAGCAAGAATACTTATTGCAAAGTATTGGAAGACACAAGACCTACCCACTCTGGAAGAATGGCAGATGAAGGTGATGGACTACATGGAATTGGCGGAAATGACTGGCAGAATCCGAGACCAGGGAGAAGAGTCGGTGGAAGAAGATTGGAAGAAATTTAAAGACTATTTACAGAAATATTGCAAAATTAATGAATGTTAGAATGATGTTGGAATGAAGCTAGGTGGTTTAAGCAGTAATGCTATAAAGGTGTATGTAAAAAGGATTGATAACAGATGAAAATTTAAAGTTATAGTATATTAAGTTAAAGGATCATGAGAAAACAAAGAGGGAAAGAAATTGCTGACTTAACTAATTGAACTGGAATACAAAAAAGGGAGGTATGAGGAGGTCAGGGAAACAAGGATATGAATGTAAGCTATGGAAAGATTGATCCATTATTCTTTTTTCTTCTTCTTCTTTTTAAGTGTCTTTTATTCTTTTATTCTGTAGTTTGTATTTTGTATTTTTCTTGTATTTTTATTTTTTGTTTTTGTGTAATTCTTTTTTTTCTCTGAAATTTTAATAAATATCATTTTTTTAAAAAAAAGAAACTGGTAACTTTAGTGTCAAATCATTTCTAGAAACTCATGAAGCTGTCGCTGGCCTGGTTAAGAATAATTCTAGACCATAGGACTACAATTTCCACACACTTGGGTTGCTCTGTGATGGGCTTGGTTCCTTTCAGCCCCAAAGAGGCACCTATAGATTTGCATATTTAAACACTGGCGAATTATATTCTTCAAAATGCTCTGCTTTCACTTGCTTTTGTTCCAGGCATCTGAAGGGATCTTCAATAATTTCCAGTCCGGACTCTTATTTTAACATGGTTACTCTATTCCAGTCAAGAGTTATACTGATATATTATACAATATATTAATGCCAAAGATTTACTTTGTTTTCAGATTCAGTACTACACCTTCAATTCACTGATTATTGAATAGTGTAAAATGTTTTGGATCACCTAATAAATACACAATTTTAAATACATTGGTTGGATCTGGAGATGTGCTAGTGGAAGAACTTCTAGCAGTGGCGCTCTTCTGTGAGTTGCTGTGTAAAAGCTAACAAAGACTCTAACCACATTCA